TCGGCGTCCAAAATAATATGCAAGACAACAATGGTCAAAACATATCAAAACCTCTCTCCAAACCGGAGGAATAAGGACCCGGTGCCCGAATTATGATCGACAGCATATTCTGCACGTACTAGACCAAACTTAGCACCGAGCCCATAGGATGAGCCATGACCCATACGCCTGTAGACCTCTGTTGGATTCCCTTTGACAAGTTTCGAACTTCCCAAATCATTGCCATGTTCTGCAAATACATACATGTGTGTATTCTTCACTGGTATCCGTAGCTCAGCTGCAAGCTGCGTAAATCGAACTACAGTTACTTGTTCATTCCATCAAAAGCTCTCATGATTTCGCATTACATAGCACACGGAAAAAGAAAGGTTACGCTATGAATTCCTACCTCGAGGATATTTCTTGCTGCACCTAGCTCGCCCATGTTGTAACCTCTAACGGAGTATGGCCCACCAAGAGTGAATGCATCATAGCTTGCAAGGTCTCCCACACAACCGCCGTAATGGCCATGTAGAACTAGAACAGGTGGTGGCGGCTTACCAGCACCTTCCTCCACTTGTTTCAACTGAATAAATCCTGTACATGTTAGCTGATGGCGATTGAAGAATGGGAAATTGCTGCCAACTCCAAGACCTTGATCCAGCTGCAAGTTTGTCATAGACAAAAAAAAAAAACCATTATGTTGGCGTAAGATCAACATCTTAAACATGAAGTCGGTCAGACAAAACAGTAACTTTGAAATTTGAGCTGTTACAACAACCGGTCTAAGGCTAAATGAAAAGAGGGACAAGCGCCAATGATGCAGCTCTTCAGCAGCTTATACATGACCCTCGAGCAAACAAGAGAATTTCATCCATCTCCATCAAACCCCAGAAGAAGTTCTAAACAGTGTAATGAGCGCGGAGGCAGTAACACATGCACTTAAAGAACTGTAAGATATAACCCTCTCATTCGATGGACGACATAAATTTTAAACAGGAAAACATGGAAACATAATCAACATGACAAAATAGTTAAGCATCTCAAGATTAATGAATGGAAACGCAAACTGCGCAGAAGTCCTAGGCATAACACATTGAGCAACAGAGAACTCATTCTGCAGTGCTATTAGTCTTATAAAGTTCGAGTCACCTCCCCATAGAGAACATCCAGCAGACTCTTGGTATTTTTCCTGATCCTCACTTCATCCTATAAGAGGCTATATAGCATGCATCCTGTCTTCAGCGTCATTTAACAAGATTGTTTCCCAGCATTTAACTTACTTAAAAAATAACGCAAACATCTGATAAGAATGCTTGCTGAAAAGACATCATTCTTCCAGGAGTATTGATAAATGTGGTGAACCATGACACACCTGAAATACATTCCTTTGGCCAACAATAGCTCCATTAACATACTTTGTGTTGTCACGTGTGATATTTGCCTGTAAGAATGCCAATCTGTCAATACCAGTTCCACTAAGGGTTGTTGGAGGTCCATCTGCACTGATTCCTCCACTTGGCAAGATTCTTTGGCCATTCGGGGAGATATGACTGCTTTCATCCCGAGTTGTTACTTCTTCCATCACGAGTCCATAAGTGAATTTGCTTTGCCGAGTGAAATTCTGATGATACTCAGGATTATCAGGATGACTTAAATTTTACAAAACTTAAACTGATGCCAAATGCCTGATATAATCAGTGGACTGGACATATTAAGTCACCTCAGTAATGTTGGCCTTAAGGCCAGCACGATCGACCCATATAGGGGGGACTTCATCCACTCCAGGACCACCGGTGAACACAGGACTCAACTTCCGGCTGTTAAAGCAGCTGGCACGGAGGGTTCGATTGCGTGGATTAGTCACTCCATCCAGATATGGGTGCACATACTCAAGCTTGAAAGCGAGATCATCCTACGGTAGGGATTGCCCCAAAGATAATAGAATCAACAATACTTCGACAATCCAAGGGTTGTAATCAAGTAAAGGGAATTATCAATGCAAAAACTACCTGAGGATTTAAGAAGTTGCTGGTTGTTACTGAACCAAGAATTGACCTGTTGAGGCCCTTGATATTTCTATGCTCAAAAGAAACAGTTCCACCGGGCTGGAGCGAAGCCTAAACAAGCAATGAAGAAAAAGTGAAGATCTAATAAAAAAAAAATATTATCATGAATGATGTCAAACTGTACAGGATCGTACCAATGTGGGACGACCTCCTCGACCAGGTACAATGCTCCACTCGGTGCTGACTTCAGCCTGCTTTTGCTCTAGTTCTTTAAGCTTAATCTCTACGATGATGCCCCCTTCATTCTTCTCATCAGGACGAGGGTTTACTTCGATATTCGAAAATAGAGCTAGAGAATTGATGTTTCTAAGCGCTTGTTTTCCCGCTTCTATGTTGAAAACATGGCTTTGGCGAAGCTGTAAAATTGTTCAAACATAAAAGCAATCATGAGAGACAAACCCTCAGAGAACATTATAACCGGGCTTAGAGATGTGTAACAACTAGAAACAACAAGCTACAATCGTCAGAAGGTGAAGCACTTGGAAATCTTAATCAGACTGGGATAATTGGCCGTAAATAGAAGATCAACTACACATAACCATTCTTATCACAAGTTTCAGTGCTCTAAGACTTCAGTATTCACATTGGCAGCATCAAAAGTTAAAAAGAGAAAAAAGAGATTAAAGCTCACAAACACATCACATGTGGGATATACCTGCTTAGGCAACTCCCTTCTAATGACAGGATTCTGGGTATTCCCTTCAACCACATTGCCCAGCTTATCTTGGAACTGGATCACAAGCTGAGTGATATCTCCTTCCACAACCTCACAAACCACCTCCTTGGTATTCAAATTCCCAAAGTTAACCACTTGAGCACACGCATAGCCTTCATCATGGTACCATTTCTGCACTCTATCCCTAATCTTCTGCAGCAGACGAGCGCTCACCTTACCCTGATCTCTCAACATCTGCAGAATCTCCCTATGCACCAGCATCGGCAACATACACGGCCTGGCCCTGTCGATTCTCCTCCTATAATCCTTCTCTTGGCTCCTGTAGTACTCCAACTTCTCCTTATCGGTCATATCCGGGTCCATCTCGATCGGTTTGGACTGCGGCATCAGCCCCACATTGATGCACCTAAACTTATCAGCAGATTGCCATGTGCTCTCGGTAAAAGAAATGGTCAAACTCAAGGTCCCATCCGCCTTGGTCTTCCCTTCCATGTCAACTTTTTCAAACATCCCACAAGTGGCCAAAGTCTCCAGCTCCTTCTGCAGCTGCGCTTTAGTGTAGATGCCGCCAGGCCTCAGGGAGACCATCTCGAAGAACGAATCCTCGGTTCCCACGGTGGTCCATCTTCTCCTATCGAAGAACAAGATCTCCGAGAGCTTGTACTTCTTGAAGCCGCTGAGCTTGTTGAGCTGGACCACAATGTTGGCAGGCAAGCCGTGGGAGTCCCACTCCTGATTCTGCTGCTCGTCGGCAATCGCGGCCGGGGCAGAGAACAGCCGCCCCCAGAAACCGCCGCCGCCGCTTCCATCACCGCCGCCGCCGCCACCTCCACCGCCGCCGAACCCGTTGCCGCCGCCGCCGCCGCCGCCGATGGGGGAGAAGCGGAGGAGAATGGCGAAGGAGGCGGCCGCGGCGGCGGCAGCGGAGGCGAGGGGCCTGGGGAAGGAATCGAGGAGGGGGCTAGGGCTAGGGCTAGGGCTAGGGCTGAGGGATTTGACGGAGCGGGAATCGGAGGCGGGAGGGTCGGAAGCAGGGGAGGAGGAGGAGGGGTGGCATTTGAGGGAAGGGAGGGGTTTAGGGTTTTGGGAGGAGGAAGAGCGGAATTTGCGGCGGGAGGAGAGGGAGTGGGTGAGGGTCGGGTTGAGGAGGTGGCCGGAAGCGGCGAATGCGGGCATGGCGGCTTCCCTCCTCTCGGCCTCGAAGACGACGACGGAGGAGCAGGCGGAGGAGGAGGAGGAGGACGGATAAGGAGGGAGAGAGAAGAGAGAGAGGGTTTTTGCGCTTTGTTTGTTGCAGTAGAAGGAGAAGAACTACACTTCGGGGAGCGTTTGGTGTTGTTGGGCTTTTTGTTTTCTTTGGGCTTCAACTCATGAGTTTTCGGGAGGGTTTTTGCGGACTATCCTAAGCCAGATGTAATCAAATCATTATTTATCCCAAAAGGATGACAGATTTAAACTTTGACCCGATATGTAACGTGATTCGTGAATTTTTAATTTATCTAATATGATCCCTGAAATTTAACTCAATGTACAATGTTGTCCCTGAACTTTCAATTTGTTCATGGGGTCCATGGAGTTTTGGTAGATGTTCAACTTAGTCCCTAAACTATACAGAAATATTCAATGTTGTCTTTCCATTGATTCAAGTTCAGGGACAATATTAAATAGTTTTACTTAGTACAAGGACCAAACTGAACATTTTCCAAAAGTCTAATAATCACACTGAACAAATTGAAAATTCAAGGATCACGTTGCATATTGGGTTACGGTTTATGGATTATATTGAATAAAATAAAAAGCTCATGAACCACATTGTACATTGGGCCAAACTTCAACAACTATTTGTGTCAGTTTCCCTATTCTAAACTTTAGCCTAATGTGTATCAATGTGGTCCCCGAACTTTTGTTTCATGTTTAATTTAATCTCTGAATTGTATGAAAATGTTCAATATTATCCCTGAACTTGAATTAATGGAAAGGTAATATTGAAAATTTTCACACAGTATGGGGACTAAATTAAACCTGTACCAGAAGTCCAGGCTTTCACATCGAACGAATTAAAAGTTCACGGACCACATTGGACATCGAGCTAAAGTTCAGGGTCCACGTTAAACGAATTTAAAGTTCAAGAATTACGCCGTGAGTTTCAGGAATCAATGACATTATCCGTGACAATGCTCTCCTGATTCCTAGGGGTCAACACAAGCCACCGGCTTTGCGCTTGTATCTCCAGATCATCAGCGGCTGTTCAGGGATAAAAACAGCTGGCTGTTGGGTTCCGAGGATATGGGATTTTAAGGCATCTGAATTGCTTGTGCCATGCACGAATATTCTCCCATTTCTTTTCGGACAAGTGTAATCTCATACGCCCACAAGCTTTATATAGTCCCTTCCAATCCGATGGTACTGATCTCCCGCATTCCTTCGTCCGCGCTTTCGCCCCGCAAAACGATGCGCGACCGTCGCTCCCCAGTTTGTTAAAGCTCTGGGACCCTTTGGGATGATGGCCTCTTGAAAGTGATCTTGAAGAAGGGAAGGCCGCAGAGAAACAGAAAGCACGTCAAGGGATTGTTTTGAGATCTGTCGAATAGTCCGGTGAAACTAGATGGCTCAGCGATTCGATGGGAGGCAGAGATACAGCAACAGCAACTCCCCGAGTCCTCGAACCCCGACCACCCCGACGGTCGAGCAGCTCCTTTATGGTATGAGATGGACACTGAAACACCTACGGCGCATTGGCATTCCTCAATCGTCGCTCGTTCTGGTTCATTCTTGTTGGTATGATTAAACACCGATGCCCAATGGCCATGTGAGTCACATGCTCTTTGTATTCTAACTGCATCGCAGACGGACCAGGCGAAAGTTCCAGGTGGTCCTCGAGCTCCCCGACGTTTATGAGGGGCCACGATCTGGAAGACGACCACTTCCACACGTACCCCAACAACAAGAAGTCTGTTCTTGCCAAAGTGAAAGAAAGGGCTAGAAGATGGCGCCTCGGCCTCGGCAAGAAAAGAAATGCCGATGATGGTAACACCACACCGTCGTGGGGGGTCAGCCTGGATGAAGATGATGCTGAAGAAGACGCTGAATACCTCGGAGCCCCAAGTAATGTCATCCCCTTTTTCATGCTCTACTGTTTAGTAGTACCGAAAAGTCTATACAGAGAAGATATTGGATCACTTCCCGACTTCTCTTTCTGCAATTTCCTCTGGAAAAAAGGAAAGCATTCTGTACCGAGCTCGGCGTAAGCATGGAGTTTCCCAAGGAATAATCTTCTAGTTGGAATCAAATCGTTAGAAATGTGACCCTGGAGATATAAAGCTTTGAGGAATCATTTTCTGTTTTTCGCTTTTCAGTGTATGAGTCGGAGCTGGCACCTGAAGACTGCAAGGAGAATGCGAGGCAGCATCCGAGAGCAAACCCGGTCATATCGGAGAAGCATCTTTTGCCAAACAGTATCAATCATGAAACCGAACTCAGTAAAGGAAACCCTCTAAGTCCTAACAAGACAATGACTGAAACCATGACGGAGAAACTGGCACCGGCATATGCCATGGTCTCTGATGCAACTCTGGCGATCACTTCCAAAATCCAAAACGCGCCTGCTTATGCAACTGATGCAACTTATGTTATCGCTTCAAAGATTCAGAATGCGCCGGCTTATGCGACAGATGCAACTCATGCTGTTGCTTCAAAGATCCAGAACCTTTCGGTCGGTTCTCCGGCAGCAGGTTTGGCAGCTGGCGGGCCTGCTAAAACTGCCGTTAGCGGGCACGAGCGGGATACTCCTGCCGAGCAGAAGTTGGATAAGGGAGTGTCGGTGAAGGAATATATAATGCAAAAGTTTGAACCCGGGGAAGATGACAGGGCACTGTCTCAAGTGATATCCGAGGCAATAAGTCCTCGGAAAGGTCCTGCTGATGCAGGTGTGGTTGAGAAGGTCAGGGAGGCCGTCAGTAATTTGCTTCGAAACCAAGAGGCATCGTCCACTACTGCTTTTCATTCTGCTACAAATTCTTCTACGCATATCCCGGTATCAACCAATGCCTATGCAGGTAAATTCCGATTTTTCCATTCCATGCCAATTGTAACATTCTTTCTGAGATTAAAACAAATAAATGCACTAGTTTTAGTTGATTAGCAACTGCAAATCAGAGACCGAGAACAAGGACAAACCATTCTAGTAGACCAGGAAGTAAAATTTCATGGGAGGTTTTTTCGCAAACCCCTGGTAAAGTATGTTGTTTAGCCTTTTGAAGGGTGTAGTGAAAATGGTGGATAGAGACGAGTCACAGTAGTATTGAGGAAATTAGAGTAACCATGAGAATCCATGTGTACAACTGCATTGAGCATTGTCCCAAGGCTTCTATCTTCTGCGAATCTTACTGCGTGCTTTCTCTTGCATTGTAGCCATGGAAGAAGAGAATTATGGGAGAATACTCCAAACCAACTGAAAGACTGAAAGTGGAACGGACATCCCCTCCGCTGTCGATAATAGAATTTTGTTTTTCTCGATTTGTCATGTATATTGTGGATTAACAAATGTTAATTATGTTGTATCAGTGCAGCAATCGTTTTCTGCAGCGAAATATGTAGTATGTACAAGAAATAAAAAGGATATTTTACTGTAAATTACAACCGACTACTATTCAGCATATTGACTTCACTAGGATCAGCATTAGGTTGTGCTTTTGTTCTCTGCAAACATTGAAGCAAGTGCGAGACTGAAAGGATTGGCCAAACATCAACAAAACTTTTTTGATATAGTACAAACAAGAAACAACAAAGACAGTATGTCTCGGTGATTGCAACTACAGCTCTCAATTCTGGCAGTTGCAACGAAGTCTTATCATGAGAAAGGAATCCGTTGCTTGCTTGCATTCATTACTATGAGCTTACGACTCCTCATTTTACTACCACTAACAGATGAACACACCAAACCATCAAACTTCCAGAGCGAGCATTCTAGTTGAAGAAGGTTCCACTCTCGATGGCATCCTTGTTGGCATCACCGAGAGCAGCATCGCTCAAGTACTTGTCAGCCAACTGGACTCTCTTCACATTCTCCTGTTCCTGCACAAGCATGCCTCCGTACTCAAGGAGCTTCTCAAGGGTCATCTTGGGCTGCTCGAAAGTCGGGGGACCCTCCTTCGAGTTCACGAGCTTCTTTCCAACGCTCTCAACTCCAACACCGGAGATCCACTTCCTCACTTCATCATCGTAGACACGAGCACGCAGGGCACCAAAGAAGTCTGCAAGCAGGAGCAAGCAAGCTCATGAATGACGACATCTCCTCAAAATGGTTGTTGGAATTCTACTAAAACTTTCTCACTCGATTTACATTGATTCTCAAGTTGGTTTTTGGATTCCATTTTTGAACTCCCGCATTCTCAAAGGAGATTTTATCCATAACCACCGTATTAATTGCAATTATTACAATCATTCATAGAGGTATTTGAAACATGATCCCCTTTGGAAAATTTGGAGAGAACAATTGCCAACAGAAAATTCTATGTTTATACTTACCAATAGATTGGCCAGGGAAGTTGTCGACGAGTTTGACAATGTTTTCGTCGGGGACATTGTCGGACCTAAAGATACCTTTGCAAACACCAATGCGGTCTTCGCGAGTTGGTGCCCAGTAGAATTTCTCCATACGACCGTCACGGATAAGAGGGGCATACAATGTGGAGAAGTCGTTACCAGTGACGATGATGGGGACTCGGGGGTTCTCCTCCTTGTTGTACATACCAGGGAGCAGGACATTGGTCGGGTTATCAGCGATGTTCATGAGGGTAGCGTTCACCATCTGGTTGTTCACGGTGTATTGAGTGGTCCCACCAAGTCTACCGGCACCGGCATCGAGATCATTGATGAAGAGGCAGCACATCTTGCCCTTCTTGATGATATCGGCCGCCTCACGATACCTTTGCCTGATCAATTTTGCGGGCTCACCAGCGTTTCCACTTTCCAGTTCTCCAGCACTCATCATAATGGGGCTGATATTGCACGATCAACCAATTAGATGATAAAAGCATAAGCATGTGTTCTTTTTATAGGTTAGATTTCCCTTTTAATCCTTCCAAAAACTTCTCATTAGTTCATGAAGAACTCACTTGATTCCCATCTTGGCAAAGACAAGTTCACACGGGAAGGATTTGCCCTGACCTTTGCCTCCCCAGATACCCAAAATCAGAGGAACCTGAAACGGAAAGACCACGACAAAGATCTGTGAAAAGGAAAAAGTTCAATCTATATTATAATTACGGATTACATCAATATATATAGTGCGAGTATTAGGGCTCACTAACAATGAAAAGACTAAACTACCCTTTAACACTCCCCCTCAAGTTGGGGCATAAATATCAAAGAGCCCCAACTTGTTACATAAAGTAATCACTCTACTACCCCGCAATGACTTAGTGAAAAGATCGGCAAGTTGGTCTTGGTCCAGGTGTGTATTGAAGTGTTATGTCCTTGTTCGGAATCTTTTCTCGCACAAAATGGCAATCCACTTCGATGTGCTTCGTGCGCTCATGAAAACTGGATTTGAAGCGATATGCATAGCGATTGATTATCACAACACGAGAATTGAGGAAGTTGAAGATGGCATGCTAAGTTCGGATAACAACATCCTCAACCAAAGCAACTCACTAGTTACATGAGCCATGGCCCGATATTCTGCCTCTGCACTTGATCGAGACACTACCTGTTGCTTCTTACTTTTCCAACTCACAAGATTGCCTCCCAAGAACACACAATAGCCAGAAGTTGATCTCCTATCAGTAGGACATCCGGCCCAATCAGCATCAGAGTAGCCAGTAACATTGAGATGTCCATGATTCTTGAACAGGATCCCTTTACCTGGTGCTCCCTTTAAGTACTTAACAACACGTAGCACTGCCTCCCAATGTGTAGTACGAGGAGCACTCATAAATTGACTAATCACGCTAACGGCAAAAGAAATATCTGGTCGAGTGACAGTTAAATAGTTGAGCTTACCCACTAACCTTCGATACCTACTGGGGTCATGAAGAAGGTCCCCATGTTCTGCATCAAGTTTCACATTAGGATCCATTGGAGTATCGACAGGCTTAGCTCCCGAAAACCAACTTCACTGAGGATATCCGAACATATTTTATTTGTGATAATGAGATACCATCACGTGAGTAGGCCACCTCAATGCCCAAGAAATACCGTAGACAACCCATATCTTTTGTATTGAACTCTGCCTGTAAAAACTGTTTCAACTTTTGTATGCCTAGAGAATCACTACCGGTGATGATAATATCGTCCACATACACAACTAGGAGAACACACCCCGGGAAGAAGTGGAACTAAACACAGAATGATCCACGAGTGCAACGCCGCAAACCAAACCGAATAACGCATCTGAAACGACCAAACCAAGCACGAGGAGACTGTTTCAACCCATATAATGCCTTGCGTAGGCGACAAACACTAGTAGACTCCCCCTGAGCAACAAACCCGGAGGTTGCTCCATATACCTCCTCTCGCCAAGTCGCCATGAAGAAAGGCATTCTTGACATCAAGCGATGGAGAGTCCAGCCATATCGGACAGCAAGAGAAATGAAAACACGAACGGAAGGTATCTTTGCAACGGGAGAAAACGTGTCATCATAATCAATTCCATAAGTCGAGTGTAACCTTTGGCACCAAACGGGCCTTCGGACGCTCAATAGAACCATCCGGTTGAAACTTCCTTGTGAAAACCCAACGACACCCTACAACTTTGTTTGCCGGCGGTAACGGTGTAAGATGCCATGTCCCATTATCTTTGTAGCGCTTGCATTTCATCCTCCATAGCCGCCAACCTGGATGAGCAAGAGCCTCTGCAATGATACTTGGCACAGACACTTCGAGATAAAGAAGCAACGAAAGAGGAATATGTAGGAGAAAGATAATCGTAGGATAAAACCTGAGAAAGAGGGTGACGAGTATGTGTATGACAAGACAAACCGAGTATAGGGGCAAACCGGGAATTAGGTTGACCAACACAAGAACGCGTACCTTTGCGCAATGCAATAGGAATATCGGTAGTAGGATTAGGCTCGGAAGAAACGGCGGATCGGAGGCCGAGGCATAAATTGGTGGAGAATCATGCATATCCAAGGCGGGCGATGTGTACTACCTCACGTTGAAGATGCGACGCCGTTGATAAGTCTTGTCGGCAAGGCGAAAATCTGGCGACGTTCTAGGTATGCTAGACAAGGGGATAGGTGGTAGGGGGACTATGTCCGAGGACAATGTATCTTCATAAGGAGACATCGGTTGAGTAGAAGAAGAGTAATATGATTGATCCTCAAAAAAGGTTACATCTGCCGAGACATACAACCGCCGACTAACCGGATTATAACACTTGTACCCTTTTCGAGTTCGAGAGTATCCAAGAAATACACACTTGTGTCAGCCCGTGGATCGAGCTTATCATGACCGGGAGCAAGATGATGCACAAAACAAACACAACCAAACACACGTAGCGGTAAAGAAAAAGTGGACTCACGGGATGGAGAGTAGAGAAAGGTATCCCTCCACGAAGCACGAGAGGATGGGAGACGATTTATGAGATAGCATGATGTAAGAATAGCATGCCCCCGAACATTTTGGGAGGTTCATATGAAAAAGTAGACAGCGAGCAACATCCAAGAGATGGCGATTTTTCGTTCGCCACCCCATTCGCTGGGGAGTATAGGGACAAGAGGTCGATGCGAGAATTCCATGAGATGTAAGAAATGGTTGAAAACCGGAGGAAACAGACCATATATTCTTTGGCATTATCGGAGCGCAAACATTTAACGAAACATGATACTGATTGAGAATTTCAAAGTAAAACATACGAAAACTAGAAAAAACTTGAGTTCGATCTTTTATTAAATATAACCATGTTACACGAGAATAATCATCTACGAATGTAACAAAATACTTATAACCGGATATATCAACGACACGACATGGTCCCCAAACATCGAATGGACCAACTCAAAAGGACTTGACACACGACTACGGACACGGGAAGGGAAAGATACTCGATGATGTTTGCCAAATTGACAAGCATCACACTGGATAGGACTCTAAACGATGAAACATTAGAAAAATGACGAAGTATGTCGGGCGGTGGATGACCCATACGACAATGCATCTTAAAGAAGTCGAGGCGGTACTCTTCGAATAGTGGTACTCTTTTGGAAGCAATAAGATCTTTGTTTAGGTAGTACAGCCCATTGGACTCATGCCCTCCACCAATCATCCGTCCAGGTCCTCGAGATCTGAAAGACACAACCGGTGGAGGTAAATGTCACAGAGCAATTCAAATCTTTGGTAAGGGAACTAACGGAAAGCAAGTTATATGGAAAAGTTGGTAAATGGTAAACGGATGAAAAGAAAGAGAGGGACCCAAGGTTACATTCCCTTGGCCGGTAATGTGGGATTGTGAACCATCGGCAAGTGTAACGAGAACTAAGTGACATAGAGGTGATACCGGATAATAAGTTAGAATTACCGGTCATATGATTTGTAGCACTGAGTCTACGACCCATGAAGTGGCGCGGAAGAGAGTAAACAAGACGAACTACTGAAGAAGTACGTGCCAAAGTAGAGTAGGAGGCGAGGAATCCTCCACCTGGTGGGAACGTACTAAGGACTCATACTCGGCACGAGACAACATAATGGTGTTAGGCGGTTTCGTGGTGATCGGGAACCTTTTGCTTTGGAGACTCACCTACATCAGCATAAGCGGCTTGTGGACGAAGTTCGGGATGTAGAGTGTAGCAATAATTCTCGGTATGGCCAGCTCGTTGACAATGGTTGCAATAACGTGAACTTCCGGTACTCTACCACCATCTCGGCCACGACCGGAGAAAAACCAGAAATAAGTGTCTAGTCTCTCGCAAAGAGTGGTAAACCTTGAATAGTAATCGGGTATAGACATATCCCCTGCAAGTAGATCAAATAACTCCTCCCAGACATCACAAACACGGGTCATGTTATCTCTTCCGAAAACATAAGAGCACACTTGTCCCAAATGGCTTTGGTGATGTACATCGCATAACGAGGACTAATCTTGGAATCCATAGTATTCCACAATAATGTCCGAATGGCAGCATCGCCGAGCGCCAATCATCCGCTTTGCTTTATCCGAAGGTGGAGGTGAAGTCGGATAACTTAACGCTTGGTAGCCAACAAATACGTCTCAACCGCCATAGACCAAGAAGGGTAATTGGTCCCATCTAGCTTGACAGAACTCAACTTGATTAGTAAGACTGGTATCCATACTCATATTTGATTCGGGGTTTCTAGCCATGCGAAAATTTAGTGGAAAATTGAAAACACTATCATATATATGTGGCTGTGCATGAGTGGGGCACTAATACACCAGACCATCAAATTCGCAGATGCATGTCAGGAAGAGATCCTAGCCGACTGTTGCACGTCTGCACCATATTCACTCAGGACAAAGAAAGAGCTTGATAGCATGTCGATGTTCGAAGGGCCAGAGAGATTTAAAGGTTAGTGCGTGTATTTCGGGGTCTAGTGACAACCTTTGTCTGACTCTTTTTCCAAAATCACGAAGTTTCCCATTTAATCTAAAAACAACTGAACAGAACTCCACCAACAAAACGGAACAATGCCAACGAATTTGCCTCGAGAATTCCCTACGAATTGCAGAAGACAACAACGCCCATGAATTTTCCTCGAGAATTCGAAATCTGCCTATTTTCCCAAAAGCAACTTCGATTCCTTCTCCAATTTCCAAAATCAGCTTCAATTCAGAATCTGCTCTCTCTCCCCATTGACTACCAAGTCAATTCCTACGGCCTTGGATCACAATTAACACAAACAATACACTCTAATGCAAGAAAGAGAACTTTACCATTGGATGTGCATATCAAGTACGACAGTTTTGATGCGACCTAGCATGAGGCGGGACTCGCGCAAAGAGGGTGCGCGACCCGCGCGAGGAAGACGCGAGAGAGGCGATGCACGAGAGGAAGAGACAGGCAAGCTATTCCGGCAAGGGGTCGATGGCGGCGAGTCGTCGCTTCTTCAACTAGGGTTAAAAACCCGCTCTGATACCATGTGAAAAGGAAAAAGTTCAATCTATATTATAATTACGGATTACATCAATATATATAGTGCGAGTATTAGGGCTCACTAACAATGAAAAGACTAAACTACCCTTTAACAAGATCAAACATCGAAAAGCAAATTACTCCTCGGCCTCATCAGAATCGGGAAGTTCAGCTACTCACCTTGATGTTAGGCAGGGTCATGAAGTTCTTGGTGATGTGAACTACAAGCTTGTCCATGAAAGCAGGAGCAATGTAGAAACCATCCATGTTGTTGTCCAGGTTGTATCTGAAACACAAGACGAATTTGCAGTATGAGCACTAGTCACATCGACCATCTCGTAATAGGAAATCGCAAGCACTTGTCTCGGATGATCAATATGTTTACACTTACTGGTCAATATGTTTACACTTACTGGCGAAGGCCAGTACTAAGGTATTCGTATGAGCTCATGACGGCATAATGAGTTCCGGTCCCCATGGGAGCCTGGAAGAGCGAATCAACCATCCCCTTTCCTCTGGTGATGTCCTGTTGGTCATCAGAAGTATCGAAGGCAAGGCCTCTCCATTTGTCCTTGTTGGTCTGCTGATCCTCATCAACTTCAGCGACAACCTTGAAGCTTCTGGATGAAACCTTCAGGGAGGCGAATCTGGAGTTCACCTTCTTTAGGCTGCTTCCCATGAAGACCGAACTGGGGACTGAGCCTCCAGAGCTCGAGTTGTTCAAGCTCAACTGGATCAACACAAGATTCTTTTGATGAGCATGCAGTCATTGTGATTAAAGCGTTAAACAGTATGTAAACAAACTAAAATGAACGTGGTTGGAACGTTTAGAGAAGCATGGTTTTTAGTTTTGACCCATTACCTGAATGGGTGAAGAACAGAAATCAAGTACAAGTTTTAGTTCAATCTTCCAAAATCTAGAAAACCCGAAAGGCAAAATCAAGAACATGATCAAGTACACTTGATCTCGTGCATGACCCCTCCATAAGCTACAGGAAAATTTCGAACTTCCCACGGAAATAAAAAAGGTGAACTTCAAACCAATGCATGAATGAAAATAGCATATAGTCACTTTCTTAGTGACAGCATAGTGTAAACTGTCGAACATTATAAGCACACACACCCACTTGCTTCCAGAATCGACACAAAATTACGAGATCATCGAGTTGGAAAAATGGCGGGAAATTACCGGGTTAACAGTTCCAACGGTTGAAACTGTGGCAGCCATGGGCTAATGTCTACTTGGGACTTGATCAAACGACAAGCTACTTACTTAGACAAGTGCTTGAAGCTTGTGTGTGTAGTGTGTCTGTGTGACTTGGTTTGAACAAGCGAACATGCCCCTAAGCGCAGAGAAATAAGAGGACCGGCGGGGTTTTATAAGCACTCAGTGGCCAGACCATCCGGATCGCTCGGCCGACACGTGGCACCAACTCGAGGCCACCGTTTGCCATGTAGGACAAGGTAGGGTGTTTCAGTTTTCCTGAATCGGAGTGACAATTGAGGCTGAGGTCATTGCTCTTCTCTTCACCACTAAAAAAACTGGTGCGCTTTTCTTTTTTTCCTATTATTCTCTTTTATTCTGGAAAAAACCAACAGTAGAAATTTTGCGAATGGTGATAGGTTTGAAATGGCGATAACATGTGGATAAAGCCCAATCGACTCCAAAAAAAATCTCTGTACGCGACAAATTAGAATTGATTTCTGAGGTGGAGTGGTGCTTTAGTTCCCTTACAGGAAGCTACTAGAGTTCTTCCATATTAGTGGCTCGTGTTCAACACCCTATCCTCCAATAAGAAATGAGCCTGCAATTTTTTCCTAATAAAAGATGTCCTGAAATTTTTCATGGCCTCTGTTGATGAAAGTCGATTTACGACCATAGGAAAATTGTGGGAAGTACCAGACTAATGCCGTGCGCTTTTAGAGCTCTTCTTCTGCTTCGACAGCCACAGGATGCTAATCAAGAGCCAGCTTCTTCCGGTTCGCAGCTAAAAGGTGAATAAAGAAATAGGAGAGCTCAGATGATACTGCGAAAAAGCTTAAGTGACTAAACGTGCATCGGCTTCACTGAGACAATTTACATGTACAAGAGTCTACATCCGAGTTCTTACATATACATGAGAAACAAGTAGCTCTACAGCTTCACAACAGTCACTTGTGCAGACATGATCATCTGGCAAAATGTTCGATTTCCATTGCATCTCTTGATCAGGTCAATTTTGCAAATTGTCGTATCAACCACAAGGATATCACTGTGCAAATGTCATCAACTGAGAGTACTTGCTTGTTCTGTTAACAGTATTAGGACTTGGGAGTGAAAAGGAGCATTTGAGTAGTCCTGCTAATTTGCACAGCTGGGAAGAGACATGCATCAGCAGGTTCGTCAAGGTTCTTCTTGTTGTAGAGCTTTCAACAAATTGATATGGTGTGACTGCCTTCACTTGAGTATTTTGGACTCGATTTCTTCCAAGCTCAAACCTTTGGTCTCTGGGACAAGGAGGACTACAAACAAGAGCGATAGCAAAGCAATAGCCCCAAAAAGGAGGAAAACATTTTCAGCTCCTAGCAACTCCTGCAAAACAAAAGACACTGTTTTCAATCACCCTAAAGAAGTAAAATACAGGACAAGCAGATCCAGATCACTTAAGATTGACTACCTTTAAAGGCGCGAAGGCGAAGGTCACAATGGCATTTGATCCAAAGTTTGTCAGTACTGCAAGACTGATTCCCCGCCCTCGGGTGCGCAGTGGAAATATTTCTGACACCATGAGCCAGCTGATGGGTCCAAATGATATCTGACAACCACCACGAAGAACTATGCTCTTAACAATGGTTCACTACTCACGTATTAGGCAATAAGTAACGAGGGCATGTGTGTAAATAGAAATGTTAAAAATGACGGGCTAATTATGCATATAACATCAATTTGCAAGAATCCAATGATGATTTCTAGTGTTAATTTCAATTTTGAGGCAGAAAAATAACTATAGAATTTTGAGAGAGGTAGAATGGAAAAAAAATTATTAGATTGCATTCAAATTATGATAGATTATTTCAATTGAATTTTTGAGTTGAACAGCAGAAAATGAAGAAGCCAGGAATGGCCGTTTGTGGAAGACATATTAGTCACCTGATAGCAACCCACATAGAGGAGCAAAGAAGCAACAGCAACGAGAGGGAATCCTCCGAGAAATTTGTAATAAGAAGAGAGGAGGAGTAAAGAGATAACCTGAACACATAAAAAGGAGAATGAAACAGTCCATTATAATTTTCTGGGACATCCTTGACATTAGAGAGTAATGGAGAGAGTGGGAAGATTTTTCGGTGGAAAGAAAAGCAGGACAAGATACATACAATCCCAGCAACACCTCCAATCAGCAGGGGTCTTCTTCCAAGGTCATCAACTTTTAGAACAGCTATCCATGTCACCAGTAACTGAAGAAGTATCATTGGAAAGGAAAATTTGGTCACTGAAGAAGGGAAGCCTAAGGAACAGAAAAACACGTGATAGGCTGTTATAAAGAATTAATCATACCTTGAAAAGGCCAATTACAACTGAAACTCGGGTAGCATCAGCAGCAGCAGAGAAGCCAGCACTCTTGAGCATCAACAACAAAAGTTTGATCAGGTGGAGTCATTATTGATTGAACTTGAAATGATAGAAGTGCTGGAAGCTGTCATGTACCTGGAGAATTGGGCCTGCATAATAGAGAACACTCGGCTGCCCAGTGATCTGCCAAAAACCAGGTGCCAAATTGCTTAACCAGCCATGGCCTTTACCCATCTCCAGTAAATGCCATATGATAGAAGAAAGGAGCAAGAAAAGAATATGCCACTTTTGGCATATCAGTAAATTTACCTGTTGGAAAAGGACTAAACCGCCAGCGATGATGAAGGCTTTTAGGCTAGGCCCCTGGAATACCTCCAGAAAACTTCCTTCGGGTCCCTCGTCTGCATAGGCAGATTTCAGGGGGACGAGAGTGTCTTCTATCTGTCTTTCAGACACCTTGTCACCAGCGGGCCGTCCCCTTAATCTGCTCAGGGCAGCAACTGCTTTTTCTTTGTAGTCTTGTAAAGGCCCTTTACCTTGGACAGCCCTTAGAAGCAACCAGCGAGGAGATGGAGGAAGACTCCACATGCCCAGTCCCATTACTAATGCAATAGGGGCACCCACTCCATACATGTATCGCCACCCCCCAACGACTCCAATCTGAAAGCTTCCCACAAAATAACCCAACTGCCAAAAGGATCATTTTTGTTTTCAAGAAAAGTAATGCATGCTTTCTCAGAGATACGCATTTTCTAAGAATTACCAGAATCCCAAGAACTATGAAGAGTTCCTTCAAAGATATCAGGGTTCCACGAATCTGAGACGGGCACGTTTCCGCAATATATAGAGGAGCTCCACGCATAGCCTGTGGAAATCGTGTATTGAAGCATATGGCCAAGAACAAGATGAGAATTCACGAGAACAACAAAGAGTGTGCAAGTGTTCAATTAGCTTACCAGCCCAATGCCTAGGCCATAGAGTAGTCTTCCTAATAAGAGAACACCAAGACCAGGGGCAAAAGATGTGATAACACAACCGAAGAGATAGAGTACAGCTGCTGTAATAAGTTCTCGCCTCCTCCCTTTAAAGTCAAAAAAAAAAATTTAGAGTGTCTAAGAAGCCGGCTATTTGAATTATAAAAGAAAAGACAAATGAAAACGAAGAGAGTACCAAGAAAATCTGCAATTGGATACACAAGAAGGGAACCTAGAAGAGCTCCATAAAGAGAACCGCTAACCTATGATCAATCGAAACAGATATTTCAATTGGTGCACACATTGTACAGAAATGAAAATGCTATGAATATGAGATTTGATATGTGAACCATACCACAAGACCAAGCTGAACAGCTGAGAGGTCGTACCAAGTAGTGCCACTAAGCAGAGGAGACTGAAAGCGTGGCAAAATGACAAACTCAAGTGTCAAACAATAGACCACTTTCACGGGATCTTCCCATACTTAAATTTGATCAACAGAAAATAATAAAACATGATTGTGTCTTTTCACCTGCAACGAGATGGTTGCACCCGAAGTGGCACCAATATCATAACCAAATAACAATCCCCCGAGTGCTGGGAACAAGAACCTGGAAGATTCATTCCTTAGATTTATTGAAGGCAGTAATTTCCTGGCTATCTAATACCAACAGACCATATAGACATCCGAAAGACGGTATACAGCATGCTCTTAGACGATTTATTTACTCCCGTGACTTCTATACCTAGCGATTGACATATAGTTTCTCGCAATTAGCACATTGTGATAAAAAAATGCTCTCCAAAAGAGAGGAAAGGAGACCAATGCAGGTCTCAAATTTGATGTTAATCTCACGTTTCCTCGATCCGAAGCACTGTCGCATGGAATGCTGAATTGTGTGGAATTACAAACAATGCCCATCAGTCCCCCATGAACAAGGTAGCCATTCGAAGGACAAAAACAAGAGCAGTGCAAAACAGAGAGAGAGAGAGAGAGAGAGAGAAATCGTACGGAAGAATAACGGAAGACCAAGAAAACTCCTCTTTGTTTGGGTCGGAGATGAGCGACTCAGCATCTCCAGCTGTAGAACCATACTCCCTCCGTGCACCAACCTGCCCAGAAAAAATCACGACCACGAGAAAACCAAAAGAAACTCACTTCTCAGAATACCAAAATCCAAAGTGGAGGAACACCCCCCCAAAGAAAAAAAGTCAAAGAAGCCATATCAGCCACTGATCCCTCACAGTGAACTCGAGCTTCGAACTTGGCAACATGGGCAGACTAGGAAACTCGGCATTCCCGGATTCGAGACGGCCCTTGGGGAGGCTCAAATTCTGGCAGGGACGTTGAACGTGGCGATGGGTGCGCGCCGAAATGTGGCGCTGCTGCATCTTGGGTCGAGGGAACGGAGGAGGGCGGGCTCGCGAGAGCTTGAGCTCGAACAGGGGTTGCTGAGCCAAGATGCCGCAACTGCAAGTGCCAGCCATCGAGAAGAAGATCGGACAGAGCTTCGATTGATTCTTCCCGCTTTTTATTATTCTATCCTCTCCGTCGCGTTCGGCTGGCATTTCTGCGGTCTCCTTCGGATGATATTCGGTTGACTTTTCTATTTCGCCACGTGGCTCGGCGTGGACCCTTGATTGGGGAACCATTCAGCTGGAGCTGTCGGCGTGCATCGGTCCCGGTCCCATCCGGGAACCGGACCGAATCGGACCCAATCTGCCAATTTTGGTTGGTTTTCAGAGGAGATCGGTCTAGCTCTCGGGATCAATCGGCCCGAGGCTAATTAGTAAAATCATTTTTTCTTTAAATGTTAGGAAACTCCTACTCGTAGAAAATAGAAGAAACCAAAAAAGAAGAACAAAAAAAAATCATCAATTCCGAAATTGGGTGGGCCGGGTTCCATAAATTAGCAACCGACCATACCCAGTCCGATTTTAGATTTTAGCATGGAAATCAATCTACCCTGAAATCGATCACTCGGCTGAAACTATATTCATACAAATCGGGTTCATGAAATTTGTCGCGAGTCCATGCGAAATTCTCCCTTGATTGGGCCCTTTCTAGCATGTTATGCCATTCACGAAAAAATTTGCAAATTGAGAGGAACAGATTCATGACCATCAGAACGAGGGGAGACACAATTATGACCATACCACGTTGGTAAATAAACAGCTTTCTAGCACCATGTCCGTGTGGGACTCTAACACGTGTTTCGGGAACGTGATTATACACTAAATATCACTTCAAATTACAAAAAGAATAATTCGCCAAATATGTCCAACCATTATTTTAGGAGAAAAAATGGGTTTTTTTTTTGTCCCAAAAAAGTCGGCTTCTTACAGGGGAAATTTAAAATGGTATTTGACTAGGAGCTCCTCGAAATGCTATCGGCCATGGAATTTGCGGGCAAAATCTCTCGTCAATTCTCGGAAAATTCACTCAAAATGGCGTCTCTCTCTGCTCGCCCAAAAGGCAACCTCGATCCATCATTTCCGTCTCGACTTCTTCGCAACACCAAGTGCTCGCCAACTTTGAATCCCCGGCTCTTCAAGCCTTAAGGCATCATGCACCGCCAGACGCTTCCCTCTCGCGTTTCTCCCCTTCCTCCTTCACGAAAACGATAAAAGAGCCGTCGGCGGGATCGACCCTTTTCGTCGCTCGACGATGGAGAAAGGCTTCAGTTCCCGAGCCGAGGGAAAGAAGAAGCGCCAAACCCGGCTCCAAGAGCGCGCCCCCACGTCTCTTCGACTCGATCGCATCGTCAATGGCGAGGACGCGATGGCGGGACCCTTTAAGCCCGCGGTGATCCCATTGCTGTCGCCGGTGATTATATGCGCGCCTCCATTGCCCGGGAGCGAGGACTTTCCATTGCCACGCCCGACCAACGATAAAGACGGCAAGAGAGCTAGCCGAGGAGCACCAGCCTCTCCAACCAGAATGGCGACCCCTCCCTTGCGCGCCATCTTCCAATCACGATGCGTTCTTTAGAGATGTCGCGCCGATGCACGCACAAAGTCGGCTAAGGCGAGTTAGGAGCGCAGTTGTTTCGGCATCGCGAAGTCCGTTGGATTAGATTATTGACCTTCTGTAGATGCATGATGGTCGAGTGTTCTGTTCTTCTGCATCATGTAAGGAAGTGCGAGTGTAAAGCCTTCCATAAATAAAGCTATCAATGAAGTAGAAGACGTGGGTTTCTCTAGCAAGTTCCGTGAATTCCAATCTCGCAAGCTCAGAATGATCATCCATGAATCTGTGTTGAAAATGGCGATCGATGAATCGGAACGGGCGAGATCGGAATCGAGACGGGTTACTTCCTTTGCGAGATTAATTGCAGGTCCTAAACCCTTTTCAAATGTCTGATCTTAAATCTTGTGATCGCTATCATGTAAAATTCGAGTGAAAGAATTACACTTGTTTGCAATGACCCTTTTGTCGCTATCGTGTAAAAACGAGACAGGTTACTTGGATTGGAAACGACGGATCTGTCCACCCAACCTAGAATTACACTTTGTTTGCATATATCCTCTTTTGACTCCCACGTGTGTGATTCTCAGAAGGTGCCAAAAAAAAAAAACGGAGGTGGTCAAAAAATCAGAACCCAATCATCTTGGGAAAGATTGTCCAAAAATCCAATATCCATTACATTTTCGCCAAATCAGTTCTAAACTTTTCAATTTTGCTAATTGAGCCATGAACCTTTTAATAATTTACTAATTGAGTCCATCCGATCAATTTTAATCAGAAATCGATAACGTGGACATCGGTCGTCCTACGTGAAATTGAGGTGCTTGCGTTGATAATTTTTAATAATATTGTATATTTTATTATTTTTCTTTTATTTTTTTCTTTTCTTCTATTTTCCTTCTTTTCTTTGCTTTTCTTCTTTTCTCTTCTTTTCTTTTCTTTTTTCCCTTTTCCCTTTGCTGGCCACTGTCGGGTCGCTGGCCATTGACGAGGCCCGGCGGTGGCCGGCTGAAGGAAAAAGGGAAAAAGAAAAACAAAAGAAAGAAGAAGAAAGGAAAAGCAAAGAAAATAAAAAGAAAAGAAGGAAAAGAGAAAAAATATTAGGGTTAGTACTATGAAAAACCTCAAACTTGTACATATATGACAAATTTACCTCGAATAAATTTTTTGATCACAAAAAACTCCAAACTGATACACCTATAACTATTTTACCCTCCATTAGTTTTCATTAAATTTTATTGTCAAATTTCTGAGTTAGATGACACGTGACAGTTGACGGGTGTACCAGTTTAAAGTTTTACCCTCTGTTTGTCACATGTGTACTAGTTTATGATTTTTTGTGGTACTAATCCAATTTAACGGAGAGTAAATTTGACACAAATGTACCAGTTTGGGGCTTTTAGTGGTCAAAAAATTAGTTTAAGGTAAATTTGTCACAGGTGTACCAGTTTAGGGTTTTCTGTGGTATTAACCTAAATTATTAAAATATTATTAAAAATTATTCACATCAGCAATGGCCGTGGCTGTCGTACGTGGCACGGTTGGCATCCACATCAACGATTTTCGGCCAACTCAATTGGCAAAACGTAAAAAAGTTTAAGACTCAATTGACAAAATTAAGAGGTTTAGGACTTAATTGATAAAAGTAGATTTCGAACTTTTTGCACAATTTTCCCAATTAACCCATCAATCACCGGGACCACCACAAATTATTATAATGTTAAGAATAACATGGCATGCTCTACCAATGTGTAAAAGAAGTATTACAATTAAAATAAAAAAAATGACTAACTTTTATTACCGATAAGTAGCGAGCTCGATTGACAAGAACCTAGTTGGTTGAAGAAGTCATTAATGAACGAGACAATTAACTTGAAGAGAGTCGATAACTCATCAATGAAGTCATGGACATCATATATAATAGAAGTTATTGACAAAACCTTTTACCAATTCGACAAAGTTCATCGATAGCTGGTTATTACGAATTTTGCTAAGTACTCGAAGACAAAGAGTATGGATTGATTACATACTTGATTGTTGTTGGTTATCTCGATAGTCTCGAAAGTTCTCTCTCCTTTTATATAATGATTATCAAAGCACGAAGGATCGTGCCTAAAATCTTGGAAAGTGCTTGTCAATAACTGTAATTAAATTATTGATAGATTCGAACTTGATGACCGTTTATTTGTGAGTAAATGCTTTAAGTGGGTTTTAAATACACACATCGTATTCTTTGTAAACTTTCGCCCAAATAATGACAAAACGCTAGTTGCCGGCGAGGTCGAGCTCACTAGCGGCCGATGAGGTAGAGAAAATGATTTGAAAAACGTTATCTTAAAAGTGATCGCTTGAAATAACTAGTTGATGAAAAATATTTTCATCATCGACAGCAGATCATGTTTAAACTTTTTCATGGATGATAAAAATATTTTTTATTTGCACAAATTTTAAAGTGATACATGCGATTATTTTAGAATAATACTTTCCAAATTATTTATTTTTTGCGAAACAAATATACTCTTATATTTTCATAAATTTCCCTTCACTTTCTCGTTTCAAAACACACTAATACATCCCGGATAGAGCACAATTTGTTTTGAGCATCTCCAACGTTAGATGTATTTTCTCATGCAGTTTCTTTTGCGATTACCAGAATTACCAAATATGTTAGACATTTCGGCTTTTAATGATTCTCTCATTATAGGGTAGTTTAATCAAAGTGATGCACAATTTTTTATGCCGTTGTCCGTTCTTCGTTTTGTATATCTAATTTTCGTGATTCAAAAGTATTCCAACTTCGGCTCAATCGAAAATGAATATCGTCTTCATTTTGGTCATGAAAGGCATTTTCGAGCAATCGGACGAGAACAAAATTAAAGCGCATACTTCTTAAATATGCAAGTATCGCTACTTTGCCTCTTTAGGATTGACGTCACCGGTAGTCTTTATACTTTTACCCAAAAATCAAAACCGTCCCTTTACTATTTTTGGTTCAAAACCGTCGATCTACTCTGCAAACAGTGCTGCCGGCGCCGATCATTCTTGGATCAATTTAATGGCGGATTACGCTGACATGAAATTTTCTCGTCTCTCTTTTCCCCCTCTCCTGCTTTGTAAACAGTGTGGCTGACGTCGATCATCCTTGGATGGATCGGTCTAATGGCGGAATGCACTGACATGGATTTTTTTTTTTTTTTTGGTCTCTCTCTTCCCCCTCTCTCCCCTTCTACCCCTCTCCTACAACTATCTTCTTCTTCCTCCTCCTCAACTTCAAATCCCACCAAATTCAAATGCGCATGAGATTGAGGGACTAGGGCTGACCCGGATTCCTTCTTGATTTGGGCCGAATCAACAAGGTCTCTTGGATCCGATCCAAAAGCCGAAGGGCACCGACCAGCACGCCCCGTCCCTCCCCTCCTCCCTCTATCTATCTCGCGCGCCCCAGCAGCGACAGCGAATTCTCTTTCTCCTCCTCCTCCTCCTCCTCCTCCTATCCTCTTCCACCCTCGCCTAGGAACAAAATCCCATCCTCCTCCGCCCCGCTCCGCTCCGCTCCCAAAACCCTAGCAATGTCGGGAGGGTTCTTCCGAGTAAGCTCCTGCTCGAATCCGTCGGGATCTGTTCGCTTTCTGCGCTGTGGTTTTCCATCTCGATCTCCCTCTTTCTGTCCCGTCGGTTCTGAACACGGTCGCGGGCGCGATGCGCGATCTCGCGCGCGCGTCGTTTTTTCAGGGCACCTCGGCGGATCAGGACACGCGGTTCTCGAACAAGCAGGCGAAGCTCCTCAAGACGCAGAAGTTCGCCGCGGAGCTGGAGTACCTGGTTAGATTCTTCGCTCCGAGCTGGTCGAGATTTCTTTTCTCGCTTTGACGCGTCCTTAGGTTTTGGCTCCGTGCTCGAATGCCTGTAGAACTGCTGATTGAGTGTGTCGTGAGTGTAGGAAAGCTGCCGAGACAATCTAAGTACACGCGTTCCGATGTTACAGTCGCAGTCGGAGATGACTTGATGGGAAGAGGTTATTGCTTGACGTGTCTAAGGAAATGTCTTGACCGTACGAGTTTCGTGTTTCAGGTGGACATGACGAAAGTGAAGATGGATGTCATGAAACCTTGGATTGCCACGCGGGTGACCGAGCTTCTAGGGTTTGAAGATGAAGTTCTCATCAACTTCATATACGGTCTTCTGGATGGGAAGGTATCGTGCTCTGTCTTTCTAGATTCTCGGGAAAGAAGTTCTCGGGTCAGTGTTTTATTGGGTATTCGCTTGCAACTTCATTTGTACCTCTCTTGGGTTCAAGTCACATGAGGATGTTTCGAGGGGCGCGTCGTAGACTGCTTGGTTTTTTTTTATGAATGCTGAATTGCCTGCTGCGGCTGTTTTCGGTATGCAAACTCTTTGCAAATCACCTACAAAAGTCAAGCCGTGTTTTGTTTTTGTGGTGCAGGAGATTAATGGAAAGGAAGTTCAGATACAACTCACAGGATTTATGGAGAAAAATACTGGCAAGTTTATGAAAGAACTCTGGACTCTTCTTCTCAGTGCGCAGAAAAATGCAAGCGGCGTACCTCAGCAGTTCTTAGATGCCAAAGAGGAAGAAACTCGGAAGAAGAAGGTCTTATTTCTATCATTCTGCGATGAGCTTGTGACTGAATATCGGATTGTACGTTCTAAGCGATTTTTCTTTTTCATGATTATTCAGGTTGAAGCCGACCGTGTTGCTGACGAAATTCGGAAGAAAAGAGACGAGGAAAGTAGAGAATTCGAACAGGAGAAATCGAAGAGGATGGTAATACTATTTTGTTCAGGCTGGAGTTATGTTGACTAAAGCTGCGTTGCACTTTTAACTTTTGTTTGTGTTTCTATGCATTCAGCTAGCTTCTGCAATTATTTGGGTTCATGTCCTTTACCTCAAACTACTGTAGGATGGTGTGGTAGAGACGAAGGCTTCAAATGATGCCCTAGAGAAGGACTTCATATCTTCAAGGGCCTCAAATGCACGTCGGGATGATAAAAATGATAATGGAAGGAGGAGTGCTTCGAGAAGAAGCCATGAGTAAGGGATTATATGTGATGCCTGTCATCTGCATTCTTTTCAATCCTTTGAGTATTTTAAACATCTAGATCATGTATCTGCTGTTGCACTTACCTTGCATAGTTGATTTAAGCTATTCGGATATGAGGTCAAGATGCATTAGACATTCGATTCTAACAGCGAAAGAGACATCTCCCTATTTGGATTAAAGAAGCTTCTCTTCACCTTTGAAGGCTGAGATAGTGTTCAGATTTATCTTCAAGTTTCCTTGGGGAATTGGCATGACATAGACGCGTATATTTTGTTTAATATGTTATTGTAGGGTGATATTATCATTGAACTTTTAAAAGTTGATTGGGATTACAGTAAACTACCTAAAACCCTGGAAAATTTCTCTATCATTTAGTAAAGTAGCATAACAGAACTTATATGATCAACAAGGATTTTTTTTTTTCTTTTGCTGTTGCCTTTTCTCCTCTTATTTTGCCACTTTTATTTTGGATGTTACAATTTGTGGAAATCATCCAGAAATCACTAACTATGTGCATATGGTACCTTATTCTTTGCTTGATACTTCCTTATATTGGCTAAAGCATCACGTCTATGGTCTTATTAAGATATAACTTCTGAAATGCTTAGTTAATAGGTTTTCCTTGAGAATGCATAAGATGGTAAAGAAATATGCCTGATTTTATTTTAGTTTTTTTCACTTTTATTTCACTCATGGTTCTGTAATGGTGAAGTAGTAAGGAACAGCTTCGTTCCCCAGACACCGGCCATTGTATTTGTCTTTTTATACCCGATCTTTTGATATTGTTTGATCTATCTTCCTGCTTCATATCTTCTTCCTTCTTATTTGGTTGGGTTTGGGCTTGACATTCCTAGTCTCCCTTTGTTGGATTCTAGAGTTTATTTGGATACTTCTGTCCTTTGGAAAAAAAGTCAGCATCCAGCTTTTATTTGTATATCTTTGAAAATTTTGTGCAAGCATGATTGTAGGATATGGCAAATGATTATTTGAGATTTCTGCAAGCTGCCAATTTGACTCTTAAATACTGACTTACTTATCTCCTGCAGAGTTTCTAGATCTCCTCGATCAGCGGACCATTCCTCCTCACCCCCTCGGTGAGCATCTACTGAAGTTTTGTGTGATTTGAATTTTGACTTATCGGTTGATCTTTATTTGTTGGATGATGTCCTAAGAAGTATATGTGAATTATTGTTCAGAGCTTCACCTTCTAGGTCAATCAGCAAGTCATTTTCTAAATCCAGGAGTCATTCAGAGTATGTAACCATACTTCTCCTGCTACAGTAGATTATTTGGCATTAATACAGCTCTTAAATTGTTTTGGGATTGAGGCAAACAATACAATTGTTTATCCTGTTAGTTCTTTTTTGCTGTACCTCAATAGTTCTAAGATTATTTATATTGTTGACATATGTCCTTTAGTGAAAGAAGCAGGTCCAGGAGTATCTCCGCATCACGAGAAAGACGAAGCCGTTCAATTTCTTCTGGTAAGGGGCATCGTTCTCCTCAAAGAAGGTCTGTGACACCTCGTCGGAGGTATTCTCCTAGGAGATCCCGATCTCCAAGACGAGGAGCACCTTATTACAGGCGAAGATCTATATCTCCTCCGCATCGCAGATCACCATCTCCTGTAAGGCGTAGGTTGCATTCGCCTGCTCGACATAGATCACGCTCTCCAATTAAGCGTAGATCACTGACCCCTGTACGCCGTCGAAGATCTCCGTCTCCTGTCCGGCGTCGTAGATCTCCATCTCCTGTTCGGCGTGGCTCCCCTTTTGAGAGACGACGATCACCGCCTCCGGTGCGACGTAGATCTTCCCTTGTCCGACGCAGATCACCCTCTCCAGTACGAAGGAGGTCACCCTCTCCTGCGAGGAGGAGGCCACCCTCTCCTGCACGGAGGAGGTCACCCTCTCCTGTTCGAAGGAGGTCGCCATTTCCAAAACGACACAGATTTCCATCTCCCAGGCATCGTATATCACCTTCACCCGTGTCTCGCAGGTCATCATCACCTGTCCGTCATTTATCAACTTCACCTATGCAGCCCAAATCATCATCTCCTGTACGCCATGGGACCCCATCCCCTGTACAAGAGCAGCTACGGAGATCTCAATCAATTTCAGGGCAAAGGTCTTCATCTCCATGGCGACGAAGATCGCCCTTATCTGTCCGCAGGAAATCAACAACCCCTCTACCCCGGAGGACATCTCATGAGTCAAACTCTGCATCTCCGATTGGTCGTAGATCTTCACCCTTGCGGAAGAGATCTCCTCCATATGGAAGATCACCTGCTGGATCTTCTAGGGAAAGAATGAGGTATATCCTTCATAGATGACTTGTTTACACGTTCTAGGTTCATTTAGTATTGGTGTTTTCTTTTTGTTTGCTGAGGATGCTGTTCGTATATGATTGATCCACATTCTAGCAAGGAGAGGAATGAGTTTTGTTTATCAAATCATCGGCCTGTTCTTTCCTTTTCAAAATGATATATTGGCCATGATGGTTGTTTCTTCCTATGCATACGTTTATTTGTGAGCTTACAGAAATTGTTAACTGGGGCACATTTATACTTACACAAAATACAATGTGTCGGTCTGACTCCTCTAGGGAGTTGCTTAGCATTATTGATCACATTGGCAAAATATCCTCTCTCTCGCTCTCTCAAGTTTGAAGAGATAAATAGTATTGAAAGTAGGATTTGCAGATCGAGTTCATACTCACTTTACCCTCAAACTACATGCAATTCATGGGGACTTATGCATGCGTGTGTCTTCTGATACAAGGTCACCGAGCCCATATGAGAGTCCTGTAAAGCAAGCTAGGAATGTCCGGAGACGAAGCAGGTATACCCCGAGTCCCTTCCTTGATTAAGTTGATAACATATCTAGTATCTTTTTTTGTCATTTTGTTTATCCTGTTGATTGTCTGTTTTGCTGCTGAAAGGTCATCTAGCCCACACAGGAGTCCATTAAAGCAAGTTAATAATCTGGTGAATAATGACGACGGTTCTACTTCACTGCAATTGAGAGAACGTAGGTCGCATCAAGAAAGCCCAGATAAAAGTGATGAGAGGGGAATCAATAACAACACTCGGTTAGATTCCAAATCTCTAGATAATTGGTTCTCTCTCTCTCTCTCTCTCTCTCTCTCATTGGCTAGTATTGTAAAATGAATAGTCAAATATTCTGAGAGGTTTGATTCTATTTGTTTGGTTGTTTGTAGGTGAGGTAGAATTGTCAAATCTTCTAAAAGGTTTTAATTTCTGTTAATCTTATTGTTTGTAGGGAAAGTAGGGATCGTGCTCTCAAGCCTAGAGATAAAAGATCTATGAACTCATCTTCTTTCAGTAAACAGGGAGACTCGCCAATGAAGGTGCATGATAAGGACATTTCTCCTCCTGAGAGAGCAGGTGGAGATCGTTCTATTGGCTCTAAGGGCCGTTCTGATGGCTTGGATGTTCGAAACAAAAACCAGGAGAGAATGAGGTGTGGGCTCTCCCTAGAATTTCTCCAGCTACTTTTTTGTATTTCATGCTGTCTAATAGTGTAATGTCGTCATTGGCAGGGAAAAGCCCTCTGGAAAGGGAGTGTTGTCACCCTCACTGAACAAAGAATCTGGTGAGAAGCTACAGACATCTCACTCCGTTGAAGGTAGAAAATCTGATGATAAGAATCGTTCTCGAGATGGTATTCGACGGCATAGATCTGAAGTCACACAAAGATCTGTGGAGAAGGTTGATCATAGTAAACACAGCAGCTTGTCTGAAACGGGTTCTGAGGAAAGTGATAAGCACATTAATGAACGCAAGGAGAAGAAAAGGCACAAAAGATTAGATAAGCGAGGAAAAGATTCAGATGATAATAGCTCTGATTCTGAGATAGAGGATCGGAAGGAGACCAAAAGGAGGCGGAAAGAAGAGAAGAAAATGAGGAAGGAGGAGAGACGTCGACGTCGAGAGGAGAGACGCCGCAGACGGGAAGAACGGCGTGCAGAAAAGATGAGAACAAAGAAAGAGGATATTGTCTCACCTGATTATGGAAAGCATTCCAGAGATGCATCCTCCTTGGACGATGAAGATGTGGACAGAAAGGAGTATCGTTCGTATGATGAAGAAGCGGAAACTAAGCAAAAGAAACTGGAGATTGAGCTACGAATGAAGGCTCTCGAGTCGTTTAAGGCAAAGAAGGGCATAGGTCACTGAATTTGCTTCTAGTGTCGGAATTGTGAACTATTTTGGCTTGTTTTATCATATTGATGAGCATCTCACTTTCATTGAAATTGCTTTGAATTTCGTGTTGTGATTTAAATATTTTGATATGTTGATAGATATTTAATTAGTCTGTCTTTATTGCTGGCAGTTAATCGATAAATGAGGTTCCTCAGCTATTCTGTTGATGCGACTTTAATCAGGCATTGCTGCTAGATTTTCTGGTAATCATTGTTTTCCCCTCGTAGGGAATGTAGAATTAATTGCTTTACAGGTTATCATAGATTGGAGAGGACAACTCCTTGCCTTCATGCATGCTTATTCATGTGATTGTGATTCCATTGTAATTGCCAGGATTAGTTTGTCTTCTTCTTATTCTATTCCGAATGAAATATGGTATGAAATATTCAAATAACGATGCATGTAGCTTCTAGTGATGGCTGCTTAATGTGTTTTGGAGACTAGATCAAGTAAAGGTTTTTTGTCGGTTCTGCTAACTTGAAGTTGGTGCTAAATTGGATTTCTCATCAATTGGTAGATGAAAAAAAAATCAACTTTGATGACTTGGTTGAGCAGAACATTGCGCAGATCATCATTCTAAACATCAACTCAGGTGATGTATTTACATCTTTCTCGGGTTCATTTAGGATGTTTCTTTCGACACTGAGAAGTTCATATATTTAGATGCCCACTTCTCTTATGGTTGGTGGAGAGTTTTTTGTAGATTATGTTTCTTATCCACCTGCCTGTATTGAGGTGGATATTGGATGATAGATCCACATCATGCCATCTAGGATGTCTAGGTACCTGAGAACTCTGTTTTTTTCTTTGGTGTGGCCTACAATAGGAAGGTGTTGAGTCTGGAGATACCCCAATTAACCGAGGATATGCTAAGTTCTTAAAACCTGACATATATTTCAAGCAGTTTTCTACCGATACAAAAAGTTTTACTGTTCTCGTTGGTCATAATATAGTCTGTAAGTGTCGAACTGTGCTCTTGATAAAATTATTGTTCTCGGAGGTGTATGAAAGGAGAAATTGTGTTAATATTGCAATTAGTGTTGCGACAATTCCATATCAAGTTATCAAACTATTAACTACTTGGTCTTATTTCATTTCTTCATGAGCTTGGATGTGGGCATCCATTCATGGCGACTCTGAAGCATTTCGTTTAAAGTTTGTAGAAGCAGCTTACATAATCTAGTGCAACAATATTGGTATGCCTTACTACCTTCGCTCCCTTTAGCTATGTGTAAATGGAGGTAATGATTTGTAATGTGGGTTCTATCATTTTTTCTGGGTGGATATTTAGTAGATTGAAATAGAGTTCAGTAAACAATGGATGAGTGCCCTTTTGCAGCTAGGATGAACCTTCTCTTTTTCCTTACTTCTATTAGTGTTCTGGATCTCATTCGTGGAGTTTTGCTTCAGGTTTTATCTTTGACGATGGGATGTTCACAAATCCAGATTTGTCTTTGCGTTACCGTAGTCTTGGCGATTTCTTATAGAAAAAGGGGGGTTTCTTTTTTCCGCTCTTTTTGTACTTATTGAGCTTTCTGCATATATTACCCTAGATGGCAAACACATGACTATCGTAATGCTTTGAGCCCCATCGCAGATGCGAATTGCTACTTGGTCTCGAGTGTAACTGTACCTGGCCTTGTTGCTTTAGATGGTATTGGTGCAGTCAAGGGGCTATTGTGAGTGTCGGATTGTGGTTCCCCTTCTGTTTCTTCCCATATATACTGATCAAAATTGGCTAAAAGCATTTATACGTGGCCAAAAGTTTCGTGTTTGCCAGCTCGTCCTTATGGTAAATGCTCCTTCAGAAAAAGTCCGAAAGTGCTTTCGCCCAGCATCCATACTTCTCTATATTTTATACCCTTAAGTCTCACAGATCTGCCCCTATCATCATCGCTCTGTGTTTGGGAGGGTTACCATCGTTTGTATACTCGTATTTCGCTCTCTTTGGTTAACTCGTATCTTCATTAGCTTACCAACGCATTGATCCTTAGGAAGATTTGAGGGTCAGGTTGACTTTGTACTGGCTGAGGGCATTAGCCTCAGACCGATAATGGGGACAACTTGAGCTGAACTGATCTGTAGGAGGCCATTGATGTCTCTCGCGTCCAAATATCGCCCTAGCAACAAATTTGTAGATGAACTGCTTTCCAATGTGCACTCGAAGTGGCTTTATGTGGGGTGTCGGACTAGCCTTGAGACTGTCCAGGTTCTTTATGTGGGGTGTCCGACTAGCCTCAAAACCGTCCAGGTTAAACCCCAGACGGGACTTTCTATTGCTATCCATCGACCCTGATCCATTGTGGCATTGAAATATCTAATTGCATTGTCAAATGGCTGCAAAATATGTTTGGTGTGGGTTCAACAGAAAAGCTGCATGCGAGATATCCTCGCTGGTTAACCTTGGGGGGAGTTAATTGCTTGTATGGACACGATTGGCGTTGCTTTCGGTGTTGAACTCTGAAAGTCTGAAAGAGAGAGACTCCCTATAGATAATAAGCTCGAGAAGTAGCTGCCGACTTTGATAGCGATGGCCTTCAACAACGAGTATCATTCGGAGTGTCATGACTTCTCTTCATTGTGAGATTACGAGTCCATTAACGTGACAAGCTCCTAAGCACAAACTAAATTTGCTGCAGCCTCTTTGAAATTGAGCCTAGAGTAGACTCTTTCTTGAAGCAAAGCTCGAGGGATAAAAAAATGCCTAGTTGAACTGATTTACTCGATATTGTTTGGTTGGTTTGGTCCTTGGTTGCAGAATTCTCATGCCTCGTACTGATGTAAGTCTTACCGTAGGAAAAATAATCTAGTGACGGTCAATATTCAATTCCTCCTATTCAAATTCGGTTTTATAATTAGGGTCATAATATTGAACTCTTCTAGGCCGGCAATCGACATCTAAAGTTCTTAGCGCTTCTGAGCGGAGTCTCTGCGGCTCTGCCGATGTCAAATCGGGTTCCATGAACGGCAATCGGGAAGAGGTCCCGTCTTTCGCTTTGATAGTGGCTTGACGGGCTTTTTCATCAACTTACCTTTCTCTCTTCCTATCCAAAAAACGTCTGGTGTCCAACATTGGGTGAGCAGATAAAACGAGTTCCACGTGGGCTCCTCCCATTTGCTCAGTATGCCGCACGGCGCACCATTCGATCTAGATAATCCTCGAAAAAGATCAAGAAACATTGGTATCGGTATCATTTCGAGCGACCACATCCATCGGCCATATGACCGAACAATATCTGATTCTCAATGCGTCCGCTCAACGAAGCCATGGACATTGAGTAAAGCCCTTCTCTTGTTGATTCACCAGGGAAAAAAGAAGGGAGGGTCGGTCTCCCCATGGCTCCCACTCTCACCTCCAACTCATTCCTCCTCACAACTCCTCCACGCTCTAAGCTCAACCCCCTCAAGAATTCCAGGCTCACCGTCTTTGCCAAGAAGTCCGGTCCCGGTCCGTTCCCTCCGTTTCGGCTCGGCAAGGCCTTGGAGGCGGAAGAACCGACGTCCAGGGAGAATGGGGACGATGGTCCGGCCAATTTCAATCCGTTCCGGTTCAACTTCGCGAAGATCCCGGATGTGAAGTCGCCGGTCCCCGTCGTGAGCAACAAGTCTTCGGGGTTGTCGTTTGGGAACACCAGGAGGAAGGACCCTGGGATGGTGTTTGTGGCGGGGGCAACGGGCCAAGCTGGTATCCGCATTGCGCAGCAGTTGCTGAGGGAAGGTTTCAGCGTGAGGGCAGGTGTGCCAGAGCTCGGCGCTGCCCAGGAGTTGGCTCGCCTGGCCGCCCAATACAAGGTTGGCACTCAGCAATACAATCACTTTGAGGAACGTACTCACTTAACATATGAAAAATCTCTCGGCGATATTTATCATTCTAACACTGTCTGATTATGAGTTGCTTAGAATGGTAGATGCATTAATTGTTTGATCCTTGCTTAAAAATGACATGATAATTCATGTGATTATATTTGATAGATTCTTTGAAACAAGAATGGTGTTTAAAACATGATATTAAAGACAAAGTTTCTTATATTCACGAGAAGTTAGTAAATGTAGTCATTTAGCCGGGACTGATAATTTGCATCAACGTATGGTCAGATAATATCAAATGAAGAATTGAAACGCCTGAACGCTGTTGAATCCACCTTCCAAGACGCGGAATCGATCGCGAAAGCCATTGGAAATGCGAGCAAAGTGGTGGTCACCATCGGACCCGCCGAGTATGGCCCCACCACGGAAGTCACCACCGTGGATGCCTTGCAGGTGGTCCAAGCTGCCAAGTTGGCGGGAGTCGGTCACGTGGCGATCGTCTACGACGGGAACACGGCCACGTCCACATACAATGTGCTGGACGGCATCTCCTCGTTCTTCAACAGCTTCTTCTCACGGTCGCAGCCGCTGACGATGCCCGAGTTCTTACAGAAGCTAGCGGAAGTCGACGTGAGCTTCACGCTCATCAAGACGAGTTTGACCGAGGATTACTCACCGGAGAGTTCCTATAGCATTGTGGTGGCGGAAGAGAGAAGAGGTGGTGCAAACAACTACAAAGTAATGTAATGTATGCAATAGAATCTTTTCCGTTGTTCCCATTTCTCCCATCACCATTCACTTATATTTGCTGTCTTATTACATTAATCATCAACCTTGACATTATCATAACTGCATATTAACAAATAAATCTACGAACTTCGAATCTCTTTCATTAGGTTGCAAAGTCTCAGATAGCAGTGCTGGTCGCCGGTGTTTTCTCCAACACAGCTGTGGCAGAGAACAAGGTAGTATGCATATGTAGTTATGTACTCCACTTATTTACACTGTTATGATGGATTTCCGCTTCTTTCTTGTGTTGCTTTTCTGATGGAATGTTGTCACATTCATGCATTTTTCCAATGGAAGGTTGTCGCATTCATGCTTAATTATGCATAGTAAGTGAACCATATAAGTTAATCAAATGCAGGTGGTGGAAGTTTCGACGGATCCATCAGCTCCTTCACGGCCTATAGATGAGCTCTTCAGGTAATAATTTCTTTTCGCAAGAGCCCCTGTGATCAAAGCATATGTGCAAGCGAACACGTGTAGTGATCACCAGACAGAATATATACAAAAAGAGAAACTTGCACATCTCTTTCATCGTGAGTATACATAGTTCTTGTTTGAACATGTCTGTCATGTAACAGGTAAGATGTTCCCTTAACCTGGGCAATATAGACGAAGAACATAGACAATATAGACATTTTCCTTTGCATTTCCTCTGTCCCTTTTGTCGTTCTCCGCCTAACTTTTGCATAGGTTGTCACTTTCGTCCTCGATATTTTCTAGCTTGAGAATGCTGCTACTCTCATGGATATACTAAATTTAGTGACCTTAAAGAGATACACGGACTAGTTCCAATTTCTTGTATATTACACATAGATGCCTTCCACCCGAGATAAACCTGATTTTTGCACGTCGGATTTGTTCTAGTGCCATTCCTGAGGATGGAAGAAGGAAAGAGTACAAAGCGGTGCTTGCGAAAGCAAAAGCCGAGGAAGAGGCCCAAATAGCTGCTGAGAAAGCCCAGGAAGCGGCTGAGGCTGCAAAGAAGCTCGAGGTAGAAGTGAAGAAGCTCTCGGAGCAGGAGGCCAAGGCCGCGAGTCTCGCAGAAGAAGCCAAAGAGAAGGCGGAGGCTGCTGGGATTTCGATGGACGGCCTACTCGGCAAAGCCAAGGACTTCAGAGCGGGTCTAAACTTTGACAAGCTTGGCTCTGACCTTGCGAACTCTATGCAGAGTTCGGTGGAGAAGCCGAATGTGCAGATTGCTACAGTGAGAGGGCAGGCCAGGGCTCGGATCTTAACTCCACAGAAAGCGCTGATCAAGCAGCCTCGTCCCACCCCGAAACCGAAGCCTGCTCCTGCTTCGAGTCCAAAAGTGGCAAAGGAGGAGCCGAAACAGCAGGCCGAGACTAAGAAGGAAGTGAGGAAGGTGTTTGGTGGACTGTTTCAGCAAGAGACCATCTACATCGATGATGACTGAGAAAAAGAAGATCGGTCTTATTGGTTTTGCGTATAGTATGTCGTTATCTAGCATTTGTTTATCGCGGTTGAATTTGAACGTGTAATTAAGAGATTCATGAGTTGAATAAAACAAAGTAGTATTTTGTGGAATGCTTCGACGCAATATTTTTCACATGCTCATGGAAGTTAAATAACGTCCCCGCAATAGCCGGTAACAACCTACATTTTCATTGGAAAAGGAGACTCTTCTCTGTATATATATTCATGAATATGGACCCAATCATTTGCCAATTGGACCGATTTTCTATTATACATGACTGCAAAACCAACACTAATAGTCTATTGCAGGGTCAAATCTTGAATGAGAGAGAGATGGACAAGAACAAACGAATACCTCCATGAAGAAAACGACAAACGGATGAAAGATCAACCTCACAGTCGTGGCAAAAGTCCAGGGGAAATAGGAAATCGGGTAAACCGTCCAGTGGACTTCACAGGCTCAACGAAGAACAGTCAAATGAACATATGAATTTATGCTCTAACTCTATGCGTGGGCTTAAGTGTCGGACGTCTTCTGAATTTCCAAACTGTCAGTAAGGTGCCATGAGTCTATCAAACTGGGCATAAGTTAACCGTAATTACCACTTGAAACCCTAGTATGATTTTTCGCATGGTTCCAGGAAATAATATGCTAAGGGAAATAAGAATTTTCGTCTTCTCTTCCCGCGAAATCTTGATCAGAAGTTCAGTGTACATCAAATAAGGAGACAAACGATACGCACCACCGCACACTCATCAACTGTATATATGCGTGACTCATCGATTTCTGTCACTTTCTTCAGAAAAATTTAAATCAAGTTTCTGTGTCTGCATCTTGGAAATTTTTCTATGTCGGATGCGAAGGTAATCTTTCACGTCCTTTCTTCAATCAAATTCTCGCACGAGTTGGAGCATAATTTTATCTCAGACAGATTTTGACTAGAGACAGTTACGTTGTCAAAAGCGGAACTTTTGTTGATAGTGCTGAGATCCAACAAAACTACCAGATACTTCTTCACAGCATCCTTTCTCATAAGTGGTGGTTTATTTATAGAACGATGATTTGATTTCTTAAATCAACTATATGTTTCTTTCTCGTTCATTTCGGGTTCTTTCCTTTTCCATGTCGAATTGCACAGAGGCAGTAATAAGCACACTGAACTCATGAGAGGGAGCTAACTGAAGAGACTCAACCATTCTAAGCAACAAAGCTAGATTGACGAGATCGTCACACAAAAATGCAATCACATTGTAATGGACTCATGGTGCTTCTCAGTTTTTAATCTGATAGTTCGTGTAAGATCAATAATGTAATGTATTTTGAACTGACCTGATGAACTTATAAGTATAAGAATCTAAAAGGCTTGTTGAGTGCAATCTATTTAAAAAGACATTTTAGTTGGTTGACCTCACGTGAGCCTGGGCTAAAGCAAATAATGTCCATGAGTTCAAAATCTCCGACATGAATTAGTAAGCCTTTTCGCCACGATTACACTCTTTCATCGATAGGAAATAATGCTAATAATGCTGTGAAAAAACAAAAGAAGATTCATGTTGTACAACTTGAATATATATGAATGTATTTAAAACATTGTGGAGTTGAGTTTGGACCTCTACTCCGTACACTACCATTAAAAATCAAGGTTCCACAGGAAGAGTTATTAATGGAATTTACTATTACAGCTGTTAAACTGTATACATTGCTAATGATTTCCATTCATTGTGAGCTAAAACAAATTAATTAAATTATGCTATACTTCACGGTAACAACCCTCATTCTCATATGTTTAAGGCTGAGAAAAATCGTGCTTGGCCAAAAGAGAGGAGTTGAAGGAAAAATGTTGGAGATAAATAATTATGCTAAATATAAACACACATCTTCATCATGTTTCTGATGTGAAAAATCAGTCATTGGCTATTGATACATTAGGAAAGCCATTCAACATAATGACATCTCCGCTTCTTTTTTTGGTGACTAGAAGCAAAATAATACAAGAAAACTATGATCTCAAAGCAAATGGTTGGGATTTAAAGCATGGTTTACAACTGATAATTACCTGATAAGTAGAGAAAGGGAGGAAGTTCATGTGATACTAGGACTACATAACATATCTTAACACATACATACAGATAAAGCTTTAGAGAAACTTCCCTAAAAACATACTTAAAATGTGCAAGAACAAAACATTTCCTTTAGATCAATGAGGTTGGCTATTTCTTTCTTATCATTGCTTTCATATTCATTTTGAATGTTCAAATAAATCACATCATCCGATACACGCATGCTTGTAGAATGTAAGAAAACACATAAACACCAAAACAAGTAATCGCGCTATGATATATTCAAGTTGAATGTGTAATCAATAGGGAGTTTTCTTATTGACATGATGAATTTCAATGAATGAAAAGGTTACAATAAGGAAAAATAAATCAACTGTATATATAGATCTCATCAAGTCACTACCTCTCATTCTTCTTTGTACCATTCGGCGAAAAGTAACTTTGTATAATTTAGAGAGTCGTATCTATTATACTCTCATTTTAAATGAAATATGCATTTCAAATGAATCTTTGCTATTCTTTTTTCAATCATGAAAACTTAAAAGCCAGTTACTATAAGCAAAAGAAATCGTTCAAACTTAATTGGACTCAATTTCGAAAGTATGACATTACCTAAAGAAAGACTTCAAAGATACAGCCAACATTTTTTTGATCTTCAAGATAGGAGAATCAGATAATTGGATGTCGAATAATTATTGCACGACAATGCAGGCCAATTCATGCATGTGCTTCTTCTGTGTGTGAGGGGAATGATGATTACTATGATTTTGGAACAATTAGTCTTACAAAGGAAACTACTAGAATGGCAATACTTCTTGATAAATGACGAATAATCTAAGTTCAAATAAGATATACAATTCAACCAAAAAAAAAAGTCATGCTCAGGTATCTAATCAGTAAAACTCAAAGGAGTACACACTAGGTGGCCAATTTTGCATCATTGATTTGAAATACCATCGGAGCCAAAAGCAATGCATGATTTTCTATGTTTACATGGCACGTTGATAAACCCTAAGAACAAGTTTGTCTTCATACAGCAGAGAAAGCACTTTCGATATTAAACTCCTTGTTATTATTGGAATGGAAAGAATTAAGAAATATTTCTTGTTAATGATTAGTTTCACTAGGTTGGCTGGAAGAAAATTAATCCTGATCATCTAAAACATTTCAAGCCAGAAAATAAAACCATCGAAGAAGATAGAATGGAGAGTGCATGCAAAGAGAAACGGTTTATGGAAGAAGCCCAAAAGAAATATAAACCAATTAAAGAATATTTCTCGTTCACACTAAATGAAACACCAAGTCGCATAAGGTTCTAACGAAATTCGATCACCGACAATAGTGGTAAAACAATCAGTAGAAGTCTGCATATACAGCTGGCTACGTTACACGATATTCAAAATCAAGGAAATCACGTAAAACACAATCAGATTCAAGATGAAGGAGGATAAAAAGGACTTCGCAATTAATCTTAGTATCTGATTATTCAAAAGAACTTCTTAGTACCCTTTGGTTCTTGAGGTTCTGGTCCCAGCCTGAGCTCGAGGTCTAGTTCTGAAGTAGACCTGGAGGAGCTATCACTGATCGGTTTACCCTTCTTCGAAGTTTGAATATTTTGTTCTTGATCATGATCCTTTGTCGAGGACGGTATTTCGGAAAACAAGGGTAATTGCCTAACTCCACCAACATGGGAATAATCATCCTTCTTGTTACTCTCCTCCACGCCTTCTTGCCGAAGAATCCAAGGCCAAGATACTTTGCTCGTATCTGAACTCCCAGTGAACTTAGCATCCAAATATGGTGTCTGCGGCAGTGGCCGGACAGTTGAACTCGCAGAGTACGACGAAGTTGTGGAGGATTGCTTGAGCTTGGCTTTGTCTTTTCGGTGGATGTTCATGTGACCTCCTAGGGCTTGAGCATTTGAGAAGCCCCTCTTGCAGAATATGCACTCATACGATCTAACTTGGCTCGGGCCTTGCTGTTCTGTGTTCTTGGAAATCGCTTTCTCAGAATCTTCTTGTGTAGGCTCATGGTGATCACTGTCCATAGTATCAGAGAGAGAGAGAGAGAGAAGAGGGTGGTCAACTGCAGGCTGCTACAGAGAGAGAAAGAGAGACAGAGAGAGAGAGAAATTGTGTAATCGTTGTTGTTCTTGAGGAGTGAGAGGATCAAGGTTTGATCTTTTCGTTTTTTTTTTTCTGGGCTTTTTGGAGAGCGATCTTTTGATGCCTTAGAAGTAATTAAATCAATGCTAAAGGATTGTTATCTTTTATATAGTCTTGGTAGGGTAACACTGAGGAAAAAGGTCCAAGGTAGTTCTGGACTGACTAGCTTATTATACCTTTTTCTATTAGGAATTAATCAAGCACCATGCCTAATTTCTAGAACTTGTGGGTACAGGCCAAGAACAACTGTTCTCTTGCGCTGATGGGCAAGTGTTAGAATTTGGAAACATCTAAGTTCAGAATGAGTTGGATCATGGAATGTTTAGGAAACTCGTACATAATAATTTACATAGAGTTATTTGTGTTTTAAAGCGAAATGCTATGATGAGTATGCTATTAGTATGAATACATAATCACAAGTTCGATAAGTTTAGAACATATCAAATCTAACTTCGACTTTTCCATGATCCTATGGTTGTTGCTTAATCCACTTGGAAAGATACTAGCTCGATCATTCGGCATAACACATATGCTCGAACTCATGGATTTAGTACACAACATGGGTTCAGTGCAAGGACAATGGGGAGTAAAACCAGGAACCCTAAAATTTCTATTCATAGACAAGATGTGGCATATTTTCCGAAGTGATTTCCGAGGCAAAACAAGAAATAAGACGAAATTAGAACATTCGTCCTTCCAGAAAGAGAAGAATAAAATGAAAGGGAAAATCAAAGTCCTATGGTCACGGTTGATCGGCCGTCCTTATTAGCTGTACCCCCCCATGAAATGATCCCCGCATTAGCACACCCGCACAACCCATTAATGGCCTTTTTACCTGGATTAACGCTGTAAACACTATGTCACAGACCAAGTCATAGGATTATTTTATGTATATAATCCTAAGCTTTATTACGTAATATATTATAAAATAATCGAAGCTGGCAAGGTTAATCCGTTTCCTCATGAAGCACAAGAGGCACGGGCCCTTTTCCAAATGGAAGGTCAAGAAACATCTCCCAAAAATAGACCCTATAACTATCTGCATCATATTAAACTACTTAACCATATAGAGATTGACGATGGACTGCATATGCATTATTCACACACTTATGGATATAAATCACCAACATGTAATGCGCATAAATGAGCTTGATTCCCTATAGCTAGGGTTTGTTTACATATGTTCTCCTCTAAAGATAAGATGAATACGAACCTTAAGCACATTAAATTAGTCATTGCCGGTATTGAATCAAATAGAACTATGAGATTAAGCTTTTAGGTTGACCGTAACGATAAATTATTTCTAATTGATTGGCTCTCCTTCTATCACCGCTTTGCACTTTGTATCTTACCATTAATTGGTTTTCGTAAATCAAAGCAAGAATTTCGAGTTTGTGTTGGATGAATCTAGACGGGGAAAATGTTTCAAAAAGTTATAAACCTATTGTATGGCAATCAATTCAGTCCAACATTTTTCGATTGTCCCAACTTAGTCTTGAATTTTTTGACAATTTGTTAATATAGTCCTTTAGGCCAATATTAACCAAGAATCGCTAATATAGACGCCAGCTGTCTTGCGTAGCACCGTCTGTCCTAAGTGGACAATTTTTTTTTTGAATTTTCTAAATTTTTTAATTAATTATTTTATTTTTATCTGTAATCTTTTTTCTTATTTTCTTTTATTTCTTTTTTTATTGATTAAGGGCCGGCTACTAGCTAGAGGTGATCGGTTCCCGGTCCGATCCAATAGAATCTGTCACCCTTTTTTCCCACTACTTGATGCCATATATTTTGAAACTAGAATTGTGTTCCCCATACCAACTGCATATAATCACAAAAATAAGCATGCAATTCGAGCCAATGCGATGACGAATTGTGTTCCCTGTGCCGACTACACATATGTTCTAAAATTGAAATTGTATTTCCCATGTAGACTACACATAATCACAAAAAAAAAGTATATGTAGTCGATCCGATCCGGTACGGGCGGTTCTCGATTTTAGCGGTCCGTTTTGCACACCCCTACTAATAGCCGAGGCCCAGCAATCCCAGTCGACAACTAAGCAAGGGCCTATGAGCCCTCGCTAGCAATGGATGAGGGTTGATTTGAGCGAGGGTTGCAATGGCATGGGTCATGGGCCTCGGGCCCCTGCTTGCCCTTAACAGTAAAAAAGAAAAGAAAGAAGTGAAAAGAGAAAATTAATAAATTTTAAATTTTAATATAAAAAATTCAGAAAATTAAAAAAAAATTGTAAAAATTATTCAAGTCAGCGTTGAAGACGAGTGCTGACCGTGCCACATAGGAATTGCAACGTCCACGTCAACGATTTTTTTCTAGAATGACTACATTGGTAAATTATCAAAAAGTTTTGGTCTAATGCTTCGTTTGGTGTAGCATTTAGAATGGGTTTTGGGGTTTTAAAGACTCTTGGCCAAATGTAAATGAGTTTGGTTCTTGTTCAAGAGAATTTTGGGGAAATGCAACAAAGACATTTATCCCAAGGCAAGTCTTGAGTTACTTTTTGAAAAGTAGAATTCTCGAAATGTAAATAAACTCTTTTTTTCTTTCCAACTTTGCCCTTTCTCAACTTTCATAATTTCGGAAATATCCTCGAAACCCTAACTTGCATGCGAAGGTGTAAGCAACTGGCGAGCTTAGGCAGAGACCCGGGTCGCGTGACCTAAGCGTCGCCTGAGGCCACAGCGCTCTTCATAAGGCTAACGGTGTCTGTCCCATGCAAGTAGAAAGCTCAATGAGAATCCACGCAAGCGAGAGCAGTGAGCATATCCATCTTGGACTCAGCTCGGACATGTTTCAAACACTTGGTCGACACTCTCCTCCTCCTTCACTCCCTCTCTGTCCCCAACCCCAACTCTCTCTCAAACCCACTCTGTTTCCCCCTCAAACCACCGTCCACATAAGCTCGCTGGGTCGTTCCCGTAAAGCTCGCTCCATAGCTAACTCGCTCCCCGGCGCCGATACCACCACTGGCCCGGGACACGACGACAGATGGTCTCTTCGAGGAATGACCGCCCTCGTGACCGGCGGGACTCGCGGTATTGGGTAAGTTTTTGCTTTTGAATGGCGATACATTTCGAAACGTTTCGACGAGTTTTCTGGTTTGAAATTCGAACGGGAATTTGGATGTTCAGGAATGCGGTTGTGACGGAACTGGTGGGCTTTGGGGCGAGAGTGCACACTTGTTCTCGAGACGGGGATGAGCTCGAGAGACGCTTGGAAGAGTGGGTCGACGGTGGGTATGAAGTTACTGGGTCGGTTCGCGATGTGTCCGTCAGGGAAGAGAGGGAGAAACTGATGGGCACGGTCTCTTCTGTGTTTGACGGGAAGCTCAACATTCTTGTAATCGTCTTTCCCCGTTGTTCCGATTCTTGTTCCTTTTCTTCTCATAATTCGCTCCGCATTTAAAATTCATTTGAAAGCTTCAAGATTGCTTTGAATGTTTTAAGTCTTTTGCAACTGAAGCTTGTTTAGAACGAGCGAAAGTTTCCAGTCCAGAAACTTGAGTCAGTTTAAGATGCTGAGATTCACTGAATTATCAAGATTTGGCGATGCCACTGAAAATATTGAAGTTTGTGCTCTTGATGGAGGTTTACAGGTAAACAATGTGGGCACCAACATAAGGAAACCAGCTGTGGACTTCACGACTGAAGAATTTTCTCTTCTGATGGCTACGAATTTTGAGTCCATGTTCCATATGTGCCAACTTGCTCATCCATTGCTAAAGGCATCGGGGCTGGGTAGTGTTGTCTTCACGTCCTCTGTTTCTGGGTTCGTTTCTTTGAAATCCATGTCTGTTCATGGGGCAACGAAAGGTTACCACGCCACAGCTTGAATTTAGAGCGTTTTTCATCTCAAGTTGCGACCATGAAGTTTATTGTGGCTTTTATGCAATGATACATGCTGTGCACTTTCAGGGGCTATTAATCAACTTACCAAAAGTCTGGCTTGTGAGTGGGCTGTAGACAACATAAGGAGCAATGCTGTTGCACCTTGGTACATCAAAACTTCTATGGTGGAGCAAGTAAGATCTCTTTCTCTGTTATTCCTTTGATTCACCTATCGCGTACCTCCACTAAAGATTGTGCTATTTTTTGTCTTGCAAATTGTAATTATGGTTGAAAGCTAGGATCCAGTTGTCTTGTGCATATGCATAAATTGAGATCTCTACATCAATGCTCCAATGTTGTAGTTAGAACACAGCTTCTGCACTATACTATAGTATTTCTTGATTGGATTCGGCTTTTATTTGTGGAAGGTGCTCAGCAATAAGGATTATCTGGAAGAGGTGTACTCTTGTACACCACTCCGTCGCCTGGGAGATCCAAAGGACGTGTCATCTCTGGTGGCATTTCTTTGCTTGCCTGCATCGTCATACATTACCGGCCAGATTATTTGCGTGGACGGGGGGATGTCTGTGAACGGATTCTACCCAAGACACGAGTAGATCCAAAGAGTTCACATGTCGTGCTGTGTGACAGTTATCGTCCTCTGTCTCAGTTACTCCTCTTTTTTAACGTGTGCGCTTACTCCACCCACCAAAAACTTACAATCCTTTGTTTAGAAGTGATCTGATGAGCTTCATTAGTCTTAGAGCCAAGCTTGAGGTTTTGCCTATGATAGATCGTTGATTCAATTGCCTCTTTCATGTTATCATCTGTTCACAGCTCTTAAATCAGATATATGTACTAGAACTAGACACCATTAACTGATGATTATGACAATTTGGACATACAAGCTGGTCGAACCGGTGTAGGAAAAACCCAATTGTATCAGATATGGAAACTCGCTGAAAGAACCGGGCTCTCAACATTTTGATAATGATACCGCCAGTTAAATAACGGTAGTATAGGGCGAAAGGATGGCAATTCGAAGGAGAGCACAAAGTATCGAGCATCAATACAATAATAACGAAGGAGGAAAGGCAATACCAACAATCCTTAGTGATGATAAAAGTCCTGATAGACGGCTCACAGAGACAAAAGTGAAAAACAATACCCAAGTATAGACAAGTGAAATGCACAACTTGCCATTATCGTACTAATGGAGTCTTGGCAAGTGAGTGCATCCGAACTCCCAAATTCTCTGGAAATGAGTAGACAACCGTAGAGATCATGCGGAAACAACCAAGTCACACACTAAAGCCTGTCATCCGCCGCCATCGCCGCCATCGCCGCCACCGTCACCTCCATGACCGTGAGAACTGCTGCCTTCACTACTGACCAAGGTCGAGGAGGCATAGGCCACACCCACCATCAAAGCGGCCCCGCCGCCGTCATTGGTGCCGCCGTCATTGGTGCTGGATCCATGGCCATGGGCACCCTGCTCATTAGGTGCCTTATTGGCAAGCCCTCGGCTTTTAACTCCACGGCAAGCCTTTGGACGGAGAGGCTTGTCGCGCGACTCCCCGTGCCCGTCCTCTCCATCCCTAGGATCTGCTATGCAGAAACACAGTTTCCTCAACCTCATCAAAAGCAAAAGAAGATGACAGTGGCCTAATGCCTGTGCTCTTTGGCCTTGGGACTTAGCCTTGCTCTCCCACCTCCATTGGGTCTGGCAAGCCGTCTTAATAGGTAAGAAAAAAAGGGTGGATTCTGTTCTGCTCCAATTATTGTGCCTCGTTCCTTAAACCTTTTCATAATCCCCTTCACACGTTTTCTTTACTGAAAAGGTGCGATCGAAAGGCAGGAACAGGCGGAGGGAGGAGTAATGGAACTGGCTTTTTCCTCGAGGGCGATTCCTTCCTACGAAAGAAAGTGGTCACATTACAACACCAGTCAAGTGTCGCATGATTATGATAAATCAATCAATGAGACGACAAGAAAAATCGCATGAATCACGGGGGAGGATTCCCGTGTTACAGTCAGCAACTTTCACCCCAAACCTTTTATTTTTGCCATAAAGACATCAAAAAGAGAAATTTTTTTTTTAAAAATTCCAAAAAATGGCTCGAAGTGGAGTCATTTTTTCAAATAAGGGTCTGAAGTTGTCATTGTCTCAAATAAGAGGCTAAAGTGAATCTTATCTCAAATAAGGGCCTGAATTGGCCATATCAATCTCAAATAAAGACCTGACCTCACCTATCAAAGGGTATTTTTTTGTCTTTTACTTTTTCGAATTTTTTAAATTTTTTTCTTTCTGTTTTCCATTTTCTATTTTTTTCTTTTCCTTTTCTTTTTTTTTTCCTCTCTTCCCCTGCCGGCCATTGCCTGGTCCGGCAAAGGTGGCCGCCCTCGCCGGTGCCGGGCGAGGGCCGCCCCTCGCCCACCCAGCCCAAGCGAGGCGACCCTCGCCCGACGCCAGCAGAGGTTGTTGGCTAGGCGCAACGACGGTTGGGGAGGGAAGAAGAAAAAAGAAAAAGGAAAAGAAATAAAAATATATATACTTATAATTTTTTTACTAAAATACCCCTTCTCCAGTGACGGAATAATCACCGATCGACCAAAGGCCCTTATTTGAGACGATTTGGCCACTTTAGGCCTTTATTTGAATAATATCCACTTCAAGCTGTTATTTGAAAAAATAACTCCACTTCGGGCCCTTTTTTGGAATTTTTCCTTTTTTTCCTGATAAAAAAGAAGGAAGATGGAGATAAGTTAAAATAAAAGGGATAATGATAGAAATAGTTTCCGAATTTTGGCCCAATGTGCAATGTGATCCCTGAACGTTTAATTTGTTCAATGTGTTCCCTAAATTCTATCTCAATGTGCTATGTGATTCTTGAACTACCTCAATGTGCAATGGTCCTTGAATTTTTAATTTGTTCAATTTGGTCAATGAGCTTTTGGTACACGTTTAATGGAAGGACAACATTGAACATTTTCATAAGTTGCAGGGACTAAATTGAACATGTATCAAAAGTCTTTGGACCATATTGAGCAAATTAAAAATTCAAAGACCACATTGCACATTGAGGTGGAGTTCAGGGAGCACAATACATGTTTAATGAAAGGACAATATTGAATATTTTCATAAAGTGCATGGACTAAACTAAACATGTATCAAAAGTCTTTGGACCATATTGATACATGTTTAATGAAAGGACAATATTGAATATTTTCATAAAGTGTATGGACTAAACTAAACATATATCAAAAGTCTTTGGACCATATTGAACAAATTAAAAGTTCAGATACCGCATTGCATATTGAGATGGAGTTCAGGGACCACATTAAACAAATTAAAAGTTCAGGAATCACATCAAGTCAGAGAGAGACAGAAAAAAATGTCTGAGCCCGGGTTCGAACCGGGGACCTCTAGTGTGTGAGACTAGCGTGATAACCGACTACACCACCCAGACGTTCATGTCCCATTTTTGCCACCTTCTAATCTTATAATTCATGCCACCGCCATTCAATGTCACATCGTTTCTTCTTTAGCTTCTCTCTTCTTCTGAATTTCGAATTCAAAATCGCTCGCGTCGATCCATCGCGGTAGCAGAGGAAGCACGAAGGGGGGCAATTCTGCAGTTCGAGCTACTAGGAGTCGAATGTCTTCCTCCAACACGGACGCGCGCCATGCTTCTCTCGGCCGACGAACGGTACGGCATCCTCGGATTCCCTCCCCCCGCCGTCCTGTCCTGACAATTCCGTTTCCTTCGTTTCGATGTTTTCCGTTTGGTATGGTGACCTGATTACCTTCCTAATCGTTGCGTTTTCGAACTCGGGATCGTCGCAGCTGGAGGAGATTCGCCAGAAACGAGCGGCGGAGAGATTGAGCAGGGCTCCCTCGGGTCCGGATCTCGCCAAAGCTTCTTCCGGCTCCAATGGTTGGTTGATCGATCGTTCTTCGTTTTCCGCCCTTTTTTTCCAATCGCGGATCGATCGCTTGCTTGGCGGTGATCTAATCCGTGTGTTCTATCTGCCGTAGGTACTGAAGGGATGAGGAAATCGGAGAGTGGTAATCGACTCTCGGAGGTCAGGCTATTATCACTGCTTTCTAGGTCTTTTATCGTTTCTTTAAAGTCCCATTTGCATATCGAGTCCGCTCAACGCCTTTTGCTTTGGCGAATGATTGAGCTTTGAAATTATGAGATGTAAAGCGAAATTGGGCACTTTTGTTTTTGTACCAGTTAGGATAAATTCGAGTGGTTCTATATGTTTGGGTTTGCTATTACTGAAAGACCTCATGTTTATTGTAAACTGCAAGGGCAGTCCGACGTTAGCAGCTTAGTTTCTCAGCTGAACGACTTTCAGAAAATGAATCTAGAATTGGAGGAAGAAAACAGAAGATTGGCGTCGCAGGTGCGCTAATCCTGTTCTTTTCCTTGGTGATTGCTTGACCCTTAATGTGAGCAAAAGAGGAGGGTAACTCGAATTCTGACGCGAGTGTTGTTTTTATTTCTGTGTTTTTCTTCCCAGCTTCAAGCAAAGGAAGTTGAGAACACTACGCTGCTTAAGCGTCTAAATGATCTGGTAAGAAGTAGACATTACCTGGTTTTTGTGTTAGCTAACAATGCCTGCAAATTTGATTTACATTTTGATGTGAAGTTGGTCATCTGAGCTGTACTGCTTCTATCTTCTCTACCTGAAGTGACTACGCTCATTGACATGTAAAAAGTTTGCATTTTTTAGAACATTGTGAACCACAAAACTTTCACCCCAAAAATCTTTTCGTAATACTATATGCTTTTCTTTCGAAGTTTTCACTATCCTCCGTCTGCCCTTAATGCCAAATATTCGCAAAGATTCATGTCTGATCCTTTCGCGCATCTTTTCAAAAATTTTCAGGAACAGAACACAGTACCTTCTTTGAGAAAAGCTCTCAGGGATGTCGCTATGGAGAAGGATGCAGCAGTTGTTGCACGGGTATTTTAACTTGCTATCTCTTCATTCTACAAATTGCGTCTTTTGCTGTCTATATTTTTCATGTTTCAATTGTGATCTAGTGTAGGAGGATCTTTCAACCCAGCTTCGCACGCTTAAGAAACGTCTGAAGGAAGCCGAAGAAGAGCAGTATCGAGTAAGCAGACAAATTGTTTTTGAATATGTGAAAGCATTTCGAATTTCCTATCTTTATCTGTCTGTTGCCATAGGCGGAGGAAGATGCAGCAGCTTTGAGAGCAGAACTCAACTCAATACAGCAACAAGCAAATGGGGATCAGTTTGGTGGAATAGCCTTTATGGACAACTCTTTTAACCAGTTGCAGGCCTTGGAAAAGGAGCTGAGTAGGCTAAAAGATGAACTCCAGGTTGGTTCTTTGTATAGTAATATTTGGTCACACCCCTCTGTTTCGTCCGTTCTTTTTACTAGTTTGTGTTGGGCTTATGTACATAGCAAGAATCTACATTGAGGCAATTAGAGAGGCAAAGATTCGTGGATGAGCAAGCTCGAACTTCTGCGCTCCTGTCTGAAAAGCAAGCTTTAGAAGAGAGATTGGCTGCTCTGTCCAAAGGACCTTCTGGTATGAGATTTTTATAATAGTGTCTGGTGGGGACAAAAAGTAATTTTGCTGCCTTATGCTGTCTTTAACAATTAAAAGCTTGAACTTTTTTCTCACCATTTGTCCTGGCACTGCATTTCAGAGAAAGCTCCAGAGAACGTGGTTCGTGAAGCACTGTCAGTGGTAATAATTTCTGCCAGATAATTTTGTTTAAATGTTTTCTGATATGTTGTCCTTCATGGAATCTGAATTTGAATGGCATTTGCTGTTGATTTTAAAGTGCTTGCTGGTATTTGTTTTGCAACTTTTTTATGGTCGGCAACAGGTGACTATATAAGTTGATCATCGCGTCATATAACAGGGATTTTATTCCTTGTTCGGTATATTTTGCAGGAGGATAAAGAGAAATTAGAAAAGCAGTTGCACAATATGGCTGTGGCAGTTGAGAGGCTGGAAAATAGTAGGCAGAAACTTCTATTAGAGGTAAGCTTGCTTCTGTTTCTTTCTCCCAAATCATCATTGGGTATATTTTGGCACTTGATGGCTTAATACACGGTTTCTCCATAAATTTTGGTGCAGATTGATTCCCAATCTTCAGAGATAGAAAGACTCTTTGAGGAGAATTCCAATCTTACCTCGTCTTATCAAGAGGCAATGAGTGCAGTAGTGCTCTGGGAAAGTCAGGTAATTATTAATAGATTTTGCCTAAAAGGGAAATACTGATTTGGAATGTGGCAAAGAGGAGTTATTCTAGATTTCCAAATTAGTGGGATGTGATTTTCTCAAATGTTATGCAGCTATGATCTTTGTGTCTCTTTTTTTCTGTATGTTTGTTTGCTGAGTGGACGAGGAGTTATTAGCTGTATTACTTGATCTTAATGAGTCATCTCTTCATCAAGAAGTCACGATGGAGCTATGTCTTACTACGTTGTCATGAACGACCAATTTTCTCTCTCCTTGGAGTTATTGGATTTCATGCACCACTTGGTCATGGCAAATGCGATATGAAGTTCCACGTGTTCAAGTTCTTATTGCCTGATGTGCAATAATTTTAAATGCAATATGAAGTTCAACGTGTTCAAGTTTTTATTGCTTGATCTGCAATTATTTTGGCATGTTTTGTTGCAAGATAGTCTTTTATTTTTCTTTTTGCTTTTGATAAGTCAAAGTTTATCCCGACTGTTAGTGATGCGTATCATTTTACAATTACAATATAGAGAATTTGGATTTTAAAGATGTTGCGAATGTAATTATCAGAATCCGTTGAATCGATTTGGGTCCAAGAGATACGTACCTAATCTGAATCAGTGATCTCTTAAATCCAAGTAAAGCTATCTATTCACTAGCGAATCTATTCGATACGTACGTGCCATTTTTTTTTTTTTTGGTCAAAACGTATGTGCCAATTCAAGCGGTTGAATTTTTTTATGTTTGCCTATTAAATGATGTAATGTTCATAGTATACTATGATGTACACGATATTTGGATAGTTATAGTATAGTTAAAGTAAATATAATGCAATAATAGAATGATGTATAAAGATTTGTTTCTTATGTTTGAATGCAATCCAAGTGTCAATGAAACAAAAGGAAATCATATCTCGTTATTATTAGGATACGACATAAGTATTCTTGAGTAATATTTCTTTATTATGTATCATAAATCTTACCCATATTTCATATATTCTAATTTTTATGCACATAGTTTATAAATGCCAATGACATGAAATACAAATGTTTCGGTACATCACCGAAACTTTCAATTCGATTTGATTCGATTCTCGATGCACAATTCACTAATATAAGATTATGATTTACGATACAAATCTTGATTTAACAACTATGGTTGCGGATTTGCAAGGTGACTGTGTAGTGTATATTTTTATTTCCAGTAAAGTCTCCTAACTCCTGGATGCCCTTCTGCTTTTTGCCTATGGCTGTTATTGGCTCTGCTTATTGGATTTTCACCATTGAAGTTATAGCCCAGGCTAAAGATCTGCTTAGCTACTAGTTACCACATACTATATTTTTTCCTGGAATCTGACAGAGATACTGCATATAGTAATATTGTTTTGATGTTTCTTTTGTATCTGTAAGTGCCCCTAATAAGTTTACTTGCAGGTGAAAGATTGTCTTAAGCAAAATGAGGAGCTCCGAGGTGTTATAGATAGATTAAGAGCAGATCAGGCTAGTTTACTGTCTGTTAATGAGAGGGAGGCGCTAAGATATACCACGGAATCTCATGGAGATAGGGTCAATGAGATAAGTTCGCAGCCACCGGCATATATGTCCGAAATTCTCTCTCTAAAGGTTTGTCCTTGTCTATAGTTTTGTATATTGTACACCGCCATGACTAGAATTGAACTCTTGGTGACTTGTTGGACTCTCCAATTTAACTAAAGATGCTCACTATTCTTGTAAATCAATGGCCTTGGAAGTTGAGACTTGCGTTTTATGAACATGCTCAGGCATAACTTCCTTGACTTCTGTCACGTAGTTTTAAATACACTACCTTGGAGCATCTTGTTAATAAGTGAAATGTCATTCTATTTCCCTAGGGCCAACTTGCAAAAGAGCAGACAAGAGCAGAAGCACTATCGGCGGAGATCTTGCAGCTCTCTGCACGACTTCAGCAAGCTACACAAGCATACAATGGTCTTGCACGCCTGTGAGATTTTCCCTCCCTTGTTCTCTTGAAATCACATTTGCCATTATACTCTGCAAGCTACATGATGCATTTTTCCCGCCTAATTCTCGGATAAGTTGTTGACTGATTTTCAAAATATCATTGCAGCTATAAACCAGTCCTGCGGAACATTGAGAGCGGCCTCATCAAAATGAAGCAAGAGGGCTCTGTGACTGTGCAGTGAGAAGCGAAAACGAATATTCAGTGTACTTAAGTTCAAATTTTGTTGAAAGTGCCAAGTAGCAGCTCATTGATCAAGCTTACATGTAATTGGTTTCATTTTTTTTTTTTTTAATATCTTTATTGACTAGTTTTTTTCCCTTCCCAAGAGTGGAAGTTTGAACCCCGGCAGCTGAAAGAGTCTAGTTTTTAGGTATTTGTTTTCCTTTGACTTCTATGCTGGTTTCCTGCTTTGCTTCTGAGAACAGTGTGACGTAACCTCTTTTATTTGGGTCGGAAGTGTGACCTAACCTTCAAACATATTGAAATGTATATGTGCAAATTCGACTGCGTTTTTGTGGTACGCATGAGAGATAAGGCTCTTGGGATGGGTGGTAGGATGTGCACAATTGCATGCCAGTTAAAAACGCAGAAATTGGACATTTTATTATAATCGAAAAAACGGCCTACATTTTTCATTCTTAAACTGCAAGACGAACAAATCGTCAAAATTACATGGAACCGCGTTCTTAATTGGTGTTTCTTGAGATTGAAACAAGAAAATCTGCTAAAAACCAAGTCCTTCACTCAGGACCGACAGTTGCTTCTTTAAAAGGAAACGACAGCTAAAATCCGAATGAACCGCGGATTCTACTGCTGAAAGATTGAGCACCAGCAAGACAAACCTGACCTTGACGTCCTTCTTAACCCACAGACACAGATTACTGCAATCATCCTAAATACGAATCATCCTGTCTCCGAAACAAACACAAATTGCCACTTGAACATCCATGAGCAAACAGCTTATCACACTACAGCATAAAAATCACAACCTAATATTGAAAAGCAGAAAAGAGAACAACGTATTTTGTATCCAAACCATTAGGACTAGAAAGAAATCACAATTGCCTGGCCCTTTTATGAGCAAAACAAAGGTTTACATCTAGGAAGTGAGATGAAAAATTCTTCTACAGGCGTCCACAATCTACAATTGTAATGTCATTTACAATCACACGTTTTAAGATCGGGCACCACAATCCAGTAAGTTATAATCGCAAAAAGGAAACTCAAATCTTTTTCATGCTGCCACTAACAAGCTAAAGCTCCCACGTAGCATTCCTCCCCTTTTGATCACCATTTCGAAGACCCCAAACGTAAATCATGATAAAACAGACAAGATATGTGCCACGGGAGCTTCAATACCAGCAGTCGTTTCTATCCTCCAATTCCAAGTTACGTGCCCAAGTCACCAAATGATGCGAGCTCTGCAAGGTAAAGTTTGTGCTTAGTAAACCACAAAAGATTTAGCCACATGCACTCTCACAAATAATTCATGTAAGTTCATGGAATCAAAGAGACACCTAGGTAGGGTTGGCACTATTAGATGAAATAGAAGCACGAGACGGAACAAGCAAAATTTAGATATTTGGATTTTGCATGACAAACACAACTTGGAACTGGCAGGACTTGACACATTTAAACACCTTACACTATGAAGAATATATCATAATAGATACAACCTTCTTTTTTGCACAGTGACAACCTTAACAAATTGACATACTTGCCACCATTACTACCGGATGTATGAAGACGGAAAATTTATTTTTATTATAAGTATAGCCGAAAAATGAAGGCAAGGGTCCATATGTTATTATGTAAAATCCCCCATATAATATAGGAGGCATTATATGCCCACAAGCAAACTATGGTGTTAAGAACAAAAAACTGGATAGTAATTTTGATCATTTTTTAACTGCGCCTCTTGAAACAATCAGTAAACTGCAATTATTTGGTATCAGAATGCCAATGATTGGCCAATTACTAGCTATGTCAGGACACAATTGGAATGGGAAATCCGAACGTATACAAACCAGAAAATGATGAATTATTGAATTGCTGGCAGAGAGAAAACAGTGGCGAGGCCAGGAGTTTATCCCAGTGGGGCAACACAGAGAAGGTAAAATTATTTTAACGCAACAAAAATTACATCCATGAAATCGAGGGTCAATAACTGCTCCGAATTGGCCATCGACCTTTAAAAAATGAGATATTCGACCCTAGACTTCTATTTGGAATATTGGTCCATTATCAAGCTTTCATCAAACACAGCTCGCAATTCTTGCAACTGACCAAGTTAAGCCAGTCGCAGTCAAAAAATATCAAAGAAAAAAGTCCACAAGTAATCAATTAAGACCTCTTGTAACGGATATAAAACGCAAATAAGTGTTAGAAAGTTGAAATTGTGCAAAAATCATAGCAAAATTCTTGCTATTGACAATACCGAATCACAACATAATTACAAAGTCAATATTGACAATCCAAATAGTTACCCAAACTATCTTTGAGATTTAGGTCCTATGCAGAAAGGCAATTGTACTTAAATGGAAATGTTTGGCCAAGAACAAATCGATGGAAATGGGAGTTAAAAGACTATCAAACAAAAATGGCAACATGCACTAGAAACCTCTATTTTCATTTTTCTGTTTAAGCAATTACATAGTTGAGTGTGATTAAAGTTTTAACTTTTTTGTCAAAGTTTGGGCTTGTTGACTTCTATAAGGGGTATGTTTTAAGAATTGAGTGGAGAAAGCTTAAAACAATGATGTCAAATAGATAAAAACTTAAAATATGTACAAGTATTAATAAAACTCTTTTGAAGTTGATTAGGGTCAATTGCTCCAACTCATCATAAAGAGCTACCGTCATTGCGAACAGAGATGCAACTAAAAGTCAAACAAAATGTGAATGAAGGCAAAAAAAAATGTGAATGAGCGCAAAGTTTCATATGCATCGTTAAATTAGAATAAGGGACCAATTGTAGATCTTTTTTAGTTTTGGTAATATTACAGAAGATCTTGATCTTCATAAGATCTTCAAAGAGAGAAAGAGAACATAAGCCAAAAAATTGCAAAAAAGACCAAGCGGGTAATTTCCATAATAACAACCAAGATGAGATTGAAGTTACATGGGCAAAAATGTTAATGGCGAAAAGGATCATACATAAGTGTTCATGCCATCTCAGACGGGCCTAAGCAGTGAAGTAACTGATGCATATCAAAGAATAGTTGACTTCTGGTAATATCATAATTGGTCCTTTTCATTGGTGACTAAGGGGGTAAGTGCAAACTGCAAACCCATACACATGGTGAATGAGAAAAAACAAAGAGCATCACTTACATTGCAATTTTGGAGGTGCTCCAGCAGCAATCATTGCACCATTGTTCAGATGAATTTAGCTTTTTTATCGGCAGGTTTAAGAATTTGAAATGAGCACATTAAGCTTTCATCCACGCTCATCATTGCACCGGCGTTGTCAAATTCACCACAATAATTGGGAGCAGAGAATATGGTCACCAGTTGTCTATCAGCAAAGAATTCATACCCATCCTCAACAACCTGTCACAAGCAGCATTATTAATGCTGCTGTTTCTGAGGATAAAGGCACCAAAAGAAGAAAGCATTAACGCGTCATTAACCTGATGGGCACGACAAACAAGGTCCATATCATGCTTTGTCAAGAATTCGGACACTCTATCTGGGCCAAAGGTATATGAGACGCCTCGATCATTCATTCCCCAGCCTTTGACATCTCTATCAGGATCTGACCAAAGCAAATCGCAGAGTAGACCCGAATCTGGAACATCAGTCGGGCGTGGCAAGTTTCTAATTTGATCTAAATTTGTTAAATCGGGGGAAAGGCCACCATGCATGCATAATATCTTGTCGTCTATAAGAGCGGCTACTGGAAGACAGTTGAAACAATCGGTAAACGTCCTCCAAAGTTTAACATTGAAGCGGCGTTTACATTCATCATAAAACCCATATATCCGATTAATAGATGCACACTCGTGATTTCCTCGTAAAAGGAAGAAATTCTCAGGGTACTTAATTTTGTAGGCAAGCAGAAGGCAGATTGTCTCCAGACTTTGCTTCCCACGATCCACGTAATCTCCTAGAAATAGATAGTTGGCATGAGGAGGGAAACCTCCATATTCAAAAAGCCTCAAAAGATCAGAATACTGCCCATGAATGTCACCTGCAAAAAAAAGAGAGTACGAGGTAAATGACTCGATCGACAAAAAAGACACTTGCGAAATACGGTTGGCGAGACAGAATTATAATGCGGAATTAAAACGTCTCGTGCACAATATAAAAGCTTCATCCAACAGTCATTGTTCACTTCAGTTAGAAAAGGCTTGAAAAATTGTGAATGTTTCTATTTATATGGAAAAAGAAAGATGAATATATATAGCTAACCCTGAGGTTGCTGCCATTGAAGCTTTTATATGCCCCATCCCCAGCAGACCTCATACATTGGGAAACGATTGGGAAAGGCGATCAGCTTAAAGTTGCAGAAGGATTAGAGATTTTTTCTTCTCTGACAAAAAAGTCTCACTCGACAAACATCACATCACATTCTAATCAGCCATCAAGGAGAGACCTCCGCTAACCCAAATCCAAATCAAACGTCATTCAAGTTCCCTCGGCGAGTTCCAAGAGCGGATCTCAAGACCTAATTATCCCTCAAACCAATCAAAAGGTCCAAACTTTCATAGTCCAGGTCACCAAAAACAATCCTCCGGCAAAAAAAATCTAAACTTCAACCAAAACCAAAAGCACCACAGCAACAACGCAGACGAACCAATCACCGCCAAAATCCAAAATCCAAAATCAAGAGCTTCGTGCCACCACATCCCAGAGACGCACAGAAGGACAAAGATTAGATTATAGATAAGATAAGATCATTAATAGATTACCGCAGATCTTGATGGGAGCTTCGAGCTCGAGAAGATTGGGCTGGGAGAGGAAGATGTCGCGGGAGGCCGTACAGAGCTGGCGGATCTCGGGCTCGGTGAGCTGGACCTGCTTGCACGCCCGGGTGTTCCTGAAATCCAACAACCTCTTTATGATGTCGTCCAACGCCGCCATCTCCAACCCCGCCCCTTGACCTTGCTTTGCCATTCAACTATCAAATCCCTAACCCAGCGGTTCCCCCCTCCTCGCTCCCTTTCTATCGTCGCTGTCGCACCTATCGCCGGCGAGCGCAAAACACGAGGCGACCCCTTCCAAGGACGGAGAGAGAGGGAGAGACGAGACGCAATTAGGGTTGCGCAGATTACCGAACGGGACGCGCGATTGCTACCGATTAGGGAAAAGGAACAGAGACGATGCAGATGAAGATGAAGAAGAAGAAGAAGAGGAGAGGAGGAGGAGGAGGAGGAGGAGTAGAGAGAGAAAGGGGAAGGGCCTCTGCAACTCCGATGCGGCGGACGCCCCTATACCTATGAAAAATTGTTTTCGTTTGGAGACGATAAATCCGCACTCTGCTTCGGAGATTGCCCTACGAGTTCGCGTCTTATTTCGGAATTGCCCCTCCCTCCCACCTCTCTCTCGCTCTCTCTCTCTCTCTCTCTCTCTCTCTCTCTCTCTCTCTCTACCTCCGTTGTTGCGTGATTCTGAATTGAGTGGATAACATTAATAGTTGCTGCTTTTTTGTTTTGTATTTCGATTATATTTCCTTTCCTTTTCTTCTTGTTTTTGTTTTTTTGGGTGGGTTGTGGGGGGACTTTGGTGAACGGCCTTTTGGGAGGCTCCAAATCCCCAAAACAAATTATATGCGCGGGACACCAGGGGAGCGAATATATGACCGTTCTGTCCTCGAAAATAATTTCCAGCAAGAAAATAAATCTTTCTATTTCTATTCTCTAAACAAGTTTTTAAGTAGAAAGCTACGTTTGATAACGACATAAAATTTCTATTCATAGAATAAAAATTTGTTTGATAGGATCGATGTAGAATTCATATGCAGCGAGTGACGACCGGGGGTATGGGTGAGCATGGTCCCAGGGTAGAACTTAGAATCTAAGAACTTGACTGATGGGAACTTATAGGTTCCACGTTCTAAGGTATGCATGGTAGGTTCCTGATTCCAAAAATTGGGGAACCTGAAACAGGTAGATTTCACGTTCTAGGTAGATGGAACTTGAAACCTAGAAACCGAAACTTTAAACAAGTTTTTTTGTGTTTTTTCTTGATCTATATCTTCGCGTGATTCTACGATATTCAATGACGTTAGATAATGAGTGTATAATTTGGAACCACTAATTTGAGCTTTTATTTTTATGACTTGTTAATATTTCGTATTCTTCATGTGTCTAAATATAAGTTATGGTCAATAGATTGTAACAACAAGTGGTGGCCATTAAAGATGATGATTCACTGCAATTGTTCAATTAATAATACGTGTGGAACCTAGTTAGACCCTGAAACCGACCATGAAACCTGTGACAGGGTAGATTCCATGTTTCGGATGGGCAAGTTTCAGGTTCAAAAAAATGAAGAATTTATATCCGAAGGTTGGTTACAGGTTTCTAGTGGAACCTATAAGAAACTTGGAACCGTTCACTCCTACTGACGGGCGATGGCCGCAGGAAGCGAGGGCGGCGAGAGTGAGCTCTTAGGGCGCGAATGAAAATCATTCTCTTCCTCAGCCCTATTTCTGGCTAGATATAGAAAAACCCTATTTCTATTCCTCTAACAAATTTCAGAGTAGAAAGTACGGTTTGATAACGACACAAAATATTTGTTCCCGGAATAGAAATTCATTTGATAAGCTATTCTTAAATTTTTGTTCCCGGCAATGGTCAGGCAGCGACCAACCGACCGGCGAGGGCTGACGGCGAGAGGCCGAAGCGAGCAGCAACGGTGGGGGTGGGCGGACAGCCGGCAATGGGCGGCCACTAGCAAGCGGTGGTGGGGGCTGGTCGATGGTGGTGGGGGGCAACGACAGGTGGCGGGCGGCAATGGCGAGCGATAAGAAAATTATTATTTCTAGGTAAAAAAAATTCTACTTCTCATTTCTGTTTTAAACCTGTTTTTGGGCTAAAGATTTGTCTCGAAAATAAAAAAATAAAGTTGTGTTGCCAAACGAATTTCTGTTTCAAATCCGTTCTCGAGAATAGAAAAATAGGGAAACGGAATAGTTATCATTCGTGCTCTTAGAAAAATTGTTATTTCTATTATTGTTCCATAAATAGAAAAATAGAAAATTTATACTCCTCATTTTTTATCCAAACCTATTTCCGACATAAAAATTTATCTCGGAAATAAAAAACGAAATTGTGTTACCAAACGGATTTCTATTTCAATCCTATTCCCAGTAACAGAAAAATAAAAAAAACAGAGAAACAAAATGTTTATCATTTGCACCCTAGATTTCATAAAAATTATAAAAAAGAAAGGTTGTAATATAGAAAATCACACTCCCCCACCACATATTGAAATTACGCTCATAACTCGTTTGGTATCTCCAATTGAGCTTCATTCTCTTAATGAGATTTAGCTTGTTCGATAGCTCAAATAATTCTTTTTAGCAAGAGGCGTTCTCACGTAGTTTTATATACTCAATTCATTACTATTTTTCGAACCGCCATATCTGAATCACTTCTATCCATCTATAATTTTGTTTTTATAAAATTAAATTTATCTACAAATCCCCAGTTCATTGTTGTGAATGGGCTCGCATTTCCGCGCACTAGGGCAATATATTTTCGCTTGGCAAAAGTTCGATTTTTTTCCCGGCAACCATTACGGTCATAAAAGTATCGATTCTTAATAAGACTTTGCTTATTGCTCGAGATATTTTCTTTTCTGGGGAGCCAAATATTGCTTTCAGCTGCTTTTTTTTTTTTTTGCCCCATACTTGAAGAGAAGGCCTATTGGAATCAAATCAAATTCACCTATAGGCTTCAAATATGGTTCTATTTATCACAATCTATGATGATATGAGTCATGGATTACATGTATGCACACAAGAGAAAGAGAGAGAGATAGAGAGAGATGTGATGTGATGTGAATCCACTCTTTGGAGATTTCTGCCAATGGCAAATCCATTTCTTTTTCTAATGGTCGGCCACGCCACGATGTGCTCATCATCTTCGTTATCAAAGAACCAAAGACTCTTTCTTTCGGTCCTCCTCCGTCTCCTTCCTTCGTGCAGCAATTGACCCAAGAACGCCATCGGACTGACCAATCTATCATCCCCGCTCGTTCCTTGATGACGAAGAACAGCCACGTTTAGTTGGTATGTGTTTTGTACTATGGCGATGGAATCATCTAAGCAAAGTAAAGTTATGGAAAGGAATTTTCTCTTTTTCGGCCGGGTGCCCGGGTTTGACTTTGATGCCATGATCCATTCCTATCTTGCCCGGGTTTAGCATTATGCATATCCACCTCATCACGCAAAAAGGCAATAGAGAAAAAGAATAAGAGTGTGTAAGAACGGGTGCTTATGTTTCGTGGGAAGCTCGAGATTCCAAAGACATGTTCCAAAAAGTGATTGATTATATCCCTTAAAAAAATTAGTCAACGGAAAATATTTTCATTATCTACAATAATTTATGCCTAACTATTTTCGCAGGTAATAAAAATACTTTTCATTCATTCACTTTTGTAAGTAATATATACGATCATTTTTCGAATTTTTTTATATAAAATATAGAATTCATCTTTTGCAATTAATTTTGGGCTTTCAGATACCTTTGAACCAAAGTTTTGATATTTGATAACATGATCTCGAGATTCTTTGATGCAAAGTTTGACTTTGAAAAATGCCTAAAACTCAAGACAACCCCCCCCATCCAGCTTTGGATTTGAGCATTTTCGAAGTGCTACTATAGGGGTTAGTGATTTTTTTTTTCCTTCCAATTTTGCACTCATCGTAAATTCTAGATTAATCATCAATTCCACTTTCCTATGCAGATCGCGTTGGGCGACGTTGCTAATGAGATCAGACAAGCAATTGAGCTTAGATTAGATCTGACACCAATGTTACCTTTGCGTGGGGTCCTCGCCCGAGATGGTGTGACATCGTCGGTGGCCCGTCGTCTGAGCTTTCCTCCATCGCCTCAGCTGTCCTCCGTCGCCTAAACCTTATCTGTTCTCATTTTCTTTATTATGTTAAAAGTTGCTTTATAATAAGCATTTTACAATAGTATTTGCTTTTCATGAAATCCCTTTACGACGAAAGTCCTTTGCACAAATGCAAAATCCTTGGCAAAAACTCAATCCAACCAACGATAAAGCCGAGAGAGATATTTGAACTAGAATTCAAATTTGAAAGCTGAGAGAGAGACATTGGACTACTTTAAAAATACAAGTCCGTCCATGTCCCGATAGCTAGTAATTTATAATAGGATTAATATCATGAAAAATCTCAAATTTATACATGTGTGACAATTTTACTTCAAAGTAATTTTTTGACTACCAAAAATGTAAAACTAATACATTTGTGACAAATTACCCTCCGTTAAATTGGATTAATACCACGAAAAATCACAAACCGGTACACATATGATAAACAGAGGGTAAAACCTCAAACTGGTATACCCGTCATCTGCCACGTGTCATCCAACTCAGAAATTTGACCGTAAAATTTAACGGAAACTAACGAAGAATAATATTGTCACAGTCGTACCAATTTGGGGTTTTTGGTGGTTAAAAAATCAATTTTGAGTAAATTTATCTTAAGTGTATAAGTTTAGGATTTTTCGTGGTATTAATCTTTTATAATACTAACTCCTCTCGGTAAGTTGTAGATCTTTTTCGTTAAAAATTATGAAAATCTCTTTCAATTTCATTTTCGTAGTGATAGGGAACCAAATAGTCATTTGATGGATATTTTCCTCACATAAAAAGCGAAATGCTTTACGGTGCCTTTATTTCACGAAAAAGAAAAATTAAAGATTTAAAAAAGCATTTCCCAAAAGATTATCAGTTCCATTCAACGGAAAAAAAAAATTTCATCACGAACGATAATTTACACCCAACTATTTTCCCGGGCGGTAAAAATATTTTCCGTTCACTTTTCTTAAGCGGCACAGGTAATTATTTTTCGAGAAATAATATTTTTTTAAAAAATGTTTTGAGTTGTCCGTGCAGGAATCTTTTCGGCGGGGTTCATGATATGGAAATGTTCGACGCATTCATCGTCTTTCCATGTATAACGTCGCCATCGCGTTGGTCGTTCGTGTGTTTATAGCGACCCGTTTTGACATGATCTGGAATCGCGAAGAAGTGTCGTCCAAAACCCTAGGCAATCAATTCGCGCTGCCGCCTCCTTCTTCGTCTGCATCTATACCAGGTCAAATTCTTCGTCACCCTTTGTCACCGCCTGGCTGAAACTGCAGATCGTTTCGCTGTCCTTCCGCTTTTTGATTGTCTGTACGGTGTTGTTCGGAGCTCTTGATTGGGTTGATCTTGCGCTCTTGTTTCCTCTTTGTGTTTTTTTTTTTTTTGCTCCAATTCTGCATTCTCTGTATCTAGAGGCTCGTCTCGATCCGGTCAAAGATGACCATTTGCTGAGATCATCGTGCCCCAGTGAAATTTAGGTCCGATGGTGTTTAGGATTTCGAGTGGGCTCGTTTGAGGGTCGAGTGGAGGTCGAGTCATTAACAATCGGACACGGAAAGATGCCGACTTTAGCGACATGGCCGCGTGTTTATAGCGTCAATTGGTTGCTAAGTGCATCGAGCACAAGCAAATGGTGGAAGAGGACTTTGGGTCTAATATGGTTTTGGAAATGACTCAGATTTGTCTACCACCGTTGGCGTATCTCTCTCTCTCTTTGAGACAGAATATCTATGTGAAGGGTGTTAAACTTTGTGCGTTTGTTGGATTGTGATATGTGGTACACGGGAAGATTGAGTGGAAATTGTTGCAAAGATGGTCGATGGAGTCTGGAGAAACGTGTGGAGGGGAATAAACCAGACATCGTTCTGTTGTGCGAGGCTGCTAGTGACATTACTCGGGATATTGCAGTGGAGAAAAAAATTCATAACTTTGTGGTGTGGAAGAGCAATCCATGGTATGGTGTGGAATATGAAAATGATCTCTTAGATTTTGTGTATTATAACTGGTAATAGCCTTTGCTGGCCTCATGTTCATCAGAGGTATCTGATTGAATTGGAGCTTTTGCTGTGCTGTCACAAATTCCGTCCACTTAGATCGCATTTCCCTGTTCTTGGCTTATGTGTTCAGTGAATAACTGGTCAGAAGAAGGGCGTGCTTGTAGTTGTCCTCTTTCCAATTTACATGGTTTTATGAGTAAATGATCAATGGGATAAAATGAGCGCCAAAATTTATAGCAACTCACGACAATTTGCAGATGATTTCCTTCAATTGCATCTGATCATTGTCGCGTTCTTGTATAAAGTTCTTTAAAATCTTCCCTGTGCTTCAAGTAATGACGGTTTGATTAACAAAAGCAGATGGAGGACCCGGCAGATCCTGTCAAGGGAAATGCTAACCAAGTGGAAATTGAGATTTCACATGTTTCTGGAGCTGTTCATGACCATCCAACTCCTCCGCGACCTTGTGATCTTGTCTGTGCCTTTTCCAAGCTAGAAAATGATGAAGAAGCATATAATCGCCGATCAAAGTCATTAACAAAACTTTGTGGGCTAATGATTCTATACATGATAGTTATGTTAGTCGAAGTTGTTGGTGGCATCAAAGCCAACAGTCTTGCAGTTCTCGCCGATGCAGGTCACCTCCTCACTGATATCGTCGGGTTATCAGTCTCTCTTTTTGCAGTGTGGGCGTCTAATTGGAAGGCGACATCACAGTATACTTTTGCATTCAACCGCCTAGAAGTTTTGGGTGCACTTCTTTCGGTGCAACTTATCTGGCTGGTGTCTGGTCTCCTACTATACGAAGCAGTCGACAGAATTCACAAACCTAAGACGGTGAATGGAAAGCTCATGTTCTATATTGCAGCATTTGGATTTATAGTAAACTTTATCATGGTCACGTGGATTGGACATGATCATTCGCATCATGGATGTGATCATGCTCATCATGATCATGAACATGATGGTGAGGTCGAGGAAGAGGAAATGTGTGCACTAACTGCTAAAGAGGACCACGAAACAAATCTTCCAGTCTCCACTCCCTCAGCAAAGGCCAAGATTCTCAATATAAACCTTCAGGGGGCCTACTTGCACGTCATGGCTGATCTCATTCAATCGGTCGGGGTGATGATCGCGGGAGCCATCATATGGGTGGCACCACAATGGTACATGGTGGATTTGATGTCCACTCTCATTTTCTCTGTTCTTGTTCTTAGCACTACTCTGTCCTTGCTTAAGAATGTATTTTGTATTTTAATGGAGGGAACGCCCGGGGGAATTGATGTTGAGAGTCTCGCAGATGGTTTGAAGCGTATGAAAGGAGTTCATCAGGTTCATGACCTACATGTTTGGGCCATAACACTTGACAAGGTCGCCTTGTCTTGCCATGTTGTGGCCGAGTCTGGGGTTAGCTCTGGTGAGATAGTTCACAATATCAGGTTGTACTGTGAAAGAACTTACAGTATTCATCATGTCACTGTACAGGTGGAATAGTATTTGCCACATCTCTCTCTCTCTCTCTCTCTCTCATATGTCATACGATCTTCTCCGTTGAGAGTTTTACTTTGATCATTCACCTGGTTCGCTATAATTGAAGAGTTATGACCTCAAGCCCCAGAAAGAAAGACATTTGATCTTGAATAATTCACCTGTATATGGCAAGTCATTGCCATTACTCGTCAGCAATAACCTACCTTCTTGCTTTGATTTTGCTTTTATTCCAAGAAAGGGACGTGAACGTAATTATTGTCCATAGAAGTATCAGCACCAATAAGTTGTGGAACACTTAGCCGACCATAATGACACGACAGATGCTGATAAATGCAATTTAAATAGAGAATGGCAAGAGAGTGGAAGCACTTTTATTGTGGAGATTTGAAACCCCGGAAGAAAGTCAACGAGGCCGAACGGGACGCACTAGTATGTATAACCAATAATCACGTCCGAACAACTCTATGTCGTGCCCCCCGTTGGAAACAGTCTCCACCTAACCATATTGCTGTATTTTGGTCTCACTGAAAATGACAAAAAGAATAAACAAAGTATCGCCTCTTCAGAAGCTAAAAATACCGTTCATCAGGTCTGGTCACACCTCAACAAAGTAAAAAGAAAAAAAATCGGGGAAGAGAAAAGAACAACACAAATATTCTACAAATGTCTCGTCGACCCAAAAGGAAATGGGCTCATATCTAAGCTGCTTTGGGTTAATTACCACTCGAATTTTGTCTCCTGTATCACACTGTCGCCTTAAGTAGAACAGCAGCCTCTCTTGTTGGCATTCCCCGAGGCATCAGCGACATTGATTGTGGTTCCTTGACCAGGAAGGGTAGTAGCAGCAGCTTCCTGAGCTGCCAATGCCTTTTTGCTTATGATGTGGTAGATCTCTGTCAAAATTGTCTGAAACGCCTTCTCAATGTTTGTTGCGTCCAATGCTGAAGTCTCAAGAAATGAAAGACCCTCCTTCTCAGCCAAGGATTGACCATCATCCCCCTGTACAGCTCTTAGGTGGTTCAAATCAGACTTGTTCCCGGCCATCATAATGACTATGTTCGAATCTGCATGGTCCCTCAGTTCCCGAAGCCACCTCTGGACATTGTCGAAGGTTTGCCTCTTTGTTATGTCATAAACTAGCAGAGCGCCCACTGCTCCCCTGTAGTAGGCACTGGTAATGGCTCGATATCGCTCCTGACCAGCAGTGTCCCATATTTGTGCCTTGACGGTCTTTCCCTCTACCTGAATTGAAAGGCATACTTAATCTATTGCACTAGAATTATATAGACAATCCAAGGCTCATACATCACACTTTACAAAACCATATTGACATTGATGATTATTTTTAGGGCCATCAAGTACAGTGTCGGAGGCAGTAAGTATTAACTACACATAAAGCAATCGTTTTTTACTTACAAATTATAATCATTACCATTTGACACAGAGTCTGATCGGCAGCCGTGACTGCCAAACAAAGAGAGTACCCAGTCATCAACTAACCCTGCTCCTCATCCAAAACATATTTCTACCCCACTTAAGACGTTGTTCAGCAGCGTAAATGCATTTACATTCAAGAGAGCCCTCAATCAAAGCTACAGAAGTGAATTCTTTCATATAAAATCAGCTAATTAACTTCAATGCCATAACAAGATGACAGAAATCTGAAAGCAACACCTGGAGGGTAGAAGAGGAGTTCGAAACATCGCTACAATTTTAGAAGTAAACATCAACTAACTTTTACCAACATGTACAACATAGTAACTCCCAAGTTCCCAATAACTGCAGATCCCAACAGTTGGCCATCACGTACAGAAAGAAGGCGAGGACACACCCACCAGTTCTAAGTCGCAAGATCAATCAAACAAGATTGGGTAACGAGAAGAACCAGATTTCTTCTTCAACTATATAGAAAGAGAACCTAATTTTCAAATCAGAAAATAACCTTTCTATTCTCAGGTAGGCCCACACGTTTTAGGTTAACTTGAAGGAATGGAATGAAATGTTCCTGTTAAATAACCAAATACCATAACACTTTATCGCAATATATATAAAGTCATCCACCTCCTTTTGCCTCTCCCCCCTTCCTCAGACAACAACACACACACAAAAAACCAAAAAGAAAAGTTATAAGATTAAATAACCCCAAGACTACCCCACCACACCCCCACCAAAAGAAAAGTTTCTAATTTTTCACCCGAGCCCTGCCTGAGGAATCAACAAATTTCAGGTCGCAGTAATTCGATAAATAAATGGTGACCAAAATTTGTTTGCCAATCATCATGATCTAGATCTAGAATAAAAAACCCGGAAAAGCAGAATTCCTTCAGTTGGTAAACACGAAAAATTTCACATTTCAGCCATGTCTCCAGCACATGGTGCTATATCGATATACAAGCACAAGTAAGATCTTAAATATTGCTGCAATAGCCAGCAATTCACAGAATGACAGCAAACAATTATATACTCGAGATAAATCTGCTTAGATTACTTCCATTTAATTTAATAATAGCAAGAAACCATTTTCTTCCGTATAAATTATTAACTGTTAATTTAATAATTCAAAAGGGCAATCAAAACGAAGCAGGAACTAAAATCAATAGGTAGTGCAAATAGAAGAAGAAGAAGAAGCATTAGCTAGATCTATTTTCAATGCGCCAAAGGAAGTCAACCAAATGATCGGACAACACAGCTAGCCAGGATGATATGACGACGACCAGAGCAGAGAGAGTAGGAAATCAGAGCGTGACGACAAGTTCACCTGCAGAGTTCTCGTCGCGAACTCGACGCCGATGGTGGACTTGGATTCCAGGCAGAACTCGTTCCTCGTGAACCTCGAGAGGATGTTCGATTTGCCCACGCCGGAGTCCCCGATCAAGACGATCTTAAACAGGTAATCGTACTCATGATCCACTCGATTCGCCATTCCCGACGCCTTCCAAAAAAAAACCTAACAGAATTCAACACCGGAAACAAACAAACGCGACCGAAATCCCGACGCGCGAACAAAACCCAGGCACACATACGCGGAGGAGATGAAAGTCGAGCGGCGACCGGAAGGCGACAGATCGGCGGGCCCCGAGAATCGGATCGAACGAGCTCGCTCCGGATCGAGAGGAGGGCGGCGGAGATTGCGCCGCGGGAGCTCGATACGCGAGGGAGCGGGAAGGGGGAGGCGCGATTCGACGAGGCTCGAGGAGCAGAGGATCGGGGACGGGGGCGTTCGCCGATCGACGACGGAGGAAGAGGGTGGGAGGAGGAGAAGGAGGAGGCGATGACGACGGGGCTTTTTGAAACGGGCCAAGGGCAAAATGCGGGGAGAGATTCGTATGATTTCTTTGGAGTTTCTTTCTGGAAGGAGGGAGGGGGGGGGGCGCGAACGGCGTCGTTGTGGGGGGTGGGGGAGGACTCGAATCCGTCAACCAATCGAGTGATCAACATGTGACGAGCGAGAGAGGTTGGAGAGAAATGACGGGGGCAGGCTCGGCTGGCCGAAGTGGGTGCCCGGGGGGAAGGTTAGTGTTCGCCACGCCATGCAATTTTATTACTCGATTTGAAACGTATTCGTTTTCCTCATTTAAAATCGGGATTCGAATCATCGCACTCATGCAATTTCTGAGAAGGGAAAATGACTTAAACAGTCTCTAAATTTTGACTCAATGTGTAATTTGATCCCTGAACTTTTAATTTGTTTAATGTAGTCAATGAACTTTAACCCAATGTTCAATGTGGTCCATGAGCTTTCAATTTGTTCAATATGATCCCTGAACTTTTGGTACATATTCAATATAGTCCCTGAACTTTATAAAAATGTTCAATGTAGTCCTTCCATTAATTCAAGTTTAGGGATTATATTGTACATTTTCATATAGTTCATGGACTAAATTGAACATGTACATAAAGTTCATGGACCATATTGAATAAATTGAAAGTTCAGGGACCACATTAAACATTAATTAAAAGTTTTGGGACTAAATTGTACATTGAATCAAAGTTCAAGAAGTTCAGGGACTGTTTATGTCATTATTCCTTATGAGAACTATCTTTAAAAGCGCATGTGCCGGTATGCGTGCTTGCGAATTTGATAGTTATTCAGATTATTTGAGATGGGAGATTAGTCGGATGTTTAAAGAGTTTCGAATATATTGGATATAACTAAATGGTCATCTAATTTTGCATAAAAGCTCGATCAAGCTCAACTGATTGATTGATTGGGACGCTACATATACATAAAGAGCATGCGAGTCAAGTTGAAATGGGGTAAATCCAATATAGAAACAACCAACAAGAATGTTTTTCACATTTTCGGCGTATGATGACTCGAATGGGAAAATTCGGATCACATTTTGCGATATATTTCTTTTTTGTGCAGGTCAAGTGATGTTTGGTCCAGCTTCCGCATACCTCAACCAGTCCACCTCTCGAGCATATGAGACGCAATAATATGAAACACTCGATGAGATCAAGTCCGCCAAGAATAAGGAAACATGTGCAGTATGAAGCAGTGGGATCCTCGTGACTAGATTTATCTGTATCCTTCCTCGTTGCTCGAACTGCATTTGTTAAGTGCGATTGATAAAGGATTTTTTGATTTGACGTATCAAAAGATCCCCACTCATCGAAACATCTGGACCAACGCAACAGGAGCAAGCCGTCAGGAAGCTGAGCATGTCCAGCAGTATATCTACATATTCATATTTTTGGTAGACCAAATTAGATGTTAGATGAGGAACAAAACGATGAAATCCAAGATATTGCTTTCCACATTGCACAATATATAAATAGATATATCGACCTTTTTTCCAATGTAATTCACAACCTTCGGGTTTTAGGAACCCCGGAACAAATTAAATCTCAAAGTCCACTTTGGACGACCCACAATACTTTCAAATTAAAAACTCCACTTCGAATAATGATCGAAAAATTAAAAATTCATGAGAAGCCAGTCTTTTCAAGACACTGTATGATCGTCATCAATATATAAAAACCCACTAATAAACGGAAGATGGAAGAGACAATGACAAAAACGATTCTTAAAATTTGGTAAAATGTGTAATGTAATTTTGTTCAACGTGATCCTTGAATTTTTGATACATATTCAATTCAGTTCGTGAACTACATGAAAATATTTAATGTTGCCATTCAACTTAAGTTCAGGAGCAATATTAAATATTTTTATATAATTCATAGATTAAATTGAATATATACCAAAAGTGCAAGGATTATATGGAATAGATTAAAAATTTAGAGACCGTATTGCGTATTTTGCTATAGTTCAAGGAATCAAATTGAATAAATTTTAGATCAGAGATCGCGTTATAAATTAGATTAAAATTCGTGTACCATTTGTGGAGATAAACTTACTAGATTCTGGCGAGCGGGAGGGTTTAGACAAGTGCTGGTGGTTTTCTAATCCCCCTTTCCTTCTGCTCGTCAAATCTGCTCTACGGTCAGCTGAAGGTGGACCATTGTCGTTTCTTCTCGCTAGAACTTCAATGGCGGGTCGACTGTTCTCGAAATCAAAGTTCCGATTTTTCGTCTCTTCTCTCCTCCGAAACGTCAGCCCATCTGCTCTTCAGGAATCTTCCCTGCTTCTGAAGCCACGAGCTCAATTCTTGGAGCAATGTCCGGCCGAAGGCGTTCCTTGGGCGAGGCGGTTCCATGACGGGAGGCCGAGGGGGCCCCTTTGGAGAGGCAAGAAGCTCATCGGGAAGGAGGCGCTTTTCGCAATCTCGGGATTGAAGCGGTTCAAAGACGACGGAGAGAAGCTCGAGAAGTTCATCAAGACCCACGTCTCGAGGCTCTTGAAGCTAGACATGATCGCCGTTCTCAGCGAGCTCGAGCGCCAGGAGGAGGTCTCTCTGGCTGTTAAGGTCTTGGCATACTTTCCTCTTTGAGCGTTCGCTCTTCGGTTCTTTGGTAATTTCGGTTTGGTCAGGATGTTCTGTATCAGCTGCTACACTTACATCGTACAAGTTTTTTGGTCCGTAAGTTCTTGTTGATGCTGTTTCTATTGCTAAGTGATTGCATTGTATGCTTCTCGCACTCGGGCAACGAAATGTTTTGCCCAAGTAGCTTTGATTTTCTTCAATATAGAGACTGTCAAACCGTATAGAAAAGCAGGGTATGTAGGAGGAGAAGTTCGGGGACTGTTGCCTATTACATGGTTGATGAAATTCTCGAATGATATATTTCTCCTGGAACTGAGATTAGACAATGTTTAAGGTTTATAACTGATAAAATATTGATACTTTATGCTTAAAGCTTGTGATTGGGATTATTGTTGCACTCCAAAGGCTGAAGATTGATATGCCTAAACATAACTCTTTCTTTTTACGTGTTGGTTTGTTTTCCTCAACTGAAACTGTTTGAGAGGACAATGAGTTTATACTGTACCTAGAGTTTAACTGTTTCTCTTCCCTGTGAAGTTGTTAGAAATCAGGTTCCTTTAATGAGTAGCCAGGTTGCTAATTGCAGCATGGGTTCATTTTATAAATTTTTGAACGGGAAGCTCAATAGTCAGAAACTTCCATTGTTTGTTTGATTTTCCAACCTTTCCAGCACTACTATGGCATTTATCTGTCGTGGCTCAAAAGCACCTTGTCCAAATTGCAGATGTTTGGGGTCATTCAGAAGCAAGACTGGTATAAGCCTGATGTGTTTCTTTATAAGGACTTGATTATTGCATTGGCAAGATGTAAAAAGATGGATGAGGCCATGCAATTGTGGGAGACTATGAGGAAGGAGGAGTTATTCCCTGATTCTCAAACGTACACTGAAGTCATCAGGGGCTTTTTGAGGTATGGATCTCCAGCAGATGCAATGAATATATATGAGGACATGAAGCTGTCTCCAGATCCACCGGACGAGCTGCCATTCAGGATTATGTTGAAGGGACTCATACCTCATCCCCTTTTGAGGAACAGAGTCAAGCAGGATTTTGAGGAGCTCTTTCCAGAGCGGCATGTTTATGATCCTCCTGAAGAGATATTTGGTGTTCGTTAAGGTTAGTCACTGATTATGTTCTTTCTCAATATCATTTTACTGGCTGAAGCATATGAACTTCAGCGTTGGTTTAGAAGGTGCTGGCTGAAAATATAGATTTTGTACTTCAGTATGAGATGGGATTTCTCTTAGCTGTCAATGATGGAAATTGGACAAAGCAACGTACGATGCAAGTTTATATAGAGAAACGATGTGAGGAATTTGAGAAAAGTTCAAGAAATGGAATTGATTCTGGCTGCTTCTTTTTCATAATGTTGATTGTTAGAGTACTTCGAAAACTAAAACAAATTGGAATGTTTAATCTGTTAATAGATCGTATTTTTATAACATTGATGATGATTGAATTTGCATATTTGATACTGGGGAAGATACATTACATGAAACACTCGGTAAAAGTTTCCAAGTTAAAGTAGAGAATGGACCTGCATATTAGTACTAGCCACTGTCATGCTGGAGGAATTATGTATATCTCTAACACTTGTTTTTGCCGACAAAGTCGGGAAGTGTGTTTTTGCATTCTTGTGTTAAATTTACCGTGGAATGGGTGGCTGCTGCTTAATACTTAATACTTATTGGATATTATGCTGCTTAAGTTCAAACCATTTTTTTCTGGAATAGGTGTGAACATAATGTGTCGGGCGATGTGCAATTAGCTACTCCTGGTCCTCTGATTCAGTAATTAAGATTGAGGCGAATGCATGATGAGTAGCATCTTCTCTTGTCTTCCCCTTTTGGATTAATTTTGCTTTTACACTTCATGCAGGAACGCTTCACTTATGGCGTAGTTTCTTAATCTACATTATATGAGCAAGGGCTGTCAGCATGTCGATATTCACTGCTGCATTTTTGGGCAAGGTAGCATTCGGTTATTACAAGTGTTTCGGCAAGACTCTGGATAAAAACAGAACAAATTTACAGAGAACAGAACAGTGAAGCCATTCGTGCCAGATCTCCCATGCTGCCTCTTTATGTTTTGCAGAAATTATGATGTAAAACTAGTGTTATCAAGTCCGCCTTCGTTTGAACTTCCAACTAGTGGAGTCTCTAATGATTAGTGGAAAGGAACTTTTCTTGGTGGCTGCCTGAGCACTGAGGGTCGATCTGGGATGTGGTTGATATTGATAAAAATCGCATTTGGCATTATTGTCTGTCTCTTCTCCTTCTCTCTCTGTTTCATGTTTCATTTTTTTTTAAAATTTGATCGAGAGGGCCCGAAACCTTCCTGTCATCATTGTCTGTTGGATGGAAGGATTAACGATCGTGCGCTAGAATCATATCGTCATAATGATGAGTCCGCAAAGAAAGGGAAAAGAGGGGAGGCTTCAGGCTTGCCGTTTAGAATATAAAAGGAACCAGTTGAGAGGCAGTCCAATCAAATTGAGAGGAGCGTTCCATCCATTGGGGATGTGCTTTCGGGCTTTCCCCTCATGCTACGATTTTTGGAGAATCATAACCATCAATCTAATATAATTATTAATAGGGCAATGAACAAGTTTTTAGTTTCACGGTGAACAAACCAGGAGCGGCCACGTAAAAGATTAGTCAGAATTATAGAGGAGTGATACGTATTCATTTTAGTATGTCCTTCAATTATGTTGTATAAATATTATTATGTTGTGAATTTAAGACCAACGGGTGGGCGTGCCGGAGTGGTTATCGGGCATGACTAGAAATCATGTGGGCTCTGCCCGCGCAGGTTCGAATCCTGCCGCTCACGCTTCTCTGTCTCTTTTTTCTTTTTCTCATCATTGTTAATCATTTCCTTGAAGAATCAAAAGTTCAATTGGGGGGTGAATGTGAGCCAGTCTTTGGATTCTGTTCGTGTCGGCCCACGTCTCCTTTCCTGTTTTCTGATTCTCTCTCTCTCTGATTTGATTTTTTTGTCCCATTATCTGACGCTATAATTCGTTGATTCCGCCCTTCCTTTTGTATTCTTCCGGCTTGAAAATAAATGATATTCCTTTGTTCTTTCAGATGCTCGGTCCACCCAAAACGAAAGCCGCCACCCCCCTATCTCCCTCCTCCCATTGACCCTCCATGGCTACTGTTCACTGTTTCACGGTCTTCCATCGCACAGCATCGATTTTCAGCTTCCAGGATCGATTCGCCATACAAAGTCATCATTTTTCTGTTACTTTCTTCGACCCCTTTTCGTTTACCTCGTAAAAAAACTCTGTGAAGAACGTGGGTCAGCAGTGATTTCTGGTTGTGCTATTCTGTCGATCATTGTCTTTTCAATGCCAGCCACAGACCCACGTATTGCAAAAACGATTTGGTTGTTTGACCGAAAGTCCAAATGGTAGATGATTTGTTCAATTCATGGTATCTTAGCATCTCTGCACGCTTCGAGATATCTCACGAAAATGGGAGTCAACTGCCTTTAGTACGCCCAAGTTGTTTGGTGGTGCTGTGAAATTTTACTGTTAGGCATATTCGAATAGAAAAGACAACCTTATCTTGTTATCCTCTTGTCGCAATCACAACGTTTTACGATATCTTCTTCACAATCTGATCCTTTCCCTCTCTAGAGTCATCTCCTTCTCTTTTCTTTTCTTTTTTTTTCTTCTACTTGTGCTGCTATCTCCCATCCTAGAGAAATCTGGCCCCCAGGAAAGGTCACTGGCCAGGGAAGAGAGCAAAGGGTCAGATAAACATCAGGAACATATGCAATCTTGAGTGTGTGACCAGGGTGAGCAAGGGATCATCAGCATGATGAAGTAACTCTTCCAGAGTTCCGAGAGCGAGTGATTATCCGGTGAGGGGCACGTGGGGCCAGGCGGTATGTCCACTTGGATCGAGCATGGACCCTGCGCGACACTTATCCGTTGGAGCTTGATGATATTATATTGGAGGCGGAGAATCGAATAGCACTGCTGCCCCATGTTGGGAGGAACTCCAAGAGAAACTTCTACAAATCTTTGGTTAAAATAGAGGGAAAGAGAGCAGATATATCTTTAGCCATATTTAGAATCTAAGATTAGCACAGGATCACCACTTTTCTTTCCTTTTGTTATGTACCTGATGGCACATGGGCGGCACGCCAAGTGCCGTCTTTATGTGACTATAAATTCGAGGTCTAGAGGTCTTTGAGTCTTGTGCTCAAACGTTGTGAGATCTTCGCTCTCTCTCTCTCTCTCTCTCTGAGCTCCTGAGTTACTGTCTGCTTTCCGGTTTTCATTTGGCTGGTAGTTGTCAGGGAATTCCAGTGTTCAGATAGTTTTTCTCGAAAAGTTTCGGGTTCGGCTTTGTTTTTTCGAGCACCCGAAAAGAGAAAGATCATCATGGAGTTCAAGAAGCAAGGCAGGTCGTCTTCCTCGTTCACGGCTGACATTTTTGGAGACAAGGAATTGCCTCCGTCGTCATCTTCAACCGGAGTGTTCGCGTCTATTTTCCCACCACCTCAGTCGGTACGCACATTCGCTGATTTCTGTGCTGCGTGGATTTGCTCATTAGCAGTTTTTTTTTTCTCATGATAGTCTGGCCTGCGTGACATAGGATGTGGATAGAAGTGTTACATAGGAAAGAGAGAAGCTTTATTGTGTTGATGCAGGATTTCTTAAGGATCCGACTAAGATTCTAATTTTATGCTTATATAAGATATCACTATGTGGTAATAACATGTCAAGAACTCTTAAGAATTCTCACTTACAGCCCTGAGTCCCTGACTTCTGTAATGAGTCCACCTTGTAGCGTAACCGTGAATTGTAGTCTGGTCTTTGTTTCAGGAGAAGAGAAGTTAAATCTCCTTTTGTTTTTTCCACTGTTCTAAAATGGTATTGGCCAGTCATACCTCTCAATCCTATTTTTCGTTTTCTTAGATTGAATCCATTTACGTCATATATGTTTCTAATGAAGGCGAATCTGTTTTACTGAAATACTCCTCCTTCATGATCTCAGGTAGTAGGGAGTAAGTCAAGCTCTGAGGTCATAGGATATAGGCAGAAGCACCACAATGAAAATCAAGTGTGGAACAGCAAACAGGATAATCCAGGTTGGTGATCACGATTGTGTGGTGACTACTTATTTCCACACTCGTCAATCTTAAAATTCATCTCAAGCTTATGGGGGATTTATTACACTTCATACTAAAAGGACTTTCGTTTTCTTATGAGGAGTAATAAAGGCGCACTTGATCTCGAGTGAATTGCTTTGTAACATGCCGTAGTCAATAGTTTCATTGCCTGTGATAGCCACCCGCATGAAAATTCGCATGTTTACAGTTACATGAGATTTGAAAATTCAATAAGTAGCGGACTATATTCTCAAACTACGTGTTTTGTCAATATATTACAGTGAGTCCTGAACGTGCAAGTTGCAACACAACCAACAAGGATGGTTCGATCTTCCGAGAAGAAAGAGGAGAGCCGTGCCATCTGAGTTCATCAATTTATTACGGTGGGCGAGATGTCTATTCCCTGTCTCCTGGTGCCCAAACCTCTGCCTCCAACCCAATAGTGAGTTTCTACCAGTAACATGAGAATATCTTTCTAGGGAAGTGAGTGATGCACGAAATTGACTGCTCTTTGTCTGCCGTGTCAATGTTCCAGTTAAAGAAAGATGGAGGAGAAGATGACCAGAATGGAGCTAATTCTGTCAGTGGTGCCTCTAGAGGGAACTGGTGGCAAGGTATGAATGTCAATGAAGACGCTGAATCTAGAGAAGCTGTAATTGCTCATCTCTCAAGTAATGGTTCTTACTTCTGCAGGTTCGCTTTATTACTAGGATCTTGCCTTCTCAAGGCATGAGAACTCTTAAGACTATTTTAAAGGTAAAGTACAATCACCCGTTTCTCTTGCTTGAGCTTTATTTCTTAACTTCAGAATAATATATTACAAGGGCTGCACAAATCTCATCTTATCAAGTAGTAATCCCAAGTTGTTCCTTGTTTTCCAAAGATAATCGCCGCCTTGTCCTACCTGAGTCTCTGCCTCAACAAAATCACAATGTTCACGTTTTCCTTTATCTAGCATCCTCATTTATCTGCTTGGTGTTGGGTCATAACCTCACTTGCAAGTGCTCTTAATATCACGTGTGTTTTGCAGGAATTCAGAAGCCTGGGCAGTAAATGAGATGCGGCAGCTGTATAACTAGTTTATCTGTAACAAGAATCAGAAGCATTTTGTTATGTTCCCTTCTGTAAATAGTAGATGACCTAAAGTCTTGCCTCCATGTAAGCCTTTTCAAGGCATTTGTTAGCCTTGTTACGAGAATGTCTTGATAACCCACTCACTGCCTGGTTTACCTCCATAGATTTGGTAAAGTGATGTAGTTCTTTTTTTTTTTTTTTTTGGGTCAAAAGTGATGTAGTTCTTTGCTCTTCTAAGAATGTGAGGTTTTTATATAACAGTTCATTGTCTACAACCTATGTAGTTATATTGCTTTGCTTGTAACTCTCTTTTATTGGTCGACCAGCCAGACCATCTTAGATATTTCAATCCCAGAATCTCTTTCAAGTGCCCTAGAAGGAATTTTTCTTCTTTCATAGAATAAAAGCAATTTGCAGAAATATTCTAATTCGGTATACTAGAAAAAAAGCATGCAGCAGATGGACAATCTGCTTACTTTCAAGTTGACCATTATCCAGTTAGAAGCCACAATAAAACCACATCCATGAGTCTAACCGCATCTATGAGTTTAACTTCCAAGATTACATATTCGTATGCATCCTCACAAATTCACTAACCAGGCATTATCTTCAAGTTGCATGCACAGGAAGCATCACGAACTGCCCACTGCTACATTAAGCAAACCATTTGAGAGTCAAGAGAAGTACAGGACATGCTAGAATAAAATACTTGCACCCTTGTGCAGGCAGTAAAACGATTTTGGCTTGAAAGCTACCGGCTAATAGTCCAGGAACAGCAATACCCCTTCCTGCCGACGAAGTAACTTCGGTCTCCAGCCGAAGTTACTTTGTCTTCCCATTGCAGAAAAGCAGCATATCAAGAGTGTTCGAAGGATGATGCTTTGTCTCTGCTAAAACTTTCCACTATAAGCATGGATGGCTGTATCCAGTCTGTCCGTGTTTCCTCAGTTCTCAAAACACCTCGCTCTAGCACTGCTGATTTATTCACAACGCATTTGTTCTTGGGAATCCTCTCAGCCTCAGAAAGCGCTGCACCTCTCAAGTTGCTTGGGTAATCTTCGTTACCATTTGCAAGCTTTAGGGTAGTGGATCCTCGTATTTACAAAAATTTTCTCCTTTTGCCGAATCGTTCGACATACACAAAAACAACCTTTCATAGGCAGCAGCCATCTTGGTGGCGGCAAACAAATGCAAGCCTCTATGCCGGGCAACTTGCCCTTTTTTCTCCAAAATGATTCTGCCATCACCCCAAACCTTGTAGAGAGCTTTCTTTAGCGATTCCACCGTGGGTGGAAATGTGTATCCCACATCTGCATTAACAATGACAGACCCAGTTATACTGGCAAGCCTCGTGGCAAGGACCGGCTTACCAGAAAGCATTGCTTCTAACAGAGTATGATCCAATCCTTGAGCTCGAAGAGTTGGGTTTGCAAAGATATCAATTGCATTATAGAATCTTGCAATTTGAGCCTGTTCTAGAGGCCCCAAAACCAGAACATTAGAACCTAGATCTCTATATCTGGTACCCCAGGGACCGTCTCCGGCAACCAGAACAAGGACGTCTTCTCTGAACTTTTTGTTTTCCTTGAGTAGCTGCTTTAGGGCTTCGAACACTAACGGGTGTCCTTTATCTTTAACCAACCTACCTGCCAATCCTATGACCAGGTTTTTAGAATCCGGAATCCCAAACTTCAATCTAAAATCCCCACCGCTGATGATATCTGGCCTGAAAACATTTTCATCCACGCCGTTAAGGATCACGTGGACTCGTTCCTCAGGGATCATGTAAACTCTTTTCAGTACATCTCCAGCGTGATCACTGGTGGCAACGTGGTGAGCATAACTCGGAAAAAACTTCACCTCTTCGACCACCCTCATCACTCTTTCGGTCAATGAGTACGACTGCGGCTCATCAGGAGAACGAACAAGTTCCTGAATGACGTCGGAATGTATGGTCTCATAAGCTATTCCATGCCAGCTTACAGCTACGTTGGTTATGTTTCGCGACCGAGTGTGCATCAGACCGACACTCTCTGTGTGGATCACATCGAATGGTCTACCGGTGGAATTCTGAGATTGGAACTGCTTCCACACCAGTGCTTGGTCCAGATAACCGGCAGCGGTTGGCTTAGAGAGATGAAAGTACAAACTGCTTATCGGGTATTTCGGGAAGGACGAGTTCGGAGGAGAAGTTGTGAATATGTGGAGCTCGTGGCCTCTTTTGGCGAGCGCTATGTGAAGGGTCGAGGCATGCCTCTCAAGTCCGCCTGCGTGAGATCTGTGAGGCCATTTCTTGACGAAGACGGCAATCTTGAGGAGTTTCGGAGGCCGCCCCGGGGTGAAATCAAGGTAGTTCCACGCAGAAGCAAATGTGAGGAGGTCGATAGGTCGATCTTCATAGCGGCCTGGTATTTGAGTTTGCTTATGGCATGGACTAGTACTGGTGCAGTGAAACCAACAGAGGAATGAAGCGATCGAAAACCCGGAGAGGATGAAGATGATGGAGCATAGACAACGAAAGCTCAAGACTACAGACTTGTGATCCCTGGCCATTGAAACTAAAGTCCTAATGGTTGAACCAGATCAAAAACAGATGATTCTGAAGGAAAAGAAAAAAACAAAATATCCAATGGAACATGAAACTTACTGATGAATCTACAGTGCTGTCTGGTAGCTCATATGTTTGAAGTGGCTGCTGCACATGGACTGACAAATTTGGGATTGGAACACAGCTTGAGATGTGAGCATTTAGAGTTTTATTACGAAGTTTAATGGGGTGAGGCTTAGCTAAGCAGCAACAACTCCGTTGACTTGGGTACCAAATTTCCGCACCTATTTAAGAATTCCAAGCGTTTGCCATTACCGATGCGGATTTCCCTAAAAAAAATTTGTCCATTTGCAGACTGAAAGAAAGATGAAGAGGTCATTTCGATGGGCGCATGGTGCCATGTTTAGTGGATGCTAGCAGATTCATTGTTTTTCTACGTGTTTGATAAGTGAACCCATAAATCAAAAAGGTCCAAAACAAAAAGAATCGCCGTTGCCGGGGATCGAACCCGGGTCACCCGCGTGACAGGCGGGAATACTCACCACTATACTACAACGACTTCGTTGAGATTAATGGCTCTTAATAATAATTTTAGAGTTAATATTAATTTTATTTTTGGAATAATTTCATTGGAAATCCTAAAACTTATCGTGAATGTGCAATTGAATCCTAAAAATTTCAAGAGGATGTAATAGAATCCTAAAACTTATCACAAAAATGCAACCGGGTCCTAAAATTTTCAAACTTGTCAAATTGGCCCAATTATGTCATTTCGTTGATTGCACTTTTTGAAATTTTTAAGACTCGATCACACTTTTGTAACAATTTTTAGGACTTAATCGCACTTTTTAAAATTTTTAGGATTTGATTGTACTTTTGCAACAAGTTATAGGACTTGATTTCATTATTTTGAAAATTTTAGGACTTCATTACACTTTCATAACAAGTTTTAGGACTTCCAATGCATTTCTCCCATTTTTTTTTTTTAAATCAGTATTAAACTTATCTATTAATAAGCAGAACCTGATACATATTACAAAATCGACTGGATTGAGTTCAGTTAGCAGTGAAATATAAAGGGTCGAGGAAGGGCTATTCGCGATGCTAATTTGGCCAACTTGTGAGCAGCTCTATTGTTCGAGCGCCGTGTCCAGGAAATACTCCACCACCGGTTCCTGAGAGAAGCACAGCAATCTTGGACCAAACCCGAAATCTGCCAACAATGGGTGCTGTTTTCAGTGTTTATAGCACTTATCAGAGACACAGAGTCACTCTCAAAGAGCACCCGATCCCAGCCTTGTCAAGATGCGGCTTGTGTGCCGAGCTCTAGAGCTTCCCCTTCGGCTTCGAGAGCAGAGAGGGCGTGAGTTCCCCGATAAGGAGTTGTGGAGCACATGATCTCTGCGTTCTCGAGCCAGTGTAGCTATGGAGACCTGTGTAGTGTTCACCGCTGCATCGACATTGAGTTTTAACACACCCAAGCGCGGGAGGATGTTATAATGCGTTGATTTTGCTGGGACGAATCTTTCTCGCGACAGTTTTTGGAAGGATGTCATAATGCGTCACAGGACCAATTGGCCGTCCATCTGGACATGAGAGTCCACAATTTGGTTTCGATATTCCTAGAGACGCCAATGTATCATGCCCACCTCACATCGAAAGCGAAAAGGATGGATACCTGTTGATGGGAATAGCAACTCCGAGAGTACACCATGTACATCCATACCACTGAACCGAAGAACAGCCAAACCCCGACAGGTTTGTCACCAAACTACTCGAGTTACTGGCCAGTCTCTAATTAGATGGAGAGGCGTCTCCTCAGAGCTCTCACAAAGGGGACAGTGGGGCTTTCTGATCTGAAATATACCTAGTATTATATTACCGGAGGAAAGACGGTGACAGTCTTGATCTGTTCTTGGTAAGATGGATAATGCTGAGTATATTGAAATGGCAAACGAACTTCTGATTTACTAGACATTCTAGCATACGGGTATCAAGACATTTTAATCCGTTCCAAACATTCATTTAAGTTGTGCCATGTTACTCAGAAAATAATTCAAGATATGCCTCTTTGAAGCATTATGTCTAGCTGTGAGAGTTGCCGATGTCCTCCGCCTCCCAAGGCGTGGCTTATGGTTTAGACTTAGTTGAACTAGTATAAAAAAATCATCACGGTATCTTACCACTGAAGGGTCAATTCTGATGGGGTGGTCCAATAAGTGATAATCAAATCATCCATAAGGAAATAGAATTAGGGAGATACCCGCAAGAGCTGAAATACAAACTAGTCCATCAAACTCCAGTTACAGAAAGCAGCAAACAAAGAGCGAAAGCTTATGCAGCGCATTCCAACATCGGAAGTACAAACACTATAAACGAAACAATCAGTCGTCCCTTGGCAAAGTCCAGATCGATCAGAAACCATGAGAAGCCGGATCCTTGACAATGGTCACCGGACAAGTCGCGGTCGCCATCACATGACTGGTCACGCTCCCAAGGACCACCCTGTTTGTAGATCACAACACATTTATTCACTCCAATAAGACCAACTTAGGGAAACAATAATTCATGATCCAATTTGTAATTATCTCATTCGTTCTATAGTTTCTGCTCTTGGGAACCAAACCAATTGAAACAACCCGGATTCCTTCAAGATGGACATCCGCTATTTTAAGAATTTAATGTACCTTTGAATGGTGCCGAGGCCTCTGCTACCCATGACCAAGCAATCGAGCTTGAGATCGCCGACCGCCGCGCATAGCTTGTCCCTTGCATCGCCCCAGTATATCTTCACCACCACAGTCACCTAATCCATATCGATCAATTCACATGTTTATTTCGATTAATAATTAAATAAACAATCTGACAGAAAAAAATTTGGGTATATGCTAGGAAGAGTAATAGAGTACATGTTTCTGGCGGCAACCGGTGTCGAGCATGTCGAGGACCTCGGGATCAAGCTCGACATCGTATTTCTGGGCGATCTCCTTCTCCCGGAACTCCGATAGGGGTATCAGAGCTGCATATATTGAAATAATCAGAACGCTAGTGCTACCAATTATCACCATAGTTATAGAATAATTCAAACTCAGCAAGATAGGCAAGAGCGATCGATCTTGTTTAGGGGACGTACGAGAGCCGGTGGCGGACCAGAGGAGGTTGCGAGACTCGTCCCCGACGAAGGGCTTGATGTGGATCATGTAGAGAGTGTCGCCTTTGTCGATGAGGTTATCGATGGCCCATTTCAGGGCCAGTTTGCTTCCCCTGGAGAAGTCGACGGCCACTCCGATCTTCCTGTCCTTGGTCATGCTGGTCGACCCTCCTACTCGATCCCGATCAAAGAAGAGCAAGAAAGAAACAGCTTCGAAGATCTCTCTGTCTCTCTAGAGAGGACTAGGAGAGGAAGGAGTGGGACCCGGAGGAGATAGAAAGATAAGGCAGAAACCGAAGTGATATATGGAAGGGTTCGTGACCTTTTGATAAGGCTTTATTACGATGGAGATGACGATGATGCAAAACCACAAACTAACCAAGTCATTTTAAAAAAGAAAAAAACGGGGTCTGCAGTCGCTTTTAGCTGAGGAGATTAAGGTCAACTTTTTGCTTAGTCTTGAAGCTTCACATCGTGGGCAAATTCAATGAGATGGATACGAGTGAAGGGAGGCGGATAAGAGGAGAGATTTGCAGTTATTTTAATTGCGATTCGTTAGCTGGTTTAATGGGTCAAAGTGCCTGAAACGTACATCAGTGGCATTTGGCAATTCTATAGATTATAGGTACGGGCCACAACGTTATTATGTCTATGCATTTTGGTTAGATTGCCATTATTTTTTCTGTGAGAGAGAGAGAGAGAGAGAGAGAGATATCTAACAGTCATAACGATTGGTCAATGGATTTGGATGACAAATGTTTGACTTGACGGGAGAACAAGGAGCAAGAAAAGCTGAAGAAACAGATGAATCTCATGAAGCGACACAGAGAGAGATATTGCTCCATAAAAGTTTCTCAGTTATAAAAATTTTTCCCCAATTCAATTAAAAGGTTCTTTGTCGATAAGCGTCCTTGGGCCCTGTTCACAAATACCATAATTGCGAAAGAAATGCTTTATTGCTTCTTCTATAGTAGAAATTCGCGCTCTCGTCAAAGGAAATCTTGCGTTTGAACCGGACCTATACTATAGGTGCAATTTTCCACCTCACAAATGCAAAAATACATGTCCGAATCATTTTTTGAATCGTGTCTTATCTAATTCATTAGAGTACTTTACAATAAATGAGTGATGAGTCTATAAGCACAAAAAAAATGATAACTAAAATTAAATATTTCAATAACGTAGATGATTCCGGGACTTGGAGCTTCTTGGTTGATATTAAATGCATCCTGAGTTTCTAGAGTATCATCCTTATTTTGCTATTTTACTTGGATTCTTGTTAAGACACACGTCCACACCCGAGAGTAAACCAAAAAAGGGTACTCTCTCTATAATTGGGTCAAGGAAAAGTCAACTGTGCAGTTTTCATGATTCGTAAGCAGTGATCAGGCTGTGTACAGAGTACCGGGAATGGATCCGAGCTTGGGCTTTTTGTCGTTCATCCAACATGTTTAGCTTCACCATGGAGCTAAGCTATTGTTGGCCCATGAAAGCCACAACCTCAGAGAGAGAGAGAGAGAGGAAAGCAAAAGGCAGGCCTCTTTCAGCGTCGAATTCGATGCTAACTTTCATATGTTTAATGCTTTTCTTCAGACAGATTATTATCGCGCACTTGTGAATACTTTAAGTTTAAGCACTTTGGGAAGATGCTGAGTTTTGCAAATTTGTGTCTGGTATGACCTCCACTGATTGGCATTGGAGATTCCTTCATGCGGGCTCGACTTCATTTTCTTTATCCATTCTTCTCTTGCTTCGTATCTGTGCTCGCTACATCATGGCCCGAGAAGAGGATGGTGATGATGTCCGGAGAGGCCAAGCTGCCTTTGTAGGCTCTTCTCTCTCTGCTTTTAAATGATCGAACAAAAGCTTCTTGGCTTTGGTTTGACTTGTGTTTGGTTCCGCACTCCGCAGCAAGAGCATGATGTACTGAAGAGGCAGCTTTCTCAGGTTAGTGCCCTGCCACGGCCGAGAAAGGTCCATCGCCATCAAGGTGCTGGTTCGGGCATGAAAGCCTTTTTCCTTGGCGGGTCGGGTGGGACGGGCGTTTTCTTGCCCTGTGGAACAGGCCATCAATCCGGTACTTCTCCCTTACGATTGTAGAAATAGTTTTCATGTTTGTGAATTCACTCGAAGGTCAACCAGTCGATACTCGACCTGTATGCCATTCTAATTGAGTTCGAGTTGCTCTGGTCTTTTGATATATAGTCTGTTTCGAAATCCCGGGTCAAACTATATAATGAAAGCTTTTCATCATAATGTAAGTTCGCATTTCAATAACCAAGTCAACGTTCTTCTTCTTTTTTGGGCCAACTGCCATCAAATCAAGTTGAGACAAGCTTGTATGTATAATACTTTGCTGAGTTGAGCTCAAATTTAATTTTTCAAGCTCAATCCCAGTTCAAGACAAGCTTGGGCATACCCTATCCACTTTGAGTACTGTTTAGTTTAGTGCAGGTGAAGTTTTCTCCTCTTTCTCCTCGAAACCAGATGGGCAGTAAGTTGGAATAGAACTTGTCGTTTCAATTTGATAATTATGGGGTTTTGGATCACAGGGTGTTCGACTGTACTTATACCCGCAGGAGTAGCACAAGCCTTGAGACTCCACTTTGACAGGATCAGCTCGCAGTTTGATCCTGGTGCCGTCGGTGGTTTTCCTATGCAACCAGCTATTTTCTTGCCAAAAAGGTAAACTCGAACCGAATGTTAAGTAGACAAGCAGCATCGTACTAACTCCCAATCACACACCACCTCCAGTGACTTTGTTTCGTTATCGCACTGATATATGTTTTTGATGATGATCACTTCTTTGGCCAATTTCTGTGTTGAATTGAATGGCACCTCTTTGTTCCACTTGTATGCAGAATCTCTGATGGCAAGAGCGCGAAACCCAGATGGTAGCAGTACTACATGATTCGGGAGACATGTCTCCCTCAGGAGTATGCTGTGCCCTTATCCTCTTCTGAATTTCTGAATAAATTGTTGCCCAAATTTTGATTTTCGGCTTTTGCTTTGCTAATCATTGAGCTTTCCATGATTTACTGTAATGGCACAATAAACAGAGAAATATAATTAACTGGAGAATAAAAGGACACGGGAAAGAGCTTTTTTGGCCCTTCCTTTTGTCTATTTCCCTGCACACTAGTTATGTAAGGATGTTTTAGGTTCCTCGATCTGATCTAGTCTTTCATTTTGTCTGAAAAGTATCTAAGAAATCTCTCGGATGACGATTCCTATTGCTTTATCAAACTTTGTGAGAATCTACCAAGGCATTGACACATTCCGCGATGTCTGGCAAAAGAATAAAGAAAGCTTTTCGCCGTAATTCAAAGAAAGAATAGATTAAAGACTTGTCAGGTGGAGTCTTAATTTTGGGGCATCGCAATTGTCACATCCCAAAGTCTAGGACATTGAAAGGCGTGAGATTTTGCAATAAACATTTGATGACGCCCATCCATTACTATAGGACCAAATCCGAGCTAAGTTGCTACATTTCATGACTAGTAGATGTGAAATCGCAAAGGCACGTGATCACATCAGACAAGTCTTCTTGAATTGTTGAGAACAAAAAGTGTGAAATTAGAACTCTGAAAAAGTCATTGACAATTGTTGACACCTAAATTCTGACTACTCATAATTGTATAGTAAAATTAGGGGCTAAAGCTTAGCCCCTAACAAAAAATAATATAATTGCGCATATAGTTTTTCGGAGCATATAGTTTATCCATTGCATTTAATTGGATCGGTGGCAGACGGACTTAACAGAATTTAATTGGACTGGAGTTAATGGACTCAAGTGCAGAAATTTTGAACTTAACAGAATTAATTAGATCAAGCTCATGCGAATTAAAGATTCGGTTAAACCCGTTATTCCCTAGAGTGGTCGAGATTGGCACGTGCATTGCGCATGCGATACATCAAATTACGGGATATTGAGACAATGTCATGAAAATCTTTTGGTCACATGGGTTATTCGAAAGAACTAGTATAGGGAAAGAGCAAAGTGGATTTGGGTAGATTCGTGGGCAGAGGAACAAAGGAAGAAAAATAGGAAAGTGAGTTATTTTTATTCACGTTTCCGCGATACATGGGAAGATTGTGAAGCCATCATATTCGGTTAAAAAGGGGTGAGAAGGAAAGAAAATCGATTTTTGCACACGTGAAATTAAAGAAAGGGAAAGAAAATAACAAATGAGGGAGAGAAGCAAAGGGAATTTGGATTTTACAAATCCAAATTTAGATTTTACAAGAAGGAAAGTAGATGTTAGCCTTTTCATTGAAAGTCGGAGTGAGCGATTTCAGGTTCTGCACAGGTTCCATCTCAAACCTAAAACCTACCCATTCCTCATTTTTTGGAACTTGAAACTTACTTTACATACTTTGGAATCTGATCACATTTATGACCACCACTTGCTTCTATGATCCTTTGACCACAACTTATATTTAGACACACGAAGAATATGAAACATTAACAAGTCACAAGATGAAAGCTCAGACTAGTGATTTCAGATTATACACTCATTATTTAACATTATGGAACACTGTCTACTAAGGTTTCAAATTTTAGGTTCCAAGTTCTTACTTGCCTAGAATTTGGAACCTACCCTGAACTTGAAACCTACCCTGTATACCTTAGAATTGAGATATGATTTGCAAATCTATTGTTTCTAAATTTAAATGGATATAGATAATATTTCTTGTGATTCGATGTCGTATTTGATGTGGATTTGATTTCTTTCTGTATTTGTTTGATTTGAATTGATTCTGCTTTTTTAAAAACAAATCCAAAAAAGAGATTAGCTACAATTGAAGTAGATTATTTTTAGGATAAATTGCATGTTTAAATTAGGGAATTTAATTAACTTCGGATTTCATAAAAACTACAAAAATTAAAAATAAACATGAACATGTCATATAGATTAATTGTTTCACGCTTGTATGTCATCTTGCCACGTCGTTCATAACTTTTCATTCGTCATTGCTTGCGTGTCATTTAGCAATCGTATGTTAATTAGGTTCATGGAATTGTGTGTCATATTAAATTAATTCAGTAATGATTTTTGCCTGTAATTAAAATTAGGTCATATTATAATAGTCCATTTAATCGTCGCTAGAATTAGGATTAGGATATTTAGGTAAATCGGATGTTGCGTGTCCTGTTAGACTGGTAGATGTAAAAACGCAAAGGCACCTGATCACATCAGACGAGTCTTCCTGAATTGCATAGAGTGGGAAATTGGAACTTTGAAAAAGTCCTCGGCAATGCAGTGCAGGATGTCTCTTCTGACTGGTATGACTCGGTTTTTTTCTTTTTTTGGTCGGATAAAATATGACTCATTTGAAACGCCACAATTTAATACTCAATCAGCCGAAGACACCAAAAAAACGATTCGCCTAGTACAGATTTCACTTGGCTTTTATTGAGTCTATATCAGGTGCTTGTTTGAATTGCTTCATTAATGCATTTTTAGTCAGAACGGTGAAGTTTCCATGTGGGTTCCTTTTGAAAACAGAAGTTGAACAGGGCAGAAGTATCTCACTGGTTTCGCAGACTCTTCAAAGGGTCCTATACGTCCTTAAATACTAACCTGGGTTGCTATTCATACGGCAATCATTCGTGCAGTCTCAGTTTCAGATTCCAGAGTTATGGAGTTCGAGATCGGTCATCCCGTCGCCATGCTTGAAAGTGAAACATGCCGCTTGGTGTTGGTGCTCTTCCCCTCGCAGGGCCACATTAATCCCATGCTTCAGCTAGCCACCATACTGAACTCGAGGGGCTTCTCAATAACTATTGCTCATCCTGAATTCTGTTGAGGAAAACTCCTATTGATTTTGAAGTTGACAAAACCTTCTATATTTTTGTAAATCTGATACTTGTTCTGAACAATTTTATTCCAGGTCTGTATATTCTGGAAGCTTAGAAGAAAGTTATTCAGACTTTACAAACCGTCAAGTATGTTTTTGAAGACCCACATAATCTAGGTTCCGAGATTCGCACGCTGAAGTTATTCGATGCGTATGCGTATAGTAGAAGTTTTTCGATGCAAATGCGACGAAGAAATTATTCGGACGAAATTCTTCGGACGGACGCTGAAATTCTTCGAGGCGCACGCTTGAATTTCTTCGACGCGAATTCGTAACATATCACAACAGCTAGTAATCCGGCATGGATTTCATGAAGGAATGTTCGATTGTCTCAATCTGAATCAGATTGATTGACAAATCAAACATCACGACAAGAATGCATTACAACGGACAAAACTCTACTTATGGAAACCAAGATTCTGATTGTATGGGCGAGCAGAATCAGCGGGATTTAGAATCTGTCAACCAACGGCTACTCAATCCTTATACAAATCTGTCCAAGGTGAAGATTGGAAGATGATCCTCTCAAAGTCGTCCAACGGCTAGTTTGGAAGTAGAGGAGTATTTAAGGAGATCAACGAGCAGCGTAAGGAAGAACAGAATCAAGAATCAACAAGTCCAAAGTCGAGCATACTCCAATCATTTCTCTTGTCGTTCGAGCAAAACATTAAGATCTTGAGGGATACTTTGTAAGAGTGATTGTGTGAGATAGAGAGTCCTATCATACACAAGAGTATTGACTCTCGAAGTTGTAATTCCTCTTGATTACATAGTGAAATCCACCCGAGACCGTAAGCGTGGGAGAGTGGACGAGGCTTGCTATGCCGAACCACTATAAACTTGTGTGCAGTTTTCTATCCCTTAACTCTTACTTTACATACCGCACATCAAGAGCAGCGTCTATATAATCTCGTCTTGAATCTGAATTTTATTCAGACTCTTCTGTGATTTACTTTGTTTCCGCATAAATTTTCTAAAATTGTTTTAGATCACCTATTCACCCCCCTCTAGGTGATCCTTGCTAGCTACATCAAATTCAACTCGCCCAATCCTTCCAACTATCCGAATTTCACCTTCTTACCAATACCAGATGGCTTGTCTAAAAGCAGCCTTACTGTTCAGGACTTCCACTCGACGATGCTTGCTATTCACAGGAACTGCCGGGAACCCCTTCGAAGATTTATTCAACAGATGTTGGAACAGAATGATCCACAGGGCCGGGTTGCATGCATCATCTATGATGCGCTGATGCACTTTGCTCAAGAGGTGGCTGCTCAATTGAATCTGCCGAGTATTAATGTTCGAACCAGTGCAGCTGCTTCTATGTTGGCTTTTGCCGCCCTTCCCCGGGCCAACGAGCAAGGCTATATAACTTTCACAGGCAAGTTTGAATTGGGAAGTTTATCTAAACGATTCACACATGGAACATCTACTATCCAAAATCAGAAACTAATGCTAGAATTGCTTCTGATTTGGCAGATTCTTTAATTCAGGATGAATCCCTCAAGTTGCAGTCCCTCAACATCAGGGACCTTCTCATTACCATGGGGGAGAATCCCTCGGACACCGTTCTAGAGCTTCGGGCAGCCACGACTAGTGCGACGAGAAATTCTTGTGCAGCCATCGTGAACACAATACATTTCCTCGAAGAAGAAATGCTCCCGAAGATTCAAGAATATTTCCATGCACCGATATATGCCATTGGCCCTTTTCACAAGTTAGCCCCTTCTTCCTCTAGCTCATTACTGAAGGAAGATACCGGGTGCATTTCATGGCTCGACAAACAAGCTAGCAGATCAGTCTTGTACGTGAGCTTCGGCAGCGTGGCTAGCATGAACGAGGAACAACTGCTCGAAACTGCCATGGGATTGGCCATGAGTGAGAGGCCTTTCTTGTGGGTGGTACGACCCAGTTCGGTGGGCTGCACGGAGTGGCTCGAGCTCTTGCCAAAGGGACTCCAAGAAATAATTGGACAAAGAGGTTGTATTGTGAAATGGGCACCGCAGAAGGAAGTTTTGGCTCATGGTGCAGTAGGAGGATTTTGGACTCACTGCGGATGGAACTCGACCCTGGAAAGCATCTGCGAAGGCGTTCCCATGCTCTGCTGGCCGGTGTTTGGCGATCAAGGTCTGGATGCGAAGTATATAAGCCACGTATGGAAGATCGGACTGGAGTTGGAAGCGAAGCTAGAACGAGGGAAGATTGCGGGAGCCATCAGACGACTAATGGTAGAGGAAGAAGGGGAGGAGATTAGACAACAGGCCCAGGCATTCAAAGAGAGAGCTGAACGGAGTCTCGACATGGGCGGTTCCACCAACACTGCATTGAATGAATTGGTGGAACTGATCCTGTCATTCCAACCTCAACACGTAACATCGGATTAACCGTTTCCAACTGCCACCGGAGTATCTGTTTATGCACTCAAATACCATTTATCGAGTGGACATTTTGCTCGCACCAGAAAGTCCAGCGGCAGATTGGAGATCAGCATCATATTTCAGTTTTCGGGTGTTTCGATATCAAAACTTTTGTATTGCAATTTCACAATTTCGCATACGTATGTTTCTCCCCCCTTTTAAAACAGTTTCATAGGCGCGATTCAATACGATCAGTTGCATGAAAATCAAAGAGTAACCTAGAGCCAAGATCGCAAAAATGGCATACGTAACTCTAAATACAATGTTAACAGAGGCCGACAGGAAAAGATTTCTCACAGAGCAGAAGCATTTCTGGCAGAAAAACACGAAATGCATTTCGTACAATTTGTTTATGGGAATTTTTTATCCAACAGTCTCATACGGTAGAGGAAAGAAGCGTGCCGGCTGAACACTGTTTTCCAATAGTGTCTTTTACTTTGTTTTATATCTCCAAAAGATTTCTTGCCATTTAGTGGATGGATGCAACGGATAATTTGACACTTGATGCACCAATGAAAGAGGATGCACGCGAGTCGTGCTGAACCTGCTCAGCAACTTCAACCCTATTGTTAATTTCTGCAGCATTGGCCCCAACGCGCCGTGTCCAACTCCCAAATACAATTATCTGACTCAGTCATTATCATGTGAGCCGTCTTTAGAGAACTCTTCGCTCTTTTGACCGTCCTGCAGCATTTAACAAATGAGTATCCATCACTGAATGATTGTGCCCGTCCCTTTCATGCCCTTTTAAATATGAAGAAATGAACCGCCGATTGCTTAATGATAGACCACAGATTGCATAATGAAAGACCACTCAAGTGAGTTTTGGCCTCGCACCTAATGGCAACGGCCGGAGATAGGAGGCAGCGCCTTTTGGTGCTAGTGCCTTGTCCTTACCAAGGTCACCTGAATCCGATGCTTCAGCTCGGAGCGGCTCTTCAATCGACCGGCTCTTTTTCCGTCACAGTAGCTCACACCGAGTTCCACTTCCCTAACCAATCTAACCACCCTCAGTTCGATTTTCTTCCCGTAGCAGACAGCTTATCCGATGCTGACACGTCCTCTAGAAGTTTTATATCAACCATCTTGAAGCTCAATTTCAACTGCAAGACCTCGTTCCAGCAATCCTTAACGAGATTAAGAGAACAAACAGATTGCCAAGACGAGATTGCCTGCATAATCTATGATTCACTCATGTATTTTGCAGAAGAAGTAGCTCGAGAGCTGAAAGTCCCATGTATCATATTCCGCGCCTGTAGCGCCGCCAATACTTTGACCTACAACGAGTACCCTCGACTCCAGGAAGAAGGCTTCATTCCATTGCTTGGTAAGTAAACCTCTATGCCACATATCTAGACTAGACATCACTCATCAGGCGTAGCTTAATTTGACCATGAACAATATACCCCTGAACTGCATAAACTTTGCATTCATCTTTATCACTTTGCAGATTCAAAGCCACTGGAGCTCGTACCACGGCTTCATCCCCTCAGATTCAAGGATCTTCCCATATACAAGTTCGAAGGCCTCGAAAAATTGTTACTACTGCTCAAGAGATCTAATGAAATAGGAACTTCGGTCGCATTCGTCCTGAACACCATCGAATGCCTTGAACAGTCACCATTGATGAAGCTTAGACAGGAATACCCGGTTCCCTTTTTCACCATAGGACCTCTAAACAAGATTGCTCCACCTCTCTCCAGCAGCCTAATTGAAGAGGACGAGAGTTGCATCGCGTGGCTGAACAAGCAAGCCAAGAATTCAACCCTCTATGTGAGCCTGGGAAGCATAGTGTCCATTAACGAGAAAGAGCTCATCGAAATGGCTTGGGGACTCGCAAACTGCGAGCACCCCTTCCTGTGGGTCGTACGTCCTGGGTTGGTTCACGGGTCGGAAGCGATTGACCTGCTCCCCGACGGCTTCGCAGAAATTGTGGGCGAGAGGGGCCGTGTCATAAAATGGGCACCACAGCAGAAAGTCTTGGCGCATGAGTCGGTCGGGGCGTTTTGGAGCCATTGCGGCTGGAATTCGTCCCTCGAGAGCATCTCCGAAGGAGTCCCAATGATATGCACACCGTGCTTCGGGGACCAGAGAGTGAACGCCAGGTACCTGAGCCATGTTTGGAGGGTAGGCCTGTCGCTGGAAGACATGGAAAGAGGAGAGATCGAAAGAGCTATAAAGAAGCTTATGGCCAGCAACGAAGGAGAGATCGTGCGGCAGAGGATGACGGACTTGAAGCACGAAGTGATGCATAGTATCAAAGAAGGTGGCTCTTCTTACAATTCCCTGCACGAACTGGTCAAGTACATCAACGCATTATAGATGACTTGTGAAGGTGCAATTGATAGTTTCCTATTTTTTCGCCAGCATTTTGAGTTCTTCTTGAGCCACCTCCATGTAACCACAAGCTCCTTATATGGGAAAGAATTGTTGGTGTGTTCTGAGAAATGGTTAGCTTGGCTCTCGTTACTGTCGAGAAGTCGAAGATTACGTCACAAGCTTTGGTAACAGATCAAGAACAGAGGCAATGTAGCGTAATAAGTTATCATTGTCAGAACCAGTTGTTACAGCAGTAAGATAGCAGATAACTCGAGCACTGACATTTCATCAAACACTTCCTCACACACCCAAAATCCCACAATCCCATCCATTCTCTCTCTCTCTCTCTCTCTCTGTGTCACATACACACACGGACACTGCTCCTGAATTATTACTACACAATCCAAAAGCACACAGCAAAGGCCAACGGCCAAATTTAAGCACCATACTAGGTCAGCCAGTGATCTCAACGACCCTGACATTGTCTCGCCTCGGAGCTTCTTCCACGACCTTCGGAACAGTAACGACGAGAAACCCATCCTTCATATCGGCCGTGACCAGGTCCAACCTCGCGTCCCCCGGCAACACGAAGCTGCTCGAGCACTCGTGTCCGCTGATCTTGAGCACTCTATCGGCGCCGACCTCGATGACGACGTCGTCGCTACCGAGACCCGGGAAACAGCCCTTGAAGAGATGGGCTTCGCGGGTCTCCCTCCAGTCGACCCGGGTACGGACCGGCGCGAGGGCGCCGGCGAAGAAGTCCGGGAAGCGAGAGGAGAGGGATGAGGAAGAGAAAGGGGAGGCGGCGAACGGGTCCCAGAGATCGAGGGACGGGAAGAGGTCGTTTCTCAGGTTCATCAAGGAGTCCCAAACGGCGTCCGGGGAGAATGGGTCGTCGTCGCCGGCGACCCGCCGTCGGTCGGTGACCGGGATGATCGACATTTTTCTCCCTGAGCTAAGCTAGTTCGCGTTCAGCTGCAGCAATACCGAGTGTGTATATGGGAAAGTGATGACGATGGCAGAAAGAGAATCCACACGTTTCAGAAATTGCCCCGAGCTTCTAGTAAATTCGGTGGACTCCGGTGGACCTATCGGGTCGGGTTAACTTTATCCACCAAGTTCCCGAGCCTTCTCGGATACGTTTCTTTTCTCCCTACGATGAACCCTGCCATGAACATGTCAGGATCAAATCCGGGACCTGATACTCTCCCGACCCCACCCCCAAATCACCAGCCATGATGAATAGTATGGAACCTAGTGTTAGTATTGGATAGGCGCATTTTCCCTAGGCCTAATTCCTGACCCGACAACGATGAGAACACCTTCAATCTCAAAGGTGAACAAAATACTCCCGACACTGAAAACTGTCCGTAACTTGCAACGTGCAGTCCGTTTTCCATTTCTGGGAAATGGAAATTTTTATGATACCTGACAAACTTGAACTAACTCAGCGATGATAGTAATGACGACGGTGCTACTACAACAAACACGATAAGGCCTACATAATTAATGGTTAAAATGATATTGATCCGCATGGTGAAGAGACCATATAATAACTTCTCCAATGGCAACACACACGTCCCTCCGGCCTTATAATTTCATCAAACACCTGTGAACAACAATCAAGACTTCATAAAATATTCAACAGCCAGGTGTCTGATCGTGCTTTGCTCTTCAGTAAGAACCCCATCTCAGAATTCCAATTCAACTGAGATTAACGCTGCTATTTATTTAAGAATACAAGTCTTCCCAATAACTGTGGACAGCGAGCATTCAGGACCGCCGCTGCCACTGCCACAAAGTCCAAACTAAACAATAAGCAGAGGACCTCGTAAACTCATAAGACACACAGAAAAAAAGGACTATAATATCAGCAGTTCCTGGCTTTCCTCAAAAATCCGACTGGGCATCTACTCTAGGATGACACGGATCAGCTGCACCAGCATATTCTACATTGGCGGACGACCAGATCCAAGCAACTGGCCTATTAGACTATTCACCTGCGATAAGTTTTTAAGAGAAAGAAAAGAAGACTTAAAAATTATCCCAACGAACAAATGTCCTGCTAATGCAATCATATAGCTACACAGGAAGATACACCTCAAGATTACCAAAGAAAACTATAAAGTACGGTAAGTTCTCGGAATTCGCTGCTTTTTACCAGTTGAGGAAATTGATAATTCCAAGAGTAAGAACTAGTTAGTTAAAAAATGAAGAATGCTTTGTCTGACAGCTTTTCCGTAATAGAATGAAAACTGGAACAGCTAATTTGCCTACTAGCTGACCCCATCAACACAAACTTGAAGAACTATTTTTGTGTTGGACAAAAGACCAACAATGCATATTCATGTGTACTCATGAAGAAAACCTCCTTTCATTACATAATACAGCCTAAAATTTTCCAGTGTGCAAATACATTAGTAATAACAATGATCAACATAGCACAACTACCCAAATTAGATATGACAGCAGAAACATTGACTGTAAATGTTCTTTTTCATAAGTAATGACTCTAATCAAGTGAAGAAAAAAAAGATGGACCAAAAGAGCTCCCCATGAAAAAGATAAATTGTTTAAACTTCTGAAAAACGAAAACATCAATATAACTGGGAATTCCAAGCACAAAGATAAGAACAGTTGCAGCAGCTGTTTAGAAAGCATATCACAAAGTTAAAATTATGTTCATGACGTAATCACTGAGCTCAGTGAGAAAAAATATATCACTCCAAGCCTTACCTGCCAATACTTTGAAACACATCGATCAATGCAACTATTTTCACCCATATTTAGCTCCGATTCTTTATACCTGAGAAAGTAAGGAATAACATTAAGAAAAGCGCATGATCAATTAAAATCTCTTACAATGTCTCAAGAGTAATTGATAAATGCACCAATATGCAGCTCATTATCATAAAGGTCAGCTAGAACGTTCTTCTTCCACAGCCAAAAGTATAAGGAAAGCTTAGTGCTAAAAGTACAGGAACATAAGACTTCACTTACTTTTTCTCGACGCACTTGTTAAAACATGTGTTCGTAAGCCTGCACCAAGGAACGAAAGAATTGATGATGTGATAACAGGGAAAGTGGCCGCTAGAAACAGAAAGTACTCCATTATTTCTATGATTGAATAACTAAGAACACTGCAGTCCCATTCAATGACACTCCGCATGATCAGACTGCTCGGCAAAGAAAAGTATCACAAAAACTTCCCAACAAATTATGATGAATAAGAGAGCTAAGCTTGGAAGAAGCCAGACACAAGCATTGTAACGCTCCTTTCTCTGTTCTCACTAAGAAAAGAGGGTTCCAAGGATTAGATCCCCAGGTTGTCCCAAATATTAGTCATTTTCTGTTAAAAACATCCCCTAAGATTGATGGGAACGAACAAGAGAAAAATTAAGAATAACTATCCATAAATTGGCTTTTAGATCAGAGGTTTTATGAAAATTCATTCCACTAGGATCACTTTTCAGAAATCTTAAAAAAGTTCCTCAATGCCATTATCGTCAAGGATGCTTGAGTAAAAATCGCGTCCCATGCCACTCTTAACCTCACCACCAGGATCATGAACAACATGATATGAGCAAAGAGTGACATTGAACTGCAAGTTAAAAACAGCCTATTATTGATGGTCCATAAGCTATAAAAGCACATTCATCCTTGACTCGTCTTCCCCAGAAAGGAAGGCACTAGTCACAACGCATTGGTACAGGAATTGAAGGCATACTCTTTAAGCCCGAGATGAAAAACAGGAGCGCATATATAAAATAAACTACAAGAAAGGACACTGGCTACACCAATAATCTGGTTCACATCGATGATCCATGAGCTACTCCATACCGACAAAGAAAAGATTATTGCTTTGGTGAAATAAGCAATGGGAGATACAGACAAGAGGACCCACTTGTTAAAAAGTTCCACCCGGTATTCCATCTCCTTCTCTGCCATGCCAAAAATCTGCCGGAGCAAAGACTCATAAGTGCAATGCACAATTTCAACGAGAACAACAAGCTGAAAAAATTGCTTAAGTCCACTGAACATAACAAGGGCATCAAATCACTTTCCCCAAAAAAAACCCAACCATCCAAGAAAACACAGCTAATCACCTGTTCCTTGTCCAGACCAGTCGGAACGTTATTAGCGGCCGCCATGACAACCTGAAAAGCAACAAAATGACCAAAATCAAACCAATTCAACAGCAACTGACGATCAAGAAGGCAAAGAAAGGAGGAGGACGAATGAAGGAAAGATGCGTAGAAGAGATTGACGAAAGAACACGACAAGCATTTGCAATCCTACGAAATCCAGTAACTGCAGGGAGGTTCGCTAGCTCTAGAATCCGTCTCGCAAGTTCCTGTGCTAGATGAAAATGCACGTGACGAGAGAGAGAGAGAGAGAGAGAGAGAGAGAGAGAGTGTACCTGGCCGTGAGCGAGAGGTTTTGGCTGGTCGCCGGTGAAGAAGACGATGCGGAGTCGGCGTGCTCGAGCGTGCGCTCGGGTGAAGCGGAGGAGACGGTGGCGATGGAGATCGACTTCGATTGAAGCAGGAGCAAGGTTGTATTTCGAAGTCACCTGCAAAACCCTAGGGACCGAAGGAGCAGTTTAGCATTAGCCTGCCCCTGTCTTCCCCGCACTTACGTGGCTGCGGGAAAAATTGAAAAATAAAAAAAAAGAATTTCCCCATGTTGATTCACGTATTTTTTTCCTTTTATTTTTTGCCCTCTTTCTTTTCCAATTTTTTGGAACTTTTTGTTATATAAATTAAAATACACCATCCAACTCGAGAACTTCAAAAAATGCACTTATATACCCACCACACACACGTACAGTTGCGCAAAGTTTTACAATACTCATTTTTTTGGGGTCGAATTTTACGATACTCTTATGGAGTTTCAATAATTTGAAATTTTGATGAGTAAAAATGAGACTGAAAATTGCTCTTGACCTTTTTTATTTCAAGGCATACGCATGAAATTTCATGCGGCGGTATTATTTAAAGAAAAATCGTACGATTTTTTTGAGAATTCTGATTGAGATATAGCTAATAATGCCAAAGTTTATCTTCGTAACAAAATAAAACAATGCAACAGGCATCGTAATCAAACGATGCTATTAACACTTTAACACCACTCTAATTCCCATGTCTAAGGTGCGATTTCATTATGTAAAGGGAAATTATATGTAGTCATAATAATCTAACGAAATCTCACATTCATAATCGTAAGATATGAGATAACACTTTAATAGGTGTAGCACATAAACTCAAATTTTTACAATGGATCAATATCTTGGTTCACGAAATTTAAAACTTTAACCGACGATGCCACTCAAGTACTTACTCATTCCATTTTCCTCCAACTTCTCTGATTAGGCCCAAACCCAATTGGGCACTCTTTTTTAGAAAACAAAATACAAATAGCGAATATTGTGCATGTTAGCATCAAAATACACCTTGAGTTAGCATCAATGGTGGAGTGGCAGTTTTCACAGCAATTACAGGGTGGCAACCATTGAGGAGTTATAGAGAAATATGAGTATATATTATCAGGATGATGATGGGGGCTTGAGATTAAGATGTATGTTTTGTGGTCAATGTCTTCGTTGATTCCTAGTTTTTTTAATTATTTCACAAATTAATATCTGAACTTTAGTTTTGTTCAAGAATCATTAATGGTATAATGATCATGTCACTGCTTTGGCAAAATCTGTATTTGCCAAATACCTTACAATGTTCTTCCTTCATTTGCCAGAATAGCACAGTACCATACAAGTTTTAGGTGACATAGCACCTTACAATTCTCATATCTATTAGGCAATTAGACAGATACAACCGCAAACACAGACATATGTAAGTATGACCCCCTAGTAATACATGGGAGCTTCAGCAGGGGCATATCCAATCTCATAGTAGTGTTCACCAGCAGAGAGACTCCCCATAGGCGCGGCGCCCATGGGACCGGATGCTGCGCCGTTGCTTCGAAACTCTCTCATCGCCCGCTTCGGGTTGCTCCGTTGCACATCACAGAGATCCGACAAATAGACACCTGTTAAAGATCGATGGCAGAGTCAGTGATAGCGAAGATTTGAGGAGGACAATGTTGCTTCAAAGCAGATGGCACGGATTGATTCGCGGTCGGGAATTACCTTCTCCGAGGGCCAAGTTGAAGTAAAGATCAACAATGTTGGGGCAGTTGTGGTAACATGCCGGTGAGCAGAGCTTGGCAGTGAAGTGAGGCTGAAGGAGAGCATCTGAAGATATGCCAACGGACTGCCTATCCACTCCACAGGCACGGATGCAATCATCGGTCTCGATCCACTCTTGCATGATATCCACAGCCACCTGAGAGGTCTTGCATTCGTATTCCGTCTTCCTATCCATCGGGCTCACGTAGTTCTCCAGGACACACCGCCTTCCATTAGACGCGATAGAGAACGAGCAGAGATGTGTAGGCAACTGCTCGCATACAATGTCACCTGACAACGGAAAACACAAGTTAAAAGAGACGGGTCAATCGAGAAATCAAATAGCTTGTCACAGTTGCGCTGCGGCGAAGAACAACCATGGGTTATACCCAGAGCTCCTTGGAGGAAGAGCGAGAAGGCGAGGAAGAGGATCAAGGCCATTTTGGGAGAAGAAGAGGAAGCCTGTTTCTCAGACAACGTTGCTACGAACCAAAGCACAATTGAGAGATCTCGGTGTCCTGCTTGTTGTGCTTTGGTTTGTAGCAACTTCTCTTTTGCTGGTGATGAATCTCTCTGGAGGATGCTAGTTTATATAGCACGAGGTGTTGAGGACCCTGTTGTAACGAAGAACCTTCGGTATGAATATAAAAGTGCAAGCTAGCGAAGGGCTTCTCGTTTCTGTACCGTAATTCGATGACCCTCCATGAGACAACCATAGGGGAAGTCTAGTTTAGTGGTAACGAAATCAACAAATTTTGGATCGTTTCGGCCTCTCCAATGTGCCACATGGAAGCTTCTCAAGAGATTGGATTGAAAAAAGATGGTGCCGGAGCCTTCAAGCATCTCAGAACCATTTTGACGTTTAGCCTAGGACTTATGTTTTGGCAGCCCCCCCGTCTAGCTGCGATCCTTTCAAAGCGAGACTTTCGCTATCAAGTGGCATGATCACTATGTGCGGCTCCTCGTACATTGTGAAACAGCACATAAAGACTGCAAGATTCGCAAAACTTACCATCTTGTAAAACAAATTCATATACGTCCGGAGACATTCTTGATCTCGAGTCTCGACTTTCATGATCTATGTACGCACATCGACATAGCCATCTATGCATGCTAAACATAGATTAGCTCCTACATTGTGAAACAGCACAAAAAGACTGCAGGATTCACGAAACTTACCATCTTGTAAACAAATTCATATACATTCGGGGGCATTCTTGTACTCGAGGCTCGACTTTTGTGATGTATGCACAATCGACATAAAGACTGCACAAGATTCGCAAAACTTACCATCTTGTAAACAAATTCATATACGTTCGGAGACATTCTTGATCTCGAGTCCATTCTTGATCTCAAGTCTCGACTTTCATGATCTATGCACATCGACATACCCCATCTATGCATGCTAATCATAGATTAGCTCATACATTGTGAAACAGTACAAAAAGACTGCAGGATTCACGAAACTTACCATCTTGTAAACAAATTCATATACATTCGGAGACATTCTTGTACTCGAGGCTTGACTTTTGTGATCTATGCACAATCGACATACCCCATCTATATATATATGCATGCTAATCATAGATTAGCACCTATCGGCCAACACGACAGGAATTCAAAGGTTGATGAGCGACCCACTGAAACTACTCACATTACGGCGTTCACAACTTCACCGTAATTCAGCAAGCAAAGGATCGAGAACTTGCTAGGGAATCAAGAAAATGAAAATTGCCACAAAATCTAGTCTTACTGAATGCAATATCAGTTTATAAAAGATAATAGGAATTTGAAGGATCTTGTCTAAACATATAGCAGTAAAACTGCAGGTTACAGAAAAATCTAAAATATTGTCCTTAATTTTCCCCCCCCTCATCAACCAACTTCACATCCTACAAACCAGCAACTGGAAGTTGAGGTTAGAAAGAATGGCTGCTAGATCATGATAGCAACTTCTCCATCTGAATTCAACAACCAATCAGATGTCCCTCACTACATATCCTCCTCCTCCTGATAATCACCCTCCTCTTCCTCGTACTCCTCATCATCGGCAGTCGCATCCTGATACTGCTGGTATTCCGAGACCAAGTCGTTCATGTTGCTCTCAGCCTCAGTAAACTCCATCTCATCCATCCCTTCCCCAGTATACCAATGCAGGAAAGCCTTCCTCCTGAACATGGCAGTGAATTGCTCACTCACCCTCCTGAACATTTCCTGAATTGAAGTCGAGTTACCGATGAATGTTGACGCCATCTTGAGGCCAGTGGGCGGAATGTCACATACAGTCGACTTCACGTTGTTGGGGATCCACTCAACAAAGTAGGAAGAGTTCTTATTCTGCACATTGAGCATCTGCTCATCCACTTCCTTGGTGCTCATCTTCCCACGGAACATGGCAGATGCGGTGAGATAACGCCCGTGACGCGGGTCCGCTGCGCACATCATGTTCTTGGCATCCCACATTTGTTGAGTTAGTTCGGGGACCGTGAGGGCACTGTACTGCTGCGACCCACGAGAGGTAAGCGGAGCAAACCCCACCATGAAGAAGTGAAGACGAGGAAAGGGTATGAGGTTCACGGCAAGTTTCCTTAGGTCAGAGTTGAGTTGCCCCGGAAACCTCAAGCAGCAGGTAACTCCGGACATTGTTGCAGATATCAAGTGATTCAAATCTCCAACTGCAACAACCGAACAGACATGATTTGCTCAGTTCACAAGTAAGCCCAAACGCAGGACAAGAATACACCTGCCCCAAGTATTTCTTCAGCAATCACAGCCAGTAGATCTCCCAAAATATATTCTACCATCTAATCAATTTGGATCCATCACATAAACATTATACTCAACTATCCACTAACAGATTTTTTTGCGTTCTTATTATCTAAAAAGAACGATCTATTTTAAACAGAACTACACACCAACAAACACATCATAATGTTAAAAGAGAAGGAAAAGAGGGAACTCACAGCTAGGAGTGGTGAGCTTGAGCGTTCGGAAGCAAATGTCGTACAAGGCCTCGTTATCGAGAACCATACACTCATCGGCATTCTCGACGAGCTGGTGCACGGAGAGCGTGGCGTTGTAGGGTTCCACAACGGTATCAGACACCTTGGGAGACGGGAAGACGGAGAAAGTGAGCATCATCCTATCGGGATACTCTTCCCTGATCTTCGAGATCAACAGCGTCCCCATCCCCGAACCAGTACCTCCGCCCAACGAATGGCACACCTGAAACCCTGCCCTCGAAATTCACAAGCGGAAAAATCAGTTCCAAAGCGCGAAACCAAAAACCCTAATCGCAAGCAGAAAAAATATATAAAAAATTAGAAAACCATCATAAATCGAGACCGGAGGAGAAGAGAGAACGCGTCTCGTACCCTGCAGGCAGTCGCAGTTCTCCGCCTCCTTCCGGACCACGTCGAGGACCGAGTCGATCAGCTCGGCGCCCTCCGTGTAGTGGCCCTTCGCCCAGTTGTTGCCGGCGCCGGACTGACCGAAGACGAAGTTGTCGGGGCGGAAGATCTGGCCGTAGGGGCCGGAGCGGAGGCTGTCCATGGTGCCGGGCTCGAGGTCCATGAGGACGGCGCGGGGGACGAAGCGACCGCAGCTGGCCTCGTTGTAGTACACGTTGACCCGCTCCAGCTGGAGCTCGGAGTCGCCGTGGTAGCGACCGGTGGCATCGATGCCGTGCTCGGCGCAGACGACCTCCCAGAACTTGGCGCCGATCTGGTTGCCGCACTGGCCCCCCTGGATGTGCAGGATCTCACGCATCTTCGCCTTCTCGAACGATCGAAGGGGGAAAAGGGAGGGAGGATTCGAAAGGCGAGATGAGATCTAGAGAGAGAGAGAGAGAGAGAAATGGAGGAGAGGAATAATGGAGGATGGTGAGGTTTGTCCGTATTTATATGGAGAGAGAGAGAGAGAAATTAGGGCTTCGAAATTCAAACGGTTGAGAGAGATTTTTTTTTGTTTTTCTTCTTTTAAAAAAATTTGTTGGAGAAACGAGTGGGGGAGAATCGATGGGCCAGGTGGCCGCCACTTCGAGGGCCCCTCAACGGATAGAAATCCAACGGTTGACACGAGAGTCGTGCGCTGTGTACGCCCGCCTTTTTGAAAATTCAAATTTGAAGCTTTGGGCGGGAGAAACGGTGGAACGGCTCGGTCTCGTCTCCCGAAGGGGGCGCCCTCGTAATTTCACTTCGACATTTTTTTGAGGCAAAATGAAGAGAGAGAGAGAGAGAGAGGAGATTGCGATGTCTAGCCGTTTATTTTCATTTTTAAATTCGATTTTGCTCTCATTTCTACCGTTGAAAAAAATAAATTTTCAAAGCCTTGTGCTGTCCAAGTGAGCAATTTCATGAAGGGTGCTCAAAGAAGGTTTTAAGATTAGGGTACAATCAGAATCGAAGGGGATTGAAGATATATATGAAGGGCATTTGAAGATCCGAGTTCACAATCTCTTTCGGAAAGGACCTGCCGTGTTGTAAAAGTCACTATGCGGACAAGAAGATGCACCAAGTTATGATGAACGAGGTACAGGAAAAAGGAGAAAGTGATAGGCCACATATTTCAAAAGGTCCCATATAAAAAGTGAAAAAGCTAATTTTTTTCAAAAAGTATTGAATGAATAAAGACAAATTCGATAATAAATGTTCATCATTTAAGGGTCGGATACGAAACGCTTAAAGCCATACATACTTCCATGTCTACAGTGCCTTTGATCTTACTGGGTTCGTGTAAAATTAACCCCATGGGCTAAATTTCCAGAGAAATACACCCAGCCTTCTGAAATTCTCTCCTCTCCCTTGCACTGAAATTGCCATCCAGCACTTTCAAAACGTTCATTTTGAACATCTAAACATGCAGAATGGTTTCCACACAAATTAACCCAGCAGGAAGAAACCTACTTTGATCCCGCATCCCCGTCAACTTAAATGATCGGGACCGACGCCTGCCTTATCAACATCAACAAATCAAAACACCGAATGGTACAAAAAGCATTGAGCACTTCACACTGGTATCGAACTCGAAGCATTCGACATTTTAATATTCCTTGGCATGTCCAGTCTATCATGCTCATAGGGCTCAACAATGGAACGATTTAACAGTGAAATTAACACTATTCCCAACAGTGAAAGTAACACTATTCCCTTAATTCACATTCTTTCTTCCTTGTCCTCCTTTCCTTCATCGCGCTGTCGGTGCTCATCATCTTCTTTTCCTTGCTCCCACCTTGGCAGTGGAGACTGGCTTTGGGTCACGCGCAGATCGCCACAGGATGGAAACCTCAGAACATCTCAAGCTCAATAGAAAGGGTAAAGACAGAATCTATTTCACAACATGACACCCAAAGTAATGAAAAGGACAATCAACAAAAGAAAAAGAGAATTAATGCAAAACCGAAAAGGGGATCATTATCCAAGAGTGAAAAACCAACCTAACAGACAGTAAAGGGTGTAAAAAGCTTTCGCTCAACATCGAAATTTTAGAAGCATTCCTTGAAAAAGTAGAAAACCTTTACGATCGCATCAGCTAGGGAAAACAGAAGAGAGCATAATGTTCACGTTAAATAAGCTACCTACAAAGGAAATTCAGGCGTCTCTTTTAGCATGGGTCAGGATAATTGAGAAATGCAAGCAATGTAAAGACGTCAGATCCTTTGGTGTGAATTTTCTTCGTATTTCGGACTACTTTCCAATCCATCCACGTGAAAGGGCCCAAAACTTCTTGTGAGGAAATACCATCCAAAAGAGGAAGATTCAACCAAAATCAAGACACGATAAGGAAAATCCAAACTTTGCACACTCTGTGCCTTAGCAATGCCTTAGGAAACCGAAAGCAGTATGACTGGCACTCTCCCTCCACAGCCAAATCATTCCTCCATGTCTAATATACATATATACGATGACTAGATGGCTTATCTAAGGCTGTCAAATGGAGATAGATCGAGTCCACTGCATATTAGTGATATCCTTTTATACTCTACAATAATACCGAACCCACAAAAAACTACATTCTGATACCTGCGTTTAAGTCCTCAATTTAGTCCATGATCTTCCTATTCTTGCTCACAAAAATCAAAAAGGGTGGCGGGATTGCTTAAAGTTGAGTCGCACCTCAACTAGAGCCACAGTTTTTCACACAAGGAAATGCTCAGGCAAAAGGATATCAAATAAAAAATCTATACATGCATACCAAGGTCAAATACAAATTGAACTACAGTAAACAAAAGAAAGACCTCAAGATAACAAAGTGGTCCTTGACAAGTTTCCCTCGATAAAAGTCCAATAAGTCCGAAGAACTAATAGGTGCGCCAGACATGTGCCTCCAACTTCCTAGCCGGTTGCATTCTAGCCCCAAAATTTCCTTGATTGTCCCTCAGAATGGACCCAGAATTTCTAAAAGCATTCAGTTCTAATCAAACCAGAAATCACCAGATTGTGTATGGCACCAACTCTTCCAAAGCAAGAAAAATAAGCACTTAACACATGGCTGCAGGTATTGCATCCTCAGCGCAAAACAACAATGCCAATACAAGTAGTAGTTAAAAAGGTAATTAAATTTACTGAGAACGACCATAAAGACATCTGAACAACAAAAACCACGGGAAATAATTTCACATATTTGGCCAAGTCCACTAAAGTTCTAAAGCGTACCACCACTATGATTAAACTATCACATAAAAGTGCGCCCCTAGCTTAATAACAAATCCAACTCTCACCTAATAGCCCTCTAAACTACTAATTGGTAGAATAATCATCAAGATGAAGAAAACTCAGGAGCCCTCCAGTCCAGTACAAAAATGATATGACAACCAAATCTATGAGCTAACATGGTTCTTATCAATCACAAGACACTCTCTTACTGGATGGACTAAGCATGCCATTTGGTGAGCTGTTAGCACTCAGCAAGAAAATTTATTTGTTTATAGCGATATCAAAACACTTAGATGATAAAAAGAAATGGCTAGTGCAAATATAGATTTGATATAAAAAAGAATAATCAGAATGTTCTTGCAAAATTCAGGGGAAACACGAACCTGGTCAAAAACACAAGGAAGAAGCAGAATTTCAAGTCCACAATAGCCCATAGAAAGAAAACCGCCCCATAGCCAATCATATCAAGAAGACACGGACAACTTTGTCAGTAAAAAATTACAAATGACTATACAAAGTATAGTAATTTAAGAGGGTTTCATAATTCACAACTACAAGTCAAGCAGAGCTTTGTGGACACATGATAGTTTTTTTCCAAATGCACCAATCATGAGTAATTAACTCAGCATTGTAAGCATACAATAAAAGTCTCACACATGGCTTCACGAAATCTTGACAATTCTGTTTTTTTAAAGGAATGTTGCTATGTGTCAGTCTCGATATATCAGAAGCTTGCAGCTGCTGATTCGAATAGAAAATTCCAATATAACAGACAAGCAAGTATATACAGTCAAACAGCTTTCAAAGAACTAATCGAATACTTCTGTGAGATATCGGAGCAGTTTACGAATCTTAGAAATTAATTGACATTACTTTTTTAAGATAACAAACATGCTGCATAATTCATGCGTCTATTTCTAATGGATACTGATCAAATGGGGGTTTAGCCGTAGGTCCAACTCAGGTTTGCAAAGCACAATATACTTTTCTTCATCAAACTAAAACAGTATAACTTGGTATGAGCATAAATTCTATAAGTCAACATAGAGAGCTCATCCATTTTCAGAAAAGACATAATTGATGTCAATCGATTTCCTTTTCACTTGTCAAACAAGTTGAATACTTTTATAACATATCTCACAGCAGTTTGTAGACCTTAAGAAAGATGTAAGTTTTTCCACTTACCATAAAAAAGGATGTCATTGCCATGCCTCATTATGCATAATTCTATTTGTAGCACATGAATCAAATGGAGGTTTATTTATAAAGCATCAGGCGTAGCATCATGCATAGGTATAAAAAATTTTTGCATCATTGACATTCATGACGTCGAATTCCCACTCTCACATTGTAATTATCATATATCTCATTTGCCTATAGCCTTAAAACCACATAAACATTTGTTTTAGTAGTTTTGCAGGATGAATGTTATGAACTTACTTTCTTTAAGAGCTTATAGCTTATAATGTTTTGTTAGACTTATAAGATATTAATATCATCACATTTATTAGATTCAACACAAGTGCTCGCAACAGATTCTTTGTTAAGTAAGTATTCTTCTGAAACAAATTCGATTGCTGTTCCAATTATTCATAATTGATAATTCAATATTCTACTTAGACTTAGAGCGACATGTATAGACTTCGATTTTTCCTATAAACCATAGGATAGGAAGATCCATAGTAGGATCATTCTACAATTATTTAACAGCTTATTTGGCTTAATGTATATTGTAACAGTGGAAGGAACTCGTTACATTTGTCCAAGATCCTAATTTGAGCTATGGTTTTGCTTTTCATTGTTTCTGGTAACGCTTAGTCATGTAGGAAATCCCTGAATTCTCCGTTATCCCAGATCACATATATCATATAAGAAATAAGAAAAAGGTTCGAGTCACTCATTTATTGCACTGCTCACATAGCAAAATTTGACTGTGTAAACTCTCCAATCCACATATCCAACCTCATTTCACACTTAGTTGGATCATTAATTAAACTGCTCAAATAGCAAAATCATATGTGTCCAATCCATAGCTATGTTACTTCACACTAATTGCACAGCCACGACATTCAAATTTGCCAACCATTATTAACATAAATACATACCATAAATAAGGTGAATGTGACACCTACCACTTGTTGTTTCTCTCCTTTAACAATTGAAGATGCATAGTAATTATTTTATCATACTAACAATTGATTGTTTTTTGTAACGCTTAGTCATGTAGGAAACACTGGAATTCTCCCGTAATCCAGATCACAAACATCATATAAGGGATGTGATGAAGGTTCAAGTCACTCGATTAATGCACTGCTGAGTGCTGACATGGCAAAATCCGACTGCGTAAACTCTCCAATCCTATCTAACCCCATTTCATAATTAGTTGGATCATTAATTAAACTGCTCCAATAGCAAAATCACTATATGTGTCCAATCCATAGCTATGTTACTTCACACTAATTGCACAGCCACGACATTCAGCTTGCCCACCATTGTTAACATACATACATACCATAAATAAGGTGAATGTGACAACAACTACTTGTCGTTTCTTTCCTTTAACAATTGAAAATGCATAGTCATTATCATATTAACTAATTATTTTCTTTCCCTTCTCTATTTCCCACCTATCAAATCCAACTCAACCAAGAGAACGAACTACTTTTGCTACATCAGCCCATGTATTCTAACCATGAAAACTGTCTAACAAATGGGAAGAATTTATGATCTTAACTACATCACTATATCAGTGATTCCCCATCTTTGCCACATCTCCAAAAACTTCTTTATGTGCATCCACGAAGAACCAATTCAAAATGAACCACTATTTATTTACTACTCTCACCTTAAAATCCATGTAAGATTTTACAACTTAAAGGTGCAGATGATCCACTATTTACTTTGAAAGCCAGTCCACTAGTCCATTTTCGGTGCAGAAGCTAATTAAGATGATTTGAGAAACTAGTTTAATCACATATTTTAACCTTTAACAGTTATTAATCACCCAACAAGAAATAGGAACTTTTCCAGCACATTCACTTAAATACTGTAACACTTGTACAATATTAAATCTAGTAAGGTTGACCTGAAGGATGGATCAAGGTGGGAAGACATATCATGACCATTAAAAAGATGTATGAAAGAAAGCCATGGGTTAGATGAACATGGATATAAAAATGGAATGACCAGGCCAATCGGGCCAATGATCAGCAACAACCATTCCAAATTTCCTAATTCCATATAGTATTGTCGCCCCTCGAGGCTTCATCTTTGCCATCCTCCAACTTCTATTCAAAAAAGTTCAACTATTCCACCACACAGTGTAAAATGCAATTTGTTAGTCAATATGGTAATTCCATATATCAAGCTCTTCCTCACTTCTCTTTTCTATCACATTTTCCCTTCATTTTTTTTTTCTCCCTCTTACCTTACCGTTATTTTTTCCACATTCGGATTCTATGCATTACCCTCAAAGTATGACTTTTGCAAGCTAAGAAGCATATACCAATCTCCTCTATATTATCTCCATTATAAGGGATAATGACACAAACAGTCCCTGAACTTTGGCCCTATAGGCAATGTGGTCCCTGAACTATTAATTTGTTCAATGTCATCCCTGAATTTTTGGTACATGTTCAATTTAGTCCCTGAGTTATATGAAAATGCTTAATATAGTCCTTCCATTAATTGAATTCAAGTTCAGGGACTACATTGAATATTTTAATATAGTTCAGGGACTACATTGATCATATACCAAAAGTCTAGGGACCACATTGAACAAATTAAAAGCTCATGGACCACATTGAACATTAGGCTAAAGTTCAAAGACTACATTGAACAAACAAAAAATTCAGGGACCACATTGCACATTGGGACAAAGTTCAGGGACTGTTTGTGTCATTTTCCCCCATTATAAATGTGTTTCCAAACATCTTACGTAACTTTATGAATACTATCAATGAATGAATTTTGCAAGATAAAGAACATACCAATCTGAGTTAATATTCAAATAGTATTTCCAAAATTCTTTACCTTTTGTATCATCCCTGTTATAAATGTATTTCCAAACATCTTACGTAACTTTACGAATACTAAGTAAAGCCAATTAGGCAAGCCATAACTACAAACAAACAACTGCCAAACATAGGCCTAGTGTTCGTTTGCCAACCATTTGGGACATTTATATGTTCTCATATCTACGATCTTGTTAATTTATTGGGACGTGACAATATGCCAATCGCAATATAACAAAAGAATTTTACTACACAATTGTTACTAGGAAATGATAGGAGATGACAATAGCATCTGATCAGGTGATTTAAGAACCATTTATCATCTTCCATTACACGATTACTTCTATAGATTAAAATAATAATGCTTATTGACGATACATCAATAAATTTTTTGAACTCGGAAATACACAATCTTCAATATTGAATTTCATGGTTGGATCAATCTTACACAAGCCATACTAGGACAAGTGAAAAAATTCTGAAAGTGAGAAAGCCAATGACAATATTACCAAAACAAGACCTACTCATGAATATTGAAAGATTTTACTTCTGAAAAAATCTACGTCAATATCGATCTTACCACATCAAAATATGTGCAGTAAACCTTTCCACAAAGTTTCGGCCTTTCTTTGTCAGCTTCTCCGAAAAAACACAGGTCGAATTGAAAAGATCTATTATAAGAAGGAATTTCACCAGAAACCCAAAAAAAAAAAATCAAACCTAAGAATCATCCTCGAGAAAACTTAGTATGATTGCATGATGCAACAGGAGCAGATCCAGTAGATAATCTAAAACGTTGTCATGCAGTTTTTTGTTTTGGCAGTAAGAAAGCTAGCTAGTTGACTTGTAGAGTAGATACGGTTCTCCAAAGGAATATAACAACATGAATCTGAACACCTCCAAGGTAACAAAACCTACCTCTCCATCAGCCCACAACATTTTAAAATTCTGCTACCCTCTCTCTCTCTCTCTCTCTCTCTCTCTCTCTCTCTCTCTCTCTCTCTCTCTCTCTCTCTCTCTCTCTCTCTCTCTCTCTCTCATGTATCTATGAGATATGCCTAACATGTATACAATTATTTTCATCAGGTCCAAACTATAGAGCGTATCTGGGAAAATCATGGACCACTGTTGCTGAGCCAACTGAAAATTTTTTCCCAAATACCGGTCGCTATTACATGACTACCATCCTATCCTTTCTCATGCAAGTAGGCACAGAACTTAGTAGCATTTAATGATGCCTTAAAGCGAATCTTGCATTATAATATGTCGACTAGCACTCTAGCTCGTACCTATGTAATTCAAATAATTAACTACTTGAAGTTGCATGCAATAGGGCGTAACTATTTTCTGGCTTTTTGCCTTTCAAATGGATAAAATACGTAGGCACCTTGAAGTCTCGATCTCATAGTAATAGTTCTAAAAGGGATTTTCTTTAAAGTACCCCTAATGCCATTGGCTACACCCAGCGAAAAATTGCATTCCTCCCAGAAGAGTCATCAGTAAAGACACGGCAAAGACACAATGAAACTTCTCAAAATTAGGCTAATATTCCATATTTGGGAGGGCCTCCCAACGATAAAACCTAGAGAGGATTCTTGTTTTACTTGCCCAACCACAATATTTTCTTTTCTCCACAGAAAACATGCATAAACATCAAAACCTGAGAGAAATGTCTCCATAATATCTCGAGAAAAATATAATTTCTTGGAGAAGTCAATAATGTATTTTGCATATGGATTTTTCCCGTTTTCAGCTTAAATGACGGAAGCTAACAATCCATACGAAAAGCAATTGATGATAGCCATAAAAGAAAAAATAGGAAAGCTACTAAGTTTGGAGTTGGAGCAACACAAGAGTACAGGAAAAACACAATATATAGGTTCAGGATCATAGCTGACAATCTTAGTAAAAGTAACATAAACTGTCCCGAAAGCATAAAAGAGACATGCAAGGTAATACCTAGATTTCTAAGTCATAGATACCAAGAAAAACAGGTCATGGCAATCAACAGTGCAGCGCACAGCCAAATTTAATGCTTGTTCTCTCCATCCTCAAAACCAGCATTTTTCATCTTGCTAGCATCTTCAGCTGAAATTAGTCCCCTGAATTGGCTGCACAGTCAACAAAAAGATCAAATTAAACAAGGAAAAAAAGATCAACAGTCACAATACTAAAACAAATATTTACATGTTCTTTTTTATGCTTGTTTTCTTGACCCTCAATATTGGCATTCTTCAACTTGCTTGAATCGTCGACTGAGGATCGATCACTGGAACTTCTACGAAATCACAAAAAAGGACATGATAAAACTAACAAATCAAAAGGGTTTGAATCAAATAAGAGAAAAGGAAACACCCACGATACTAAAATAAATGTTCACATTTTCTGTTTCTTGGCATTCTGCTGCTTAATGCTTCGAACCATGTCCATAGCTATTTTCTGGTGCTCCCTTGTTTGTGAATGCAGGTCCAGACCTTCAACTGTTTCACAATCCACTTTACAAATCCGACACCAGCCCATACTTGCTGCCTTTCTCTTTCTTGAGTTTTCAAAAGACTCCAAGTCACCCTTCATACAAAATATCAACAAGGAAATTACGAACAATTGGTCCTCAGGGATAGAAAGAATATACCACATGTTAACCAAAAAAAGAGAATGATCGAAGAAGGAATAATTCATGAAAATATGCATTTAAACATCAGCGCTACTCAACTGTATACTTTCCATCATTAGGGTGTCCTTGGAGGGGAAAGCTGCTTCTGAATCCAGTCTCACCAAATCTTGGATGACCAAACCTGCTGCCTCGAATTGACTCAAGCCCAACTGGTTCTCCTACACGAGTATGGCTGTGGAAGGTGCCCAAACCACCAGGCTCACCCATCCGCATTTGCATAGGCAGGTCATGAGAGCCAAAAGTATCGCCTTTGCGTATAAAATCATCACCACCCAGACCGCCATTCCTCAAATGCTCGCCCATCCTTAGATTCCTTGTGTCCTCAAACTGACTCTTATGAAACTGGTTTGGCAAAGCTGGAAACCTACCTTCCGGGAATGAACTGCCAGCACCATATAAACGTGGCTCCCTTCTACCATTGTCATCAGGAGGATTTCGTTGGACACCTGGAAGGCCTTCAAATCCACGTGAAGGGATGCCAGAATATTCTCCACCGGGGCTTCGATGGGTCAAACCATCCTTATGACGTTGACTGTAACTTGGCAGTGATTCATAAACTTCACGACCAAAAGAAGAACCTAATCTCCCAGGGTTATCTTCAGGATGACCTAATGCTCTTTCACCAAGTACACCAGTACGATCATATGATTGGAAGTTCCTTGATGAGGCAGCTGCATACTTCGGTGCATTGTCAGGATTAAATCCATGAAATTCTTTGTCAAGAGGATCTTTATTAAAAGGACTTCCAGAGGAAAAGCGCCCCCCATATTTTTGCACAGCCTCAGCATCCGGATGATATGGTCCACGAAATCCCCTAGTATCTTCTTCAAAAGGTCCACGGTCAAAACCACGACGAGATGGATCCATAGATGGGGGATTGAACCGTTCATCAGGCAAGGACTTCAATGCAGAGTCAAATCCAGAAGGATGGCCCATTCTCGACAAGTTTGATTGGATTTCTGAAGGATGTCCAAATACACGTTCCATGTTCCTCGGAAGATTACTGTCAGTTTGTCTACCATCCATGAAGACAGGCCTCTGGTTTGGATAGTTTTCAGCCTCAAGTAAATTGTTAGGTTGCTTATGAGCTATTCCACCTGCAGGTCCAAAGCCAGGAGGGCCTTGATTATAAATACCTTGTGGAAGAACTGACTGGGCGCCAAATTGCCCTTGACCTCTTCCAAAGGATGCTATAGGGCCTTGACCAGGCGGTAAATTACCAAAGCTGGGAGGGCCATGATGAGATACAGAGTGCCCTGGCATTGGTGGGTGTTGTGGAGGTCCAAGTGGAGGCTGTTGCAACATCGGAGGTGCAGAAGGCCTATGTTGAAAGGATGATCCATGAGGGGGCAGTGGAGCTTGATGCCTACGTTGATCAACAACCTGATTTGGATGAGAAGACTGCAAACTACCGCCAGTCTGAACATTTCCAGGAGGAGGGAAACCTCGAGGACCATCATGCCCATGAGCAAAAGCAGTAACATGAGGCTGAGGCAAGTTTCTGTCTTGCAGACCAGACTGTGGTACAATTTTTCCATCGCTGCCGGAACGTTGTAGCACCAAGTTGGAGTTCTTCTGCAAACCAGTTTCTTGCACCAGAGAATTTCTCCTTGATGAGCTATCCACATTTCCCTTTTCTTCTCGTGCCACATTCTCCCCTGATATGAAGCCAATACCAGAACCGTCTTTCTGATCTCCCACAAAAATCGCACCTTTTCCATGGGAAGGCTCCATCATATTTTCTGTGGTTTCTCCCTTCACCTTCCGCTTTACAGAATGCTCTGCATCATTTGATGCTGGCGCTTCAGATAGAATCTCATGAGTGGATGTATCTGCATAGTTAGACTCACCAGGTTCCCCTATAGCCTTGTGATCATTATCCAGATGCTTTGCCTCAGTTTCAGATCTCACCATCTTCATCTCACTAGAATCAGTTCCAGAAGATGACACTACATCCTTTTTACCACCCGTCCGAGGCAGTAGATCAGGTCGCTGCTCGCTCACACTTGCCCCAGGCTGTTGCTCCAAAGAGAATTGCACTTGATTATGGGTACTAACCAAGTTATTGTGGTTGAAACCAGCCTGTGTTGACTTAACCTGGTCTGGAACACCCGACTGAGGATAGAATTGTGATGGGATCCCCTGATTTGGAAAGGTTGGCCTCCCAACACTCTGCTGTGGCTGCGGATGGGTTGGGAACTGTGGTTGAAATGAATGAAGAGGACCATGAGGGCGCAAGTGCGACTGCACCTGCTGCTGCTGAACAAAAGTACCTTGATGTGCGGATCCAGGTTGTCCTCCAGAAGAAGGCTGCTGAGTTGGATATTGTTGAGGCATCAGCGGTTGAAACGGTGGGATGACTGCTCGCTGTGGGACTGGATGTCCTGGTTGTTGAGTATGGGAGTAAATGCCCTGCTGCTGCTGACCAGGAGGAATGCTCAAGTTTTGAGCAGGTGAAGGCAACAGAGCTGGTTGTTGCTGTTGGTTTGGAGCTGCAACTTGAGGAGCTGGATTCATATGGGGAGAAGGTTGAGGAAACTGACCCTGCATTTGATTAAACTGCTGAGCCTGTTGGTGAGGACGAACATTCATGATGTGCTGCTGGGGAGCTTGTGGTAGAGGCTGAGTTTGTGGATAAGACTGATAACCAGTTACCGCCTGAACCGATGGATGCTGTGTTTGAGACTGCCCCTGAATTACCTGAGGATGGGGGTGAGCCTGGGAAGGAGGTGGAACCAGTGACCCAGGTTGAGTTGGTAAATGCTGTTGAACTTGAGCAACAGGTCTATGTTGAAGCTGGAGCTGGGGAGGCGCCTGAGGTTGAGTCTGTGGATGGGGATACTGTGCCTGCACTTGCGGTTGCTGATGCTGAGGCACCTGCGCATGTGGCTGTGAATGAGATAGAATGGGGTATTGGGGTTGTGGTTGGGATTGGGATTGAGGATACAGCAAAGCCTGAGATGGCTGAACCTGAGCCTGAACTTGTGATTGCAATGGCATGTTTGGTTGAAGTTGCTGCTGCGGATTCTGAGATTGGGCAACTGCAGCAGATTGGGCATGTGGTTGCAGTTGCAGCTGCAGCTGTCCATAGACCTGAGGCTGGACTTGAGTTTGGGCCTGAGGCTGACCCTTGGGCTGTGTATGAGGCTGAGGTAGGGGTTGGGGCTGGGGCTGGACCTGCGGTTGGGGCAGGGCCTGTGGTTGGGATTGGGACTGGGGCTGGGGTGGGGGCTGGGGCTGGGCCGGGGGCTGGGCATACGGCTGGGGTTGCAGGATGGCCGGCTGCTGATATGGATAGTACTGCTGATACTGCTGTTGATATGGATCAAATCCGATATACTGTTGATAATACTGATTATAATGTTGCTGTTGGTGCTGATACCATTGCTCTGGAGTCAGAATAGCAGCCTGATCGACACTTTGGACCTGTTGTGCTGATGTTGCAGGTGTAGCAGTTTGAGAAGTCTGAGCCTCAGAAGCCTGAGAACTTGCGGTCCCAGCCTGATTAGTACTCTGGCCCTGGCCAGCAGTAGTAGTATTTGTACCAGGAGCCTCTTGAGAACCCTCTGCTGGCTGCACTTGAGGATGCACACCCTGCCATCACAATTGATTGGTCATAAACAATTCATGCCTAATTTACAATAACTATCTAAAATTTAAGGATGTCTGGTACTCACAGGGCAACTCTGTGCATGTTCCTGGACTTGACGATGCACAATCTGAATTCCACACCTGTTGCACACAACAGGAGAATTGCCAAAAGCACATCCAGCACAATGAGTGACACACTCAGAAAGTGGACCTTGCCATGTGCATCCACTCCTGTGATAGAGACAATGCACTGGTATTTTGCTGATAGTCTCAGCCAATGCTTTATTTGAATCTATGAGCAGCTGCAACAAATGAAAAACCCTAAAAATCCCAGCTTAAAATATAAAAACAATGGTTGTTAATACAACACCAGGATGCAAACCTTTGAATCTGCCTCAGTAACCAGATAGCCATCATAAGGACAAGCTTTAGTACTGCTGGCGATGTATGCCAGACATGGTTTACAGTACAGGTGAGTACACTGTGACTGCAGAGCTTCATTTGGGTATACAAGCAAACGACAAACAGGGCAGAAGTACTCTCCAGCTAGAGATTGGATGTTCAAAATGCATTCGTTGTCAAACCCCATGTTAACTGAGGTAATCAACCTACAGTCAGATTTTCATAATCTGCCTGAAGGCACAAAATATAAAGGAGCTGTTAATGCAAAAGAATAGGGAAATCCCATGTAATAGCTATTATAAACAGCAAAAAGCTTATTAGGCCACATAAGAACAGTATAACCTCAAATCAAACCAAACTAGAAAACAAAATAGATCGAACTCTTCGAAAGAATTTTGAACAAGAATGCACAGAGTTGGCTACCTAATTTTATGTAGAATGATCTCCCCACCAAATAGACTGATACTCTCTTCTGCCACCTAGCTCAGCTCATTCAAAACTGCATTACCTTTCTCAATCGATCGTTCTCTTTTTAGCAAATTAAGCGGACATAATGTTTACAATGATAAATGAAAATCCAAAGATTCCTTAAGATACTTTCCCTTAAACCAAACGAAAAAGGCATCATCAAGTATGGCAAGTATGGCTGCAAACTCAAGAAAAGAAATGCACTGAGAAAGACATATTCATCCCACCGTCCAGCTGCAAGATCTACACATAAATTAAAATATGAGCCGACAATCAGGATTTCACTGATTCGTGAGTGCAAGATGGACAGTCTTAATACAAAAGGAAAACCAAGAGGGATTGATACATATTGTCTTCTAAAAGGTCGGAAATTGAATTGTGTCGCTAGTTCATCTGGTGATCGGACACGATTAAGCCACTCACAAAGATCATTCCACTTCTTCCGCCAATAAAAGCACATCAACAAAACGCAAATCTTTCCCACCAGTAAAGAAAGTTAAAGTACCTTATAAAGCCAAGTACAATTGTCCTAGACTTCATTTCATCATATTGAAAAGCAAATGCTATCTACCTTATCCAGCAAGATAAATCCTTTCAAGTATAGAAACAATCTTCATAGATGCAAATCTCTTCACAATTATTCTTTGAGAAAAGATAATTCCATTTACATGGATGAATTAAATGCAGAGTTTCCAAATGGCGACATCTTTCAGAACGCATTCCATTCTTTATTCTGATCTGGTGAAAACAATTGGAGATTGATCTGCGTGGTTAATATTGCATGACAAAAACCAGGAACAAAATGCATCTAAAATGAGATATATTCACCAGAAACTTCACTCTGCATGGCAAACTAATCTGGTACTTTCTCGTGGTTTTGTCATGCGAATTACATAGCACATGTACATACAAAAACACATACCCAATTTCATGCTCCACACAGAAATTTACTGCAGAGTGGTCAACACCATCTGAGATTTCACTTGCCTCAATTTTATCTTGGTTTGACAATTGATGTAATATTCCACATCATGTGGTTCTGGAATTAATTCAGGTTTTATTTTCCGTATCTATGTCTCTCAAACATGCGGATGCACCATCCCCTGGTGCTTACTTAATAAAGAGAAACCGTCATAATTATGATGCACACAATCAGAAAACAATTTCTCCGCCTAAGACAGTAAGCCGCAAATTAAATGCAGAACCATTGAAAACTTGGTTTACCCATCACACGTGTTCAAACAGTGACGATCATAGGCACAAGTCACACGTGTAAATTTAAAACGCTATATTACACCCCATGCACGTCAGCTTCAATTCAAAAGGCCGATCCATGCAGTGGATTAGTAAATATTTGCAATCAAACTCATGAGAATGATGATAAAAGCGAAACCTGTTAATACCGAAGAAGCCACTGTGTCAAAGCACTATGCTACCAAGAAAAAATCCAGATTGTTCAACGAATGCAACACCAAACTCCTTCGAAGCACGAGCAAATAAAAGGATGACCTCAAGGGTCACCAACTTACAAATCAGCATGCCACTAGGTGCGTGAAGGGTGAGGTTATGGATTGTGAGTAGTCCCGAAATACCATAAAGATAACAAATCAACGCAAGCACATATGAACAAACGCCTGGCTAAAGGACCACATCCGCCAACCGAACAATAACAAGTTCAAACAATACGTCCAAGGGGAACAAAATAGATCCTTTATCGTGAGAGAGCACTAAACACAAGCTAACTTACAAAACCTAAGTTCAGCAACCATTATGATAAGTCAAAACAGTGCTTGTTTCCACTCTTTTTTCTCGTTCAGTTTTAAAACCCACAGGCATGATGTTAAAACCCACTTCCATTGCCGCTAGTAATCTCTCCAACCAAGTATCAAAGTTCTAAACGATCATGAAAGTTTCCGCCTTTTAGCTGCACACAGTGAATCCGTAAGAAAAAGAAGCTGACAAAGCTTGATTTTCCAGGGAGAAAAGAAAACTATAGCCCGACACGATGCAACAGTTAACGTCGGAACTTCGGAAACAAGGAACCCATCAACGAAAAGCCACATGCAAGAATTCAAATATCTAAACAAGAAGGAAAATTTCCGCCTTCCGCTACTGATCACAAACCCATACCTCGCAAGAAGGAAGCCGTCGAACTCGATTTTCAGACAAAAAACCTTGTAGCCTGACTCGGTGCACCTGCAAAAACCAACAACACGGACCCGATCAATGGAAACCAAAGCAGATAGAGGCCGCAGGGGCTACCCAGATACCAGATAGATCAAACAAAAACGCCTAGGAACCTAGGGTTCGCGTTTCAACAAGAAGAAAGATCCATCATCATCGCAAACCGAAGCCAAAACCGAACAGTAGAGAACCAGAGATCCATACCCTTCCAAGGGGGAAATGATCGAGGCAGGCGGAGGAATCCGAAGCGAAGCAAGAACGCCAGAGAATCGGTGCTTCTCGAGCGAGCTCGAGCGCTGTAAATGCCAGTGAAAAGGGGAACAGATTTCCCCCCGAATTTGCGAGCAAAGTGACAAACGGCGTCTACGCGAGAGAAATGCCCTAGTGCCCAAGCAAGCGACCGGACGTTGAACGCCAGAGGGGGCTTATATACTGATGATGAAGAACCGAGTTTGAAAAGGAGTGGACTGCTGTCTCAATTGGATTTCGTTTTTTTCCTCTAATGCAATCCGATTTTCTTAGCCAAGCCCCATTGATCTATTTAGAATATGCTTAGTAACGTTTCTGTTCCTATAAATAATTTTTATTCAGAAATAATTTTTTCTATTTCTATTCCCTACACAAGTTTCGGAGTAAAAAACACGCGTTTAGTAACCGTACAAAATTCATATTCCCGGAGTAGAAAAGAAACAAAAATGCGTTTGGTAGGACACAAAAAAAATTTTTACTCCCAATTTTTTTATTTAGTTATAAAATTATCGATGGAGACTTAACAATTCATGTTTGGATAAAATTGGATTAGAAATAAAATAATAATATATTATGATATAGAATTTGATGACCTTAATACAATCATAAAGAAAATTACTCCTTATAGACAAAGCAAATACCGGGTGATGATCGAGGAAATTGTAGTTTAGGGGACTTAACAATTCATGTTTGGATAAACTTGAACTAGAAATAGAATAATAATATATTATGATATAGAATTTGATGACCTTAATGCAACCATAAAGAAATTTACTCCTTATAGACAAAGCAAATACCGAGTGATAGTCGAGGAAATTGTAGTTTAGGGGACTTAACAATTCATGTTTGGATAAAATTAGACTAGAAATAGAATAATAATATATTATGATATAGAATTGGATGACCTTAATGCAATTATAAAGAAAATTACTCCTTATAGACAAATCAAATATTGAGTGGTCATAGAAGAAATTGCAACTTAGGGAGTAGGATTTTAGGATTTGGGGTTAGGGGTTAAGGTTTTAGGATTTCGATTTTGAGGTTTAAGGTTTTCGGCTTTCGGTTTTAGATTTTGGATTTTATGATTTTGGGTTTGGGGTTTAGGTTTTAGAGTTTTGGGTTTGGGGTTTTAAGTTTAGCGTTTCAGGTTTCGGGTTTCAGGGTTTGGGATTAAGGTTTGGGGTTTAATGGTTGAGGGTTTATGGTTTTAGGGATTAGGGTTTTGGGTATAGAGTTTAGGGTTTACAATTTATGGTTTTGGGTTTATGATTTAGGATTCGGGGTTTTGCGATTTAACGTTTTAGGATTTAGGGTTTGGAATTACGATTTTAGGGCTTACGTTTTAAGGTTTCAGTTTTGGAGTTTAGTGTTTCAGGTTTTGGATTTGGGTTTTTGGGTTTAGGATTTGGGGTTTAGAAGGTTTAGGGTTTTAGGGATTTGGGTTTTAATGGTTTTAGAGTTTAGGGTTTCAGGTTTTTCATTTTAGTGTTATGGGTTTTAGGATTTGGGTATTGAGATTTAAGGTTTTGGGGTTTAGAGTTAAGGTTTAGGATTTTGAGGTTTAGGGTTTGAGGGTTAAGGTTTAGGGTTTTAGGGTTTAGTATGAGAATATCTTGTGAAAAAGAGAGATCTGATGTTGTTTCTCTATTGTTTCTTTTTTTTTTGTTCCAAAAACAGAAAAGTAGATTTTTTTACTTCTTATTTCTGTTCCAAATCTATTCCCATACCACTTTTCTGTTTCGGGGAATAAAAAAACTAATTGACATTACTAAACGAATTTCTATTTTTTCTTTTGTTCCGGGGAACAAAAGAACAGAAAAATAGAGAAATAGAAATGTTACTAAATAGGCCCTTATTCTTCTGTTCTTTCTTTTTTTTTTTGGTGATAAAATTGTTTGACATGACATTACGGAAAGAGGACATGAGCAGGTCCTTAAAAAACTCCATCTCGATTAAAGGTGAGCGTAGTTTCAGGGTAGAAGCTAGAACCGGAGAACTAGACTGATGGAATCGAACTATTCCAAGTTCCCAAAATTGAAGAATCTATTTCGATGGGTAGTTTTCAGGTTATGGGTAGGTAAACTAGAACCTTAAACAAGTTTTTGTTGTTTTCTTATTCTATATCTGCCATGCCCCAAAACGTCACGTGCGATACGAGTCTTTTAATATTATTAATAATTTGGCCAACAGAAGTCAAAGTCTCAACAAGTTTAAAACATGAATATCACACAAGTTTAGTCAAAATACTTTTGCTTCTTACTAATATCACTTATCAGATTTACAAGTCCAAACAAACATCTTATAAGTACAAAAAAACAAAAGACTGGATAGGTCTAGTCTGCCTATCTCCATACTAGATTTTTACTCTAAAAGTCTGTCTCAACAAAAGTTTGGTGACGTCATGGATCGATAACAGCCAAGCATTTGCATGCATATACTCACCTTCTGTATATCACACGTTCTTTAAAGCAATGAAATGCATCATTCAAACAAATAAGTAAGAAGCAATACGGGTTCAGACTCAAAAAGCTAAAGTCTACTCAAGTTCAGAAACTACACATATCCAGATTTTAGGGTGAAGAGCACTAGAAGTGCCAAAACTTGTGTAAGACGCTCACTTTAGTGCCAAAAGTTTGTTTCGGATCACTTAAGTGCCAAAATCGGAGAAAAACGATCACTTAAGTGCCAACGGCGAGAAATTCCAGCCAAATTAATACGTGGCTTTTTTATTTAAAATTTTAATCTACGTGGCATTTCCACGTGCATATTTCGAATTTCTCAGTCCTACGTGGCATTTTCATGTGTAAATTTCAAATTTTTAATTATTTTTTTGATTTTTTTTTCTATTTTTTCCTTCTTTTTCGTTTTTTTCTTCTTCTTCTTTGTTTGGCCGGTGACCGGACACTGGCCACTGGCCATGGCCGGCCGCCTGGCCTCGCCCGGACGAGGCCGCCGTTGCCCTCCACGGGCGAGGCCCGGCCGACCTTCGCCCGGGCGAGCCCCGGCGGGGTCGGCCTCGCCTTGCCCGGCAAGGGCGAGGCCCGCGAGGCGAGGCCGCCTCGCCCTGCCCCGCGGCGCCGGGGGCCTTCCCGGCGACGCCGGCGAGCCGGTCCTCGGCGAGGGCCGCTCGCCTCGCCCGGGCAAGGGCGAGCCCCGGGGAGGCGAGGCCGGCCCTCGCCCAGGCCACGGCGGCCTCGCCGGGGGTCGCCTTCCCTCGGGCGATTCCGAACATGATGTGCCGGAGCTCCGTCCTCTGCTCCGATTCGGCGAGGGCCGTGTCGCTGCGAGCCAGTAGCAAGGAGGAGGGGAGGGTTAAGTTGGCGGCGGTGGCAGTGGTGGTGGCCGACGAGGAGGAGGAGGAGGAGGAGGAGGAGGAGGAGGAGGTGAGGTGGTGGAAGGTGGAGAAGGGCTCGTCGTCGCCGCAGGCACGAGAGGAGGAGACGAGCTTCGGTGTGTAGACGACGTAGGTGACGGACACGAAGAGGATGAGCCACACCATCGGCTTAGGCGGCGCCAGGAGCTTGCGAGCCGCCGATGCGGGCATGGCGGTCGGACTCCGGACGGCGGCACCCTCATCTGGTCCCAGAAGGCCAATCGCTCCCAAATCCTTCTGGGTCACCTTCATCTTCCCCAGAAAGAACAAGAGCAAGAAGCTGCACTCAATCTATCAATGCCGCTGCCGATGCATTCGCTCGGAATCAGGGGTTTCGCATTGTAGTGGGGGGGCCGTCAGATTTCGTGGGTCTTCGATCGGATTCGAGGAGCTTCACGCCGGCCGCTTCGGGAATCGATTGATGGGAAGAGACGATACAAAGAGATGAAGATGAGCAAGCAGAAAAAAGTAAGGATTCGAGTGACGACGACGAAGACGAGGAATAAGAAGAAGAGGAGAGTTGCAGAAATAGAGAGAGAGAGAGAGAGAGAGAGAGAGAGAGAGAGAGAGAGAGAGAGAGAGAGAGAGAGAGAGAGAGAGAGAGAGAGAGAAGAGACGAGTTAGAGAGAGAAATGCGTTGTTGCCAGGTTGCAGGACTGCCTCGCGATGGAGCTTTATGCTCAGAAGATGTAGAGTTACAGGTGGTGAGGCGAGGCCGGCCCTCGCCCAGGCCACGGCGGCCTCACCTCGCCCGTGGCGGGCGACGGCGGCCTCATCCAGGCGAGGCTAGGCGGCCGGCCATGGCCGGTGGCCGGTGTTCGATCACCGGCCAAACGAAGAAGAAGAAAGAAAAGAAAAAAAGAAAAAAGGAAAAAACAGAAAAAAAAAATCAGAAAAAAATTTAAAATTATTAAAATATTATTAAATATTGTCCTCGTCAGCGCGGACGTGCCACGTAGGATTGAGAAATTAATAAAATATGGCCACGTCAGATTTCCGGCGACCCAAATTAGAGTTGGCACTTAAGTGATCGTTTTTTCAAACAAGTGACACTTAATTGATCCGAAACAAACTTTTGGCATTAAAGTGAGCGCCGTACACAAGTTTTGGCACTTCTAGTGTTCTTCACCCCCAGATTTTAAGATAAACTTTCTCGGTTTAGAAAATACATTTATCTAAACTTTGAAAGAAACGTCTACTCGAGTTCAAAATACATATGTCAAGACTTTGGAAATAAAGTCTACTTGGGTTCAAAATACATATATCGAGACTTTGGAAATAAAGTCTACTCGGGTTCAAAATACATATGTCCAAACTTTGGAAATAAAGTCTATTCGGGTTCAAAATACATATGTCCAGACTTTGAAAATAAATTATGGACAGTTTTAAAAATATCCTTGTCCAAATTCTTATAATAAAGTTTGTTCAATTTCAAAAGTAAACAGAATCATAATTTGAAGTTAAAATCTGTTCAACTCATAAGTAAACAGAATTAGAATTTGAGGTTAAAATCTACTCAGCTCCGTAGTAAACAGAATCATCATTTACACTCATCTAATATACTCCACTTTGAGTAAAACGATTTTCTACCCTTTTAAAACGTACAGAAAACCAGCAAGACAATTTTCACAATCACCACAAAGATGACATTTACACGTTCAGATTTAACCATTGCACTTGCCGATTTTCAACCCACTTTAAAGAAACAAAACACATCCATTTGAACATGTACAGAACCGGTAAAGCAGATCCAACCACCATCATATCTTCACTATTATCACACATCATAATAGCATTTCTTAAGCAACCAAATTAAAAAGTGTCAAGTATATTTATTTAGCTTAAATCTAGAGTCTTCACTTAGCTCGCCTAAAATCTGAACACCCAAAACCAGCTTTGAAGATTTTGGATTGGGTGTTGACGAAGTAAATTATCTTTGAAGATTGACGGTGAAGAAGAGAGTTACGATTTGGGGTAAAAATTTCCTTCGGTGTTATCCAGATGAAAATGAAACAGAAGGGTAGATTGTGATATGGATAAGTACATGCACTCATAGGTGGCACTTCCTCTTTCCATCCACGGCCACGTGTACGAAATCAAAGCTTAGTAGGAATGAGTAATGGCTAAGGAAAATGATTATCTATGACTAGGTGTCAACCTAGTACAAGAAGCTTATCCTAAGAGGGCATGTGGCATGTTTAATCCTTTATAGGCCACGTGAGAGTAAGGTGTCTGAAGAGTGATTTTGGAGAGGAATTAAGAAGAAAAACATAATGTCTCCCCCCCTTTAACGGCAAATTAGAAAATAATGATTATCATTAATTATCCAAAGTTTAATATTACCCATTAATTACTAAGACAAAGGTAATTTAATTAATACCGCACTACCATTAACATACACAACAACGTTTACATCGAGCTCGGAACGATTTCGTTCCCTCATTTATGTCTCACAATATACGGTCCAACAACGTTTTCTACGCGTCCGCACAAATACTAAGCTAAATAATACTGAGCTTATAATCTAAGTATCATTATCGAACATAGAAAATTTCCAATGTCACATATATATTATTACAAAATTTCCGGATGTCACAACTCTTCCCCCTTAAGAAATTTTGTCCTCGAAATTCAAAAGTGCATGATCACTCAAAGAGATGTGGATATTTGCGTCTCATATCCTCTTCACTCTCCCATGTTGCTTCTTCCACGTCATGATATTGCCACAAAATCTTGACCAACGGAATGGTTTTGTTTCTAAGGACTTGTTCCCTTCGACTCAGAATCTGTATTGGTTTCTCCACAAAAGTTATTCTTTCGTCTACCTTGATCGTCTCAAAATCCAATACAGTAGGGTCTAGCTCATATTTCCTTAACATAGACACATGAAAAACATTGTGAATATTGGAAAGTCTAGGTGGCAATGCCAATCGATAGGCCAAGTTACCAATCTTCTCAAGAATTTCAAAAGGCCCTATAAACCTTGGACTCATATTTGCCTTTCTTTCCAAATCGCGATACACCTTACATCAGTGATACTTTAAAAAATACAAGGCACCAACGTTGAATTCCAATAGTCTTCGACGTTTATCCGCATAACTTTTTTGTAGACTTTGGGCAGTTTTAAATCGATCCCGAATCACTTTTACAGCATCTGAAGTAATTCGTACTAACTCCGGTCCATTAATTTCCTTTCGCCAACTTCACTCCAACAGATAGGAGTTCTGCAGGCTCTTCCATACAATGCTTCGAAGGGAGCCATGCCAATACTTTGCTAGAAACTATTATTGTATGCGAACTCCACCAAATGCAAGTGTTCATCTCAACTGCCTTTAAAGTCAATTATACAAGCTCGCAGCATATCCTCCAACGTCTGAATAGTTCTTTCTGATTGACCATATGTTTGAGGATGAAAGGCAATACTATATTGGATTTAGTTCCCAATGCAGTTTGGAGACTTGTCAAAAGTTCGCAGTGAACCTTGGGTCTCAATCTGACGTGATAGTTACAGGTACTCCATACAGTCAAACTATTTGTTAGACATACAGTTCCGCATACTTCTCCAATGTATAGTCTACTCGCACCGCAAGGAAATGAGCAGACTTAGTCAGACGATCAACTATCACCTAAATGGAATTGTGGCTTTTCGATGTCCTTGGCAAACCTTGAACAAAGTCCATCGTCACGTGCTCCCATATCCACTCAAGTATTTCTGACGATTTCAACATTCCACCCGGCTTACGATATTTTGCTTTCACTTGTTGACATGTCAAACATTTTGAGACATGTTTAGCGATATCAACCTTCATTCCATTCCACCAATAATGTTGACGGAGATTCTGATACATTTTCATGCTTCCTGGATGTACACTGTAATTACTTCGATGTGCTTCTGACAAAATTCGTTCCTTAAGTCGATGTCATTAGGCACACAAAGTCATCCATGAAGTTTGAGAACTCCATCTTCTATACCTAAAAGTCTAGCCTTTTTCCTTCTAAAGTCTCCTCCCGGACTTTTGAAATTTCAAGATCTGTTTGTTGTAGGATCTTGATTCTTTGTATAATCTCCGGTTCAATTCTAAGAGTAGATATTACATTTGAAAGACTACTTCTATCAAATCTAAATTCAAAATCTCGAGCCGCTAAGGTCCATTCCTTGACCAACATCTGAGCAACCATTTGGATAGACTTTCGACTGAGGGCATCCGCAACTTTATTCGCCTTTTTGGGATTATACAAAATCTCATAATCAAAATCCTTTAACAACTCTATCCAACGTCTCTACCTCATATTCAATTCTTTTTGGGAGAATAGGTATTTCAGACTCTTGGGGTCTGTATAGATTTCAAACTTCTCTCCATATAAATAATGTCTCAATATCTTTAGAGCGAATACAATTGCGGCAAGTTCTAAGTCGTGGGTCGGATAATTCAACTCATACGACTTCAACTGGCTTGATGCATAAGCAACCATCATTTCATGTTGCATCAAAACACAACCAAGCCCCTTATGAGATGCGTCACTATAAATTACAAAACCTCCAGATCCTGCCGGTATCGTCAATATTGGAGCCTTAGTCAATCTTCTTTTAAGTTCTTGAAAACTTTGCTCACATTATTCTGACCATTCAAACTTCACCTCCTTCCTCGTCAATTGAGTTAATGGAGCCGCAAGGTGAGAAAATCCCTCGACAAATCTTCGATAATATCCAGCTAGACCCAAGAAACTCCGAATCTCCGTTATCGTTGTCGATCTTGGATAATTTATTACCGACTCAACCTTCGATGGGTCTACAGATATCCCTTCACCAGTTACTACATGACCCAAAATTACTACACGATCCAGCCATAATTCACACTTGCTAAACTTTGCATATAACTTGTGTTCGTGAAGTGTTTGAAGCACAAGTCTAAGATGTTGCTCATGCTCCTCTCGTTCCCTTGAGTATATAAAGATATCATTGATGAACACTATCACGAATTGATCCAGAAATAGCTTAAATACTCTATTCATTGGATCCATGAATGCTTCTGGTGCATTAGTTAAACCAAAAGGCATAACTAAGAACTCATAATGTCCATATCGAGTTTGAAAAGCCATCTTAGGAATATCTTCCTTCTTAATCCGCAATTGATGATACCCCGACCTTAAATCAATCTTGGAGAATACTGACGCCCCTTGCAGCTAATCAAATAAGTCATCGATCCTAGGCAGCGGATACTTATTCTTAATAGTGACTTGATTTAATTGTCGATAATCAATGCAAAAGCACATTGACTCATCTTTCTTCTTTACAAACAATACTGGTGCACCCCAAGGCGATGCACTAGGTTGAATAAAACCTTTGTCGAGTAATTCTCTTAGCTGCACTTTTAATTCCTTTAGCTCCATTAATGCCATTCGATAAGGAGTTTTGGAAATAGGATCTGTTCCAGGGGCTAGCTAAATGACAAATTCGATTTCACGCTTTGGTGGTAACCCTGGTAATTCTTCTGGGAATACATCAGGAAATTCTTGAACTACGGGGATTTCTTCAAGCTTCATTTCTCCCCTTGACTGATCCCGCTACAAACGCCAAGTATCCTTGACAACCGTTGTCAAGAAGACGATGTGCCTCGAGTGCAAAGATGAGCGGCATTGAAGGATTTGCTCCATTTTCGAAGAATTCGAAACTAGGACAATTAGGGGGATTGAACTAGATTATCTTCCGATAGCAGTCCACGTTGGCTCGTTGCTTACGAAGCCAATCCATTCCCAGAATAACATCGAAGTCGTACATAGTCAGTACGATCAAATCTACTATTTGATCATGTCCACTTATAGTGATCTTACAGTCTTTACATATCAGTGTAGACGTAATTGTATCTCTTAGCGGTGTAGAAACACAAAGGGATATTTCAAGCGGTCTAGGACTTAATCTAATCAATTTCACGAATCGTGCAGATATGAATGAATGTGTAGCACCCGTATCAAATAATGCGTAAGCATTCTTGTTGCACACATAGATGATACCTGATATAACTGTCTTGGAGGCTTCAGCTTCCTCATGTGTGACTGTATAAACTCGACCTTGTGCTGGTAGTCTTTGGAAATTTCCCTGTTGCGGGGCCTTGTTTTGTGATAACTGTTGCAGTTGTTGTGGAGGTGTGATACGTTGTTGCTTCATCACTGGACACTCTCCTAATATGTGACCTCGCTGTCCACACCAATAACACTCCTTTAAAACCGAGTATGGCGTACCTCCATGTTGCTTGCCACAAGTGTGATAGACATTGTTAGGAGATTGCGTATGCATCGCCGGTCGGTTGTTCTGTGTGAATCCAAAACCTCCAACATTGTTCCTTTTATTTGGGACAATTGGCCGCTTTCTAGTTTGCATAGGCCTCTTGTCACGACGAAAATTAGGTTGGAAAGTTTGGCGATTAGGTCGTGCCTGGAAAGTTAGTGTTGTCTCTGCTAACTCCGCCAAATCTTTTTCCACAAGTTGTGCGTGTTCGTACAACTCATTATAATCTTTCAGATTCAAGGGCACTAGCTTACTTCTTATATTTAGCCTCAAGCCATCTCGAAGTCTCTTAGCATTATCATCCTTGTCTTTAACCAACCTGGGGGCGAATCTTGAAAGTTCTACAAACTTGGCTTCATACTGATCCACAGTCAGGTCATTCTGTTTCAATTGCATAAACTCCATCACCTTCTTATCCCGGGCACAATCCAAGAAATATTTCCTGAAAAATGCCTTGACAAAAACGCCCTAAGTTCCATTAGTGCCAGTTGGAAACACAGTTTCCTTGAATGCCTTCCACCAGTGTCTGGCATTTCCTTGGAGTTGATATTCTGCTAGGGCTATTTTGTCAACGTCATTACAATCTAGCATATTGAATATCTTCTCCACCTCGTCGATCCACGATTCTGCCTTTTTAGGATTTCCAACTCGAGCAAACCGTGGTGGTTTCAGCTTCAAAAATTGCTCGATCAGATTTTGCAAACGACGTTCGCCATTCCCCGAGTTAGAGACAGCTCGTTGTAATTCATGCTTCTCCATTAGGCTTCCTACATTGGCAAGCACTTGAATAATTCCTTCCACTCGAGGATCCTTTTCTGAGTTACTATCCGAACTCATCTTGCAATACCTACACATATTGCTTAACTTAGCCACTAGCTAATGAGTAACAAAAGTTACTTGTAGCACAAAATTTATCAAGAGCAAATACATACACTTGATTTTCTACACTCGTGCTGTCTAAGTCAAGTCTATTACTTCAAATTTTAAGCGCACCTTATTACTCCATGGGTAAAACCTGCTCTGATACCAAACAGGCCGTAATGCCCCATAACGTCACGCGCGACACGTGTCTTTTAATATTATTAATAATTTAGCTAGCGGAAGTCAAAGTATGAACAAGTTTTAAACATGAATATCGAACAAGTTCTAAACATGAATATCACACAAGTTTAGTCAAAATACTTTTGCTTCTTACTAATATCACTTATCAGATTTACAAGTCCAGACAAACATCATATAAGTACAAAAAAACAAAAGACTGGGTAGGTCTAGTCTGCCTATCTCCATACTAGATTTTTACTCTAAAAGTCTGTCTGAACAAAAGTCTGGTGACGTCATGGATCGATGACTTCACCCTTCGTTGCGGAACCACCATCATCTAAGTCGAAGCCCTTCAACGGGCCAACTAACTCGCCATCAAAGTTAAAGTACCATGCAATAAAAAGATAAGGAACCCATTCTGCCAAATCCACGTCAATCCAGACAGTTGAGCTACATTTAGTATATACTGCTTCAGACTCAGGCACAAACACATTTTCATAGATAGCTTCATGATATACGGAAACTCCAAAATGTAGAGGCTGTGGAACATCCATCCTATATGTTTGAAAAATAAAGGAATGAGCTGAGGCCCGGTAAATGAAATCTCTAGTTTTAAGTTAGGAAAATCAGCTTACCACTTCACCTGATACAAACAACATGCATGCATAACAAATAGTATGCATAGAATTTGAAGAAATGTTATACCTCTTTCCATCTGGATATGCCACAAAATCTGAGCAATTCAACATTTCACAATATTTTTACTCAGACGCAAGTATGTAATGTAAATCATTCATGCTCATGCATTAGGTTCATTACTTCTTCGTCCCGAACACTCCCGGGGCATCCCGACTAATGGGCCATCCCAATTCCAAGGCATCCTGGTACACCCTCTGGGGCATCCCGACCAATGGTGCATCCCGACACATGGGGTATCGTCACCGTTGAATTTTACGGGTGACGGAATTTATATTATTCCCACGCAAGCTATGACAACAAAGTATTTGTATGCATATACTCACCTTATGTACATCACATGCTCTTTAAAGCAATGATGCATCATTCAAGCAAATAAGTATGAAGCAACATGGATTCAGACTCAAAAGGCTAAAGTCTACTCAAGTTCAGAAAGTACACATATCCAGATTTTGAGATAAAACTTCCTCGGTTTAGAAAATACAATTATCCAGACTTTGAAAGTAAAGTCTACTCGAGTTCAAAATACATATGTCCAGACATTGGAAATAAAGTCTACTCGGGTTCAAAATACATATGTCCAGACTTTGGAAATAAAGTCTACTCGGGTTCAAAATACATATGTCCAGACTTTGGAAATAAAGTCTACTCGGGTTCAAAATACATATGTCCACACTTTGAAAATAAAGTCTACTCGGGAAAATACAAGTCCATTTAAAATAAGTTCAGAGCTTGTCAGTTCGACAATAAAGTCTTCAATTTTAGAAATAAACGACTCGAATTTGAAGTTAAAATCTGTTCAACTTAGAAGTAAACATAATTAGAATTTGAGGTTAAAATCTGCTCAGCTCAGAAGTAAACATAATCATCATTTACACTCATCTAATATACTCTGCTTTAAGTAAAACGATTTTCTACCCTTTTAAAACATACATAAAACCAGCAAGACAATTTCCATAATCACCACAGAGATGAAATTTACACGTTCAGATTTAACCATTGCACTTGCCGATTTTCAACACACTTTAAAGAAACAAAACACATCCATTTGAATATGTACAGAACTAGCAAAGCAGATCCAACCATCACCATATCTTCACTATTATCACACATCTGAATAGCATTTCTCAAGCAACCAAGTTAAAAAGTGTCAAGTAGATTTACTTAGCTTAAATCTAAAGTCTTCACTTACCTCGCCTAAAATCTGAACGCCCAAAACTAGCTTGTAGATTTTTGATCGAGTGTTGATGAAGTAAATTCTCTTTGAAGATTGACGGTGAAGAAGAGAGTTACGTTTTGGGATAAAAATTTCCTTCGGTGTTACCTAGATGAAAATAAAACAGAGGGGTAGATTGTGATATGGATAAGTACTTGCACTCACAGGTGGTACTTCCTCATTCCATCCATGGCCAGGTGTAAGAAATTAAAGTTTATTAGGAATGAATAATGGCTAAGGAAAATGATTATCTATGACTAGGTGTCAAGCTAGTACAAGAAGCTTATCCTAAGAGGGCATGTGACATGTTTAATCCTTTATAGGCCACGTGAGAGTAAGGTGTCTGAAGAGAGATTTTGGTGAGGAATTAAGAAGAAAAATAGAATATCTTCCCCCCTTTAACGGCAAATTAGAAAATAATAATTATCATTAATTAGCCAAAGTTTAATCTAATAATATTACCCATTAATTACTAAGATGACGGTAATTTAATGAATACCGCACTACCATTAACATACACAACAACGTTTATGTTGAGCTCGGAACAATTACGTTCCCGCATCCGCGCCTCACAATATACGGTCCAACAATGTTTTCTACGCGTCTGCACAAATACTAAAATAAATAATACTTAGCTTATAATCTAAGTATCATTATCGAACATAGAAAATTTTCAACGTCACATACATATTATTACGAAATTTCGGGATGTCACAATATCTTTACTTGATCATGCAATATTCCATGGTGTCCGATAATAAGTGCATAATCTGGAATCACTAGTCTGAGCTTCCATTGATTATGACTTTAATTGGTTAATGTTTCATATTCTTCATCTGTCTAAATATAAATTGCGGTTAGTGGATTGTATCAGTAAGTGAGGGTCATTAAATGTGATAATCTACTGCAATCGTTCAATTAATAATACAAGTGGAACTTAGGTAGACCTTAAAACATGTGACAGGGTAGGTCCCAAGTTTCAAGATATGCAGGGTAGGTTCTAGATTCCAAAAAATGAGGAACATGTTTCAACGGGTACGTTCTAGGTTTTAGGTAGTACCTATACAAAACCTGGAACCGCTTACCCCTAATCTCGATCCTCGTCTGGACCTCAGGATCATCGGGATATAAAACTTCCAAAGGTATTCCCTCTCGATGGAGAAAACAAAAATACATGGGAAATTGGGGGTGCAAGACATGCAGACACCAACACATTAAAAAAGAGAATGCATTCGTGGAGCCTACCCCACAGGATGCGGACAGGCCACAGAGGCCCTCATAATATTGAAACCTACCTTCCTTTGGTGAAAATTGTTTCTCGTGACATTACGGAAATAGCTTCAAAATCAACTCTGGATCGCGGTAATTTAAAATTATTGTTTCCTTGATCACTTCGATGAATATGAAAATTGAAATGGGCCTGTGATATTTTAAGAACGTAATTGCGTGATGCAGTGACGAAGAAGAACGGTGATGTATCTTCTCTCCTAGATTTCATTAATTTGCACCGAGAAAAGGGTATTTTATGTGGAGAATTGCAACCGAATTAATGCTTGCATGCAATGATCATTTTCTTTGTTGTAAGGTCTAACTCTTGATCATTTTGATGATTTTTTTGTTAGAATGCACGTATGAGTTGCGTTAAAGAAAATCCTAAATCGATGATTTGGTGTAATGTAGAGCAGTTAATATATTCCAGTTGGCCCATAACTCATTGGCTTAAACTTTTGAGTGAAGGTGGATCCAACTGGATATATTAATAGACTCGGACTTAAGCTCCCTCTTGGTGATCTCCCCAAGCAAAAGGCACCGTGTGCTCCTAACATTTTTCGATTCAAATAGAGTAGTGCTTTGATGTCCTTAATTCTCGCACATTCAATATTGCATTAGTGAAACTCTTCTTCGTTTAACCTTTTGTGTCTCGTGGTGAAATTATGTAAAAAGTTGTATTTAGTAAAGATTTGCGACTGAATCCTTATATTCAACAAACGTTTCTTTGGGGTCATGTTGCCGTCGCGGGAGGCAACCACGGCATGGAAGTCCGTCTCCTCAAGCAATACTTGCATGCAATGCAACGATCAATATTTTGAAAAGGACATACTTCACCGAGTTAATAAATATATACGCACATAAATTACTCTTTTGAAAGTGGGTGACAACCGACAATTCCAATCCTAAGGCAATAAGGACCAACGGTCACGGATGATACTTGCTAAAGGATACAAATTTCGCTAAGTTAATATTGTTTCTCGAGAATCAACATTAACCCCAAAAAATATTGATCAATCAAAGAGAAATTCAACAACTAAAAGAAAGATCGATTCTATGGGGTCATTCATTTCTTCAAATGGAATTAATAGAATTAGAATCAAATCAATTCTCTAAATGTTTTTTCTGGATATACCTCAATTTCCCGGCTATCCGCGGAACGTGAGAAGGAAATGAAGAATCA